CAATTTGAATTATTCACGAAATTGAACTATTCAATTTGAACTATTCACGAAATTGAACTATTCAATTTGAATTATTCACGAAATTGAACTATTCGTGAGTCTTGCGATAAAATTGTAGATATGACTATCAATGAAGCACAGTAGTGAAAAGTAGAGCTTTGATTTCCTATTTGTTCGATTGGTTCGTTGTTTACCTTTACTTCGATATCTATTTCCTTTGACAAAGGAGCACAAATTGTGCTGCTTTTGCTCATTCGTGTTCGTCTCAGTGCGGAGTGTCGAAGAGTGCACGAGAAGAAGGGGCCGCAAGAACGTGCCACAGAGAGCAATTTTGGTCGCGCGGATCCACGAGGGCAGCGCAGCCGAGGAATGTTGAAAAGGTGGAAAAGGAGAGTGTCGAGCGTGTCCATTTTTCATCTCTTGCACAGTGATTCCGCCAAACAAAAAAAAAAGTGTGTACGCTAGGCGTGCAGGGTGGAAGCGAGCCCGTTTGTTCGTATCGGCCGAGCGCCGTCCGCCCGCGCGGCTGTGGCTCAGCTGGTGGCTAGAAAAGGCGGCAAGCCACTCGGCGCCCGCTTCGCCCCCCGTCGGGTGGGCCTGCTTGGGCTCGGCTACGCAGGCATCTGGGGGCAGGGGGCGGCGGGCGTTCCCGCCAATGCCCCCATGGCCTGCACAATGCACTTCCGCGGACTTAGAATTCGCCGCGCCGGACAAACACTGCCGGAGCCGAGCCGACGAGGAAGATCAGAGCCGGAGGGGCGCCCGATCAATCTAGTTGCGTGCGGCCAGTTGGGCACTGGCAAGCGGGGCAGGGTCGCCGCCCCGCCCGCGGGCCGGCACGCCCACCCGCTTGGCAGGCCGTGGCGCCTGGCATTCGGACCCCGGCGATCCATGTGCCTGCCTGCCCGGCCCGGGCGGCCGCCAGTCGCGGCCGAGCGAGCGCGGCTGGAACGAAGGGGGGCCGGTGACGCCGGGCGCCCCCCCGCGGGAGCGCAGGGAGGCCGCCCGCATTGTCTGCATTGGCCTCGGTCGGAGATTGGATGGCTGCCTGGCCTGGTGCGTGGTTGTGTGCCTATCTTCCTTCATAGGAAGTTCGGAGTGACTGAGAGGGCGGCGTCCTCGACAGGGGCAGCTAGCCCACTCTGACTTTTTTTGTGGATTTTAGCGCGCAGGAGCCAACCGGTCCAGCGGCTCTTCAAAGGTACATAAGTAGGCCCGCCCCTGTGTGGTGGCCGGGTCCGTCGAGGCATGGTGTACCAGATTGATTGCCTCTTCGTCCAGGGCATCCGAGCAAACCAGCGATCTGAAGTTGTCCGTTCGGTTGCTAGCCCGCTTTCTTTCCTATATGTTTGTGGACTTGATGATGCGCCAGTCTGCCCTGTGTGATGGTGGTCAGAATAAGTAGGTGATCAGGATCTTTATCCATTGCAAAGCGAAGAGTGCAGCAGTAAACATCAAAAGAGCAAGAAGATAGATAGTATGAAGCTGTGACACTAACTTGTAACTTGCAACTGGATGGCTCCATGAGAGGTTGGTGATAGTAAGTTCGTTTGTAGCAAGCTCGTTCGCAAAACAGGCCTGCTGACTTGATTTGTGAAGAGGCGTTTCATTCGTAACCGGCAGAAGAACATTTGCTCTTTGTTGGAGAATTGATTTCGAAAGCTTCACTTGTTCAGCGTATTCGCATTTACCTCCTCCTCAAAATGGGCGACCAACTCCTCCTCCATTGGGTGACCCAGCCCGCCACGCCAGAAACCCTCGAGGTCGTCGAGACCCTGCTGGAGGAAAAGCAGGCGGACGCGCAGCGCGCGAAGACCATCACGGGGTCGAACTGTCTGTACGAAAGAATCGCCAACTGGGATTTTTCCCGCCACGAGTCATGCATGGAGATGTTTCGCCTTCTCCTCAAATACAACCCAGATCTGAACCAGTACGACACCTGCGCGCGGCAGTCATGCCTCCACCTCGCGGTTTCCCAGAAGAACCTTGATTTAGTCGCGTTTCTTCTCTCCTCTCTATCCAAGCAAAAGTCCACGAATTCCGCGTTCGGAGCTGGCTCCGGCGGAATGGCAGGCACGACGAACAAACACAAAAACGTCGTGGATGTCTCCTTCGTAAACAGGAACGGACAGAGCATCTGGCACTTGGCGGTCTTGCCGGCGGAAGTAGTCTTGCCAGCGGTGGAGGATGGGGTGGAAACGAACAGCATGCTCGTCGGTATTAAATTAAAAGGTTGAAAAGCATGTGTCTTTGCAGGTCGTGGAGTCATTTAATACATTTGTTTTGCTCATGATAAATTCATGTAGCTGGTGCGCCCGCGCGCGCAAGTTGTATTCTAACTCTTCTTGTGCGGCCTGAGTTTCATGAGTTATGCTCATCATGCCCCCCCAGGTGCCAATGACACCATCCTGCACCCCTCTTGGAGCGCAACTTTCCCGCCACCGGCCGAGGAGGAAATAAAAGTATCGCGCACTACGAAGTCGAAGGCGGTGCAACTTCTGCAGCTCTTCGCAAAATATCAGCCGGTCCGTGATCTGGTGGACGAAGTGGATTTAGATGGCCACAACGCCGCGTATTGGGCGAAGGAATTCCGCCAGTGGGACTGCGTCTCGTTCCTCGAAACCGAATTTGCGTCGCGGCCAAAATTCCTAACTGGCGCGGAGATAGTCGAGATGATGGCCGCAGCTGCGGCGGCGGATAAAAAACCAAAGAAAGCCGGGAAGAAGGGCGGGAAAAAGAAGAAATGAGGAGAAATAGTGCTGTTTTTCCTGTTGCAGGAGGAACACGAACAGAGGCGGTTCGCCGCTTGATGCAAGATTTAATACGTTTCGGTTTCGGATTTTGAACTTTGGTTTCTTTGCTTCCGCATGAAAGCGTGTTTTGAGAAACTTCTTGAACACAGCTGCGCGGAGCTTGTTTCAGGTGGGCGTGAAGGAATAATGTGCTGCCATGATCACGCGGCCGCAGTTCCAGACGCGTCAGCATTCTCTCATCTTAGCGAGTGCGTCTTTACCCATTCACTGATAAGTGCGTGTTCTGTGACAAATGTTTTTTTTTTCGCTAGTAACAGTAACAGTAAAGCGCACCTGTTTAGATCGCGAACAGCTTCGTTTGGCGGTACACCTCGGCAGGTACACACCGACTAAAATATTGTTGAAGAAGGATCTCAATTTCGGCCAAAGACGTCGTTTTGTTTCGTGTTTCCTGGTGCAGAATTTGTTTGATCGTGGCAAAATACTTAAACTTGTCGCAAAACAACGCTGGTGTAAGTCAGTCGACGGAGACCTAGAACGAGCAAGCGTATCGCTTCATTTTGGTTTTTCCGAACCAAAAAACACCTCGCAAAAATGGCCGTCATTCCGTGTGACCCAACGTCAAGCTTTTTTGGCTTCATGGGGGTAACCAGTGCGATCGTCTTCGCAAACCTCGGTATACGAAAACCGATTTTATTTTGTTCAGTCGATCGTGTCATGCTGCCTTCGAAGTAAGCGCGTAAAAAATGAAATTTCGCATGCGAAGAATCAAAAGTGCCAAGTCGTGTGGAAAATTGAAATGTAAACGTCACCCTCCATATCCAGGTGCCGCATATGGAACAGCAAAGTCGGGTGTTGGTATCATGTCCATGGGTGTCCTGCTACGGCGATGAATCTAAAAACGACTCTTTCGTCATGCGGAGTAGTACTAGAAATGGCGGTTTATTTAGAGATTGTCTTTAGATGCACAGCGTTTGGCGAATCGCACTCGCGTGAACAAAATTCGAGAAAGCGTTTTTTTTATCGCATTTAGAAAGCGCACTAGCACAGTCATGCGGTGTATCATCGTCATTTGGAGAAACATCAAGAACGAACAGAAAAAAAAGTCGATTTAGATTTTTTAATTTTCATACCGGCGACCAGAGCTGATGATGAAGTCCATCATTCCAGTAGTCATGGCGGGTGTGCTCGGTACTGATTCTTTTTTGGAAAGTGAGAACCGTATGACTGATCGAATCACGCACGGATCGAGATGTGGAATACATAGACGTGCAGCAGAGATTTATTTGCTTACGTTGATCGTGCAACGCAATGTCAGACCCAAATCTAAAAACCAGGTATCTACGGTCTGATCACATCTGTTATCATCAACGAAAAATTGAATGAGCCGGCCAAGTACTCCGCATATCAAGGGTATAGGGATTTTAGCATGAGAAAATAGGTTCCTTTAGGGATTTTACCAGCTGAAATAGACCCTCAAGGTGGATTTCGTGCGGCAACATACGCCAGCACGACAGCGAATGCGATCTTTTTTTACGTTTGCAATAGTGCAACAAAAATTTTAATTTTTGGAATTTAAATACTAACCAAAGGTTCGCCCACCTCGGAGCTGGACTGACCGTCGGCATGAGCTCATTGGCTGCAGGTCTCGCCATTGGTATCGTCGGTGACGCCGGTGTCAGGGCAAACGCACAGCAGGTACTCACTTCTCTAAGACAATGGTGATTATTATTTAGTACTGCATAGTCGAATCTAGGAGATGCATAACTGCTTTCTTGAAGGGTCGCATCCTAGGCCAGTAGTTCCTTGAACGATTGCGAATATACCGAAGAAGAACGACACACATCAAAGACCGCCTAAACCACAGACACGACTGTTCGTCGGCATGATCCTGATCTTGATCTTCGCCGAGGCTCTGGGTCTGTACGGGTTGATCATCGGATTGGTGGTGGCCTCCGGCGCCGGCAACGCCAGCGGTCTGTGCACTCCCTACAGCGGTTAAGTGTTTGAGGCTGAAGTTGTTGTAGAGAATGACCTCTGGTGTTATGACCTTGTGAAGATTTTTTTAGGATTCACCTACATTTTCAACTTCTACGTATTTGTTGTCCAGTATTTGCCTAGCTTTGCGGACCAATTTGGTTTCGGGGAGCCGTGGCAGAGGATTCACAATTTTTTTAGGAGCCTAATCCTTATTCGAGAACAAATTCTTCTACGTTCATACATTCTTCTTTGTGCTATTTGATTTCTCCGATTACAGCCTAGTACAGTCATTTTCGTACGTAAAAAGTAAAACTCTTTCACAAACAAACTTCGTTTGCCGATTGAATTAGAATTTTAGCATTTAGATCGCAGCAGCGCTCCTTGCACACCCGCAACATGCGGCGAGTCCTCGGCTCAGCCGCATATTTTAAGAAGTTGCGTATGCGACTTGCTAAAATTTTTTGTAACGTTAACTCGACACACAGGCAGAGAGACCTTCTGACTCAAGCGCGGAAAAAAGTTGGAAAGGAGGTCGTGATAATGAACAATCGGTCGTAAAAATCTGGTGTGATGATTTTTGTTTGGGAAAGAGGAACGAGTACAAAAAGTGCTACGCCGATTTTTACCGGATTTGAGTAGAGTCGTCTTGTGTTGTAAACCTAAGGAGTTTATGCCGGGCGACAAGGGCTACTCTTGTTCTTAAGAAAAAAACTTGTGAAGCTTTGAAAAAAGTACTGGTGTCATTTCAAATTTTGGGCGCTGCCTTGTTTTTGCGCAGTGTCTGTGGAAACCGATTACAGCTTTGGGCGCATGGACGGTACTCATTCGTGTTCGAATAAGCATAGATTTGCACAGAAGTCCACGCAACTCCGTTGTTGAGCTTCGACGATCCATACCGATTGCGGGAAGACGTGCAAACGAGACGGGTCCGACACTGCCAAAAGAAAGAGCCGCTCTCAGCAGCTTCTCACTTGCTGGCTTGACAGAATTTGAAATGATCCGGGTTTTCGTAGCATTCCTCGAAGCAGACAGGAGCGACGTGATCAAAGCATACGAGTGGTGAGCCTTGAAAGGTTGCCAATCGCAAAAAAACACTTTGGTGCACTCATAATCAACCTTGATCACGATGTTGCTCAGCAGCAGTCCGTCTCCGAAGAAATCGCGAGTCCAGCAGCCTCGCAAGCTTCAACCTCCGACATCGTCCGGCTCTGGGTTTTTCTCACCTCCGACTGGCATCAAAAAGAGCATGAAGCTGCGGCCCGGTGGAAAGAGCGCGGTGGTTCGGGATGTTTTTCTCGACGAGCCAAAGTTACGCATCTGGAAGAACAGCGAGAAAAGCAGCGCAGTGTCATTTGCGTATAGTGAAGCGGCCGATGACCACCGTCCGCTCGCTTCCCAACATCACTCCGCAGCGAAAATGCTACCAGCTTCAGACACCACTGCCTCTTGGAACATTTCGTCCTTTTGCTGCAAAATTGGGTCGCCGGCCACCTCCCGGACCAGTTTTCTCACGGTCAGAATCGGTAATTTGGCGCACGTGTTCTGCCTGTTCAGCGGGTTGGGGACCTATGGTAAGCAGGTCGCGGAGTTTCTCGCGAAAAGGTTCAGTCAGCGGATCTCACAGCTCGTGCGACACCACACGGCGTTGCTCGCGACCGGCGAGTACGAATGTTCCGAGTTCGCGAGAATGCTGTTTCGCGGCGTTGCGGCTTCAGCAAACGCCGCTGCGACTGGCGGCGGAGGAGGAGTTTCTACACTGGCTAGAAGTCCCTCCTCGTCTCCGTCCCCACCGAGAACCGTATCCAGTGTGGCCGCCGCGAGGCCCCATGCATCAGGTTCTTCTGGTCCTGAAGGTGGCCGAGAGATGAAATCACCACCAGTGTTCGGAGACAGAACAAAAGCCGACACGTGCTCTGCAAAGCCGTCGAAGAAGACTATCCACCGGGTCCAGAAGTTTCTCCAGAAGCTGTTTGCGCAGTGCAACGCGGATTTGCAGTCCCGATCTGGTGCCGTCGACCTGCAGTTTTCCGGGTGCAGCTGCGACTGTGTGGTAATCGGCAACTCCAAGGTGTTGGACACGAATGTGGTGCACTGCGCCCATGTCGGGGACACGGGATCTGTGTTGGGGTATTGCAGTGTGGGCACTGGTGCTGTGCATGATGATCCTGCTGACAAAGCGACAGCTCGCAGTTTTGATGAAGCCCGAACCGATGAGCATTCTGATGATGTTGAAATGTCGCACGAGACGACTTGTCTGTCGCAGCAGACCCCCGTTGATGCGCGCATGACATATGACGAGGACGAGAATAAAGCAGACCGCGTCGACCCTGAAAAATTCTTTGAGAAGTACCACTTGGCAATTATCACGAGGGAACACTCGTTGCACAAACATCCCGCGGAACGGCTGCGCATCCAGCGATTGCACGAGGAGCAAAGCTTACATCTAGCGGGTGTTCTTCACGGAGGTCATAAAGGCAACGGGACAGCTGCAGACACAAGCAACGGACCAGTTGCTTCTCATCTTCGTCAACGTCGTTTGGAAATTTCCAACGCAGTTCGAGCCCCCGGGATGCGGTTGACCAGGTGTTTTGGCGGGACCACGGGAAGTCAATTGGGTGTAATCGCCGAGCCGGAGATCCTCACGGTCACCTATGTGGTTGTTGAGGTTTTGACACCCAAAGTTGGGAAGCAAACCGTGAACAAAAAATCTTCTACGGAAGTTGGAGGCGCATCATGCGCAAACGCCAAGACGTTGAAGTTCGCAATGCTTGGCACCAAGCACCTCTGGGGCGCTTTGCGATCTACGGAAGTTTTGCAAATAGTTGATTCTGTCGTCACGTGTGACGGAGAAAAAGTAGTTGCAAACGATACTACAGAGAATCGTCTCGGAGAAGCTACTGCTGGGGACCAACAGCTGCACGACCTTCATCACGACGTCGATTGTGGAAATAACCGAGATGTTGAGTTGCTGCAAAATCAAAATGTGGTTGCGCGCGACCATCACCAGAACCACTCAGAGCAGATTGCGGCAAAGTTGCTGAGTCTAGCAAGGGAGAGATGTATTAAGAAAAGTAGTAGAGTTTGCACTGCTGATCTAGCTTTGATTGTTGTGTTGTTACAGTAATGCAGAAACAAGACCGCTTATTACTTGTGCAAAACAAGTGCCAAAGGTCTGCTAGTCCTAGTAGTACTACATGCAAAATTTGTACAACAGTGATGAAGATGTTGTCTGTCAAACCGAGATTGTCTTTGATTATTTGAGCTGGACGAATCACGCGGGGCCGCAAAGGAGTCAAAAAAGCGCAAAGAGCAGATCCAAGTGTTTACGCACCTTTGTGTTCACAGTCAGGACTACTTAAGTAGTATTTTCTAAATCCCCGCATTGTAAGCCTAAGCCACGGGGGTGCATAATTTCGGAACATACATCGTGATAATTAGACGCGTTTTGACTTCTCGGTGGAAGGGCTCCAGTACTCCACCCCCAGCACAGGGAAAAGTCGTTGAATAGTCACCATCGTGTTTGATTCCTCGTCTTGAAAAAGCGAAAAAGCAACGAATTGCATCGTCTTAAAAACAGGTCTCGTTGTTGCCCCATCAGGCACTACATGAGTACTATGAGACTTACCCAAAAATTGAAATGCCCCTAGTTGTATATATGGATTCTTACCACCACCACGTCTCAGGGCTGACACTGTAAATAAGATCCATGTGATTATTTGTTGCGAATCAAAACGGTAAGCCAAAGTGCGTGTAGTTGTGTATGTTCATCATGTCCAACAATTGCTACGTCAAGTACCTGTAGTATAATCACCCGGAAGAACCAATCTCCTGGCCTCATCTTTTCTAGAAATAATAGGGTTTTTTCGCATCACGACAATTTCAATTGACACACTAAACAGAATCAATGTCCACAACTTTGCGACCTCGCGTAGTACAAGCAGAAAAGATAGAAAGTCCAAAAATGGCGACAACTGCGGAGATGAAGAGCAACACCTCCGAGATGGATTCCAAGGCACCCGCCCCGGAAGAGCGAATCACGAAAATCCCACCCCCAGCTCCGAGCCCCCTCGTCGCAGTGCGGGATTTTGTTCTGCTCCTCGTCATGGGCTTCGCCTTTGGTTTTTTCTTCGAACGCTCGCACGTGTACGAGCCCCTGGTAATCCGCGAGCAGTTCATTTTCAAGACCATGATCATGCTGAAAATGTTCATGGGCGCGGTGGTGGGCGCCTGCATCTCGTTCTTCATCTGGAACAAGATCGACAGAGAGAGGATGCAAGCGGTGCGCGAATCGCGGTTGATCACCTCGAGCTCTGCGACACGAGTGCTGCTTGGCGGCGGCATTCTGGGCGCCGGGATGGTCGTCGGCGGCGCCTGCCCGGGCATGGTGTTGCCGCAAGTAGGGACCGGGGTGGGGAATGCGTGGATCACGCTGCTCGGCGGGTTTTTCGGCGCCTTTCTCGCAAATGTGCTGAAAGCGGTGGAAGGTCGTGGGAGAAATAATAGCAGCTGCGCCCACAGTGGAGCTTGCGACAGTGCGCTTGGCGGTAGCACAACGCAGTACTATGTCGACAATTCTGGAAGTAAAAGCCCCGCGACATCGAGCAATCTTGGTGCAGTTGCGCCGACAGCATCGACGAAAGAAGAGGACTTGCAAGGAACTTCTCGTGATCCTCCATCTGCGGAGAGCAAGTTACAAACCAAAAATTTCTCCGCAGCTACTACTTCCGCTTCTACCCCAACGATGCAGTCCCAGTACGCAGACCTCCGATTCGGGATTCCCTTCAATACCGCCATGATCGCATTCGGGTTATTTTCAGCGCTTTTCTGTCTCGTCTGCGAAATCTTGTTGCCGTTTAAGGATGAGCTGCACAACCACGGAAAGAACGATGACTGGAAGGACCACGCGTGGCCGCCGTCGCTGTGTGGTTTGGGGATTGGGTTAGTCAATTTGGGTTCCGTCTTCATCGCCGCCCGGCCCATCGGCTCCTCTACCGCCTACGCCCAGCTGGCGCTCATGGATCAGTTGATTCCCGCCAAGTTTCCACAGAAGCTGAAACCGTTTGAAAAGTTTCAACTCCTCGGGTGGTACTGGCAAGTTCCGTATCTGATGATGTCTGTTTTTGGCGCCTACTGTTCGGCCAGGCTCGCGGACAACCTTCCCAGCGGCGCGCCGTACGTGCAGTCTGAAATAAGCGCTTTTCTAGGTGGGACCCTGATGCTCTTCGGATCCAGGCTCGGCGGCGGGTGCACTAGCGGGCACGGGATTGCCGGCATGCCGCTGCTCAACTTGTGGGCGAGTATGGAAAAGACATTGTGTTTTTAGGGTTCTTTTACCGTTTTACACGGAAACGAATGCATTACCGTGCGGTATGCAGCACGAATTTCGACAACCGAACCTAGATGACGATACTTGATAGAAAGCAGGAATGCCCTATGAACGCCACACTAAATAAGTAGATTGATCAAATTTGCAGAAAAGCAAAAGCCGGAATGCGCTTGTGCTTACCAACGTCATGTAGGGTCCTCGTCGTGTCCGTGTAGTAGGGACAATTTTCCATGCATAGCGATCGGGGCGGTGTGTTCCATGTTCGGGGTTGGTATCGTGGTCGCAGTCAGTATGGAGCTGGCCGGCGAGTTGGCGTTGCACGCCAGGTTGTGAAGCAAAGTGTTGCTTGGGCGGAACACCTCTAGGAGGAGAAAATCAAATAGAAAGTGACAGAAACCTAATAAAGAACTGCAAAAACTAATCCTGATCATAATGCTTATCCTCATCGTTATACACGTCATGAGACGTTGGTTGGTGTAGTTGGTAATGACTACCAGAATGTGTCGCGCAAGAGTTCTTGTGTGCGTCATTCAACAATGCTTGTTGAGATGATACTAGTTCGAAAATTTGCTGTGTGTGTTAATTATCGTGTTTCAGATATGAAAGTACAACTACAAGTAGAGTGTAAGATGCGTAGGACCCACAAAACGCATCACGACAACGACCAACACCTGTGTACAAAAATCCCTTGCTTACTTAAGCTTCCGAAGGGAAAGATTAGAATATTGTCGATGCAGCCTCACTGTTGCACGGGCAGCTCCGATTACTACTTAGTACTTACCAACCGCAAGTCTGGAGTTTGCTTTCCACCTTGTTCGCGCTCTCTGAAATATGTCGAGACTTCGGCGCAAGGGGTTGTACTTGTATTCTCTTTTTTATCATTCGTTTGCTCGTTGTCGTTATTTCGCGTCACCGGGAGGATTTGAACATTTGGGTTTCTGGGCATCACTCGTTAGGTTGATGCTCCTGTTGCAAAGCACCCAGTTCGTTGTTTGGGGGTGGCTTCTCGTGTCGCTAGCGCGGAGACAAGCCGACTATTGAGGAACACGGTTTCCTTACAGAGCTCGGAGAAGAGAAAGAGTGGAGAGAGCCGCAGCTACTGAGAGAGCTGGCGTCACAGACCATCCTCGTATTTTCCCAAACTACTGAAGACGCACTTCTTGTCGATGTCGAAGAAACGTAAAATTGTAGGTACGGAAAATAAATTGCGAACGAAATGTACTAGCGGTCATCATCTTCCATAGTATCTCAGCTAGGCGAGAAGATGACGTTGAGAGCTGGGCCTGTATTTGCTTACAAGTCGAAGCGTTATTGTACGAAAACGGGTCCTCCAGAAATATACAACTAAAATTATGTTACAGAGAGAGACCACAGCGTGGGGAGATGTCGATAGTATTCTATTGCAAGGGCAACAAGCAGCCAGCACCAGCGCTATCAAGCAGAATGACGGATTTCTGAAGCTTCTCCCGCCCTTGTTTCTCTCCCTCTTGTTCACATTCACCGGGCGCTTTATCCTCCGGAAAAAGCTAGCATGGCGGAACGCGATCGTGAAGAATGTGTTCTGGAAGTTCCAGTTCAACCTCCACCCCGTCATCGTCGGCCTCTGCGTCTACCTCGCCAGCTGTCCGAAAGACCTCTACTTAGCCGAATACGCCAGTTTCATGGTCGTCCCCTTCGCCTTCAACTTCGCCGTCGAACCGTGGGACCTCCCGTTCCGGGATAAACTTTTCTCCATTTTTTTCTACCTCCACCACTTCGGGCCGGTCGTCGGATGCATCGCCGCGGACTGGGCGAGCAACCACTTGGCGGCCGCGGGGAAAATCATACCGCTGTCCGCGACGGTGACCAGCAACAGTACCAGCTTACCCGCCACCGCCCTGCTGTTCGCGCACATCTGGCTGCTGCACCCGATCGGCACGCTGGACGCGAAAAAGGTCCTGAACAAGCAGAAGATCTTTTGGCCCTACGTGCTTCAGGGCTTCTTGATCAAAATCGCCTTTTGGCGGGAGATGATCACGGCCGAAAAAGTGTACGTGTCGAATTACGGCCTCATCCAGATGCAGACCGACGCGATCGTGCTGGCGATCTTTCTGCAGTTCATAGGCCGGTGGGGGTCGTTTCTGCGATTGCGATTGAGGTTTAAAATCATGAAGGAAGACAAGTTTGAATGGCACAAGTGCTTCTGGGAGCCAACACTCTTTTTCGTGGCGTATGTGGTCGCAAATCACGTTTTTCTGGTGATATACTGACAATGATACACGTATTGCATTTTTTTAGCACCGCGGTGCTCGCTTCAGCAAGTCACGTATAGGAGCTGCTGCATATTGGCACTGTTTTTGAAAAGGACACGCACAACGTGGTGGCACGGTATTTTTATCACTGCCGGGCGCTATTCGACCCTCCCTCGTTCCCGTGCCACGTCTTGTTCAAGTGCGTGCTGCTCTCGAATAATGCCGTGTCATCGGTGTAAATCAAAATCGTATCCTTGTGTTGGTCGTGCGATGAAGAAGATCGTTTCCCGTGGTATTTTTTTGATCCCGAAGAGTAAAGGTCGCATTCATCAGGAATTTTCCCCACTGCTGTGTAAGTTTAAAGTATGGGTATGCTGCAGTTATCCGTAAAGTGAAGTCTATATCTATGCACCAGTTTCTATTAGTTTCGGTCTGTTAATAAACGGAAACTGAGTTGTCTCCACCGATTCCGTTGAGTCTTTATGTCGCAAAATTTTATGGTTCGCTAGCAGTGAGCTAAAGCTCTGTCCGTGCATTACCCAGCACCATGCCCCGTGTCGAGCAGACCCTGGTGGGTTCCTCCTCCCTTGCCGGGGACGGATTGACCATTTGGAGTAAGGATTTTTGCTACTACGGGCACGCGAACCAATTTGTGGAGTCACTGCAGATCCGGTTTTTCACCCGCGCATTGTTTTCGCTCATCTTCCTCAATTTCCACGACTCCTCATCCCTGATGGAGGAGAAGCAAGTCACGCCACCGCAGTATTCGTGGCCCGGCTGGATGTTTGTGAAGGTGATGAAGCCGATCAAGCCGGGGGACTGTATTGGCGTGAATTTTCTTTCCAGTACTACCGCGGAAAATCTGAGCGCCACAACGACACCAGGGACGACATCTTCGAGGAGCGAGGCGAGTCAGGCCGCGGGCGGTACTTCTACCAGTGATGTAGTATCAGCATCAGAGTCTACTTCTGCTCCAGTGGTCGTGAAGCAACCCGACAACTCGCACGTTCCGGGTAGGGAAATTTTGGAGCTGAAGCAAGCAACAGAAGGTGTAGGTGGACGGGCTGGAAGTTCGTCCGGTGGGCCGACAACTGCAAGTCCACCACCGGAAGCAGGACAAGAAGACGAAGCAGCGTCAGAGGTTGAAGACCCAGAAATCGAGTTCGCTCTTTCGCTGAACAGCACGCTAAACAAGATGCTGGCGACCATGGGACCTTGTCAAGACGTCAACGAGGCGACGCACCTGTTCATGACGGATGTGGAGAGGGACAGGAAGCTCCGCGCGGGCAGCTTCTACCCAAAAACGGAATGGTCGACGGAAACGACGCTACCCCCGACGAAGACCATCACAGACACCGTCGACGGACAGGTCGTCACGACGGTCGCGCAAAACGGCTTTCGCATCCGCCGCATGTTCGCGTTGGAGCACTGTCGCGGGCTGCTCGTGTCGCACTACCGGATCGCGCCGCAGCTCAAGTGGTGCGACATATCAAGAAGAAAAATCCCCCCTCCCCATATCAAAACGTAAATCTGTGATGCAGATTTGTGGTCACAAATCAGCTTTGTCATGCTAGAAGGAAAGACGTGCGGAGTGTAATGCTGGCTGGCGTGGGAAAGCCTTGCGCCTTCAGCATGACAGAGAGCAACTGGAAGGGGGAAACAGCATGACAAATTGCCTGCAAACGAGGCCACAGCTGCGGCTTTTGGCCTTCTGGCATTACAAGTCGACTTCGTGTACTCAAATACAGCATCAAAAATTTCGTTTTCGTTATGGGGAGGGGGGATTTTTCCTTTTGATACGACAGCGACGGGCGAGAAAAGTTCACGTCGAGCCAGAAGCGCGTCGCGAGTCAGGGATTTCAGGCACACCACCCGCATGCGAGCACCATGTGGTGGTTTTCGAAACCAAGGACACGGTGTATAATTTGCTTCTTGCGACGAGTTGTCCTTGTGTGTTAGCAGTGAAGTTGTGCATGAAAAATAAAAGATTGCTTCACATGCAGAACAAATAAATGAAAATGCACATCATCAACTGAAATAACCAATAAGTAGCGTCAGCAGCAGCACCATGCATACCGTTAAGAATCAATCGGATAACAAGTCAACATGAGAAATAAATTCTTCGAATGTTCAATAACTACACAGTCTCCAAGAGCTCGGCGTCAGTGACAATGTAGACGCGGAGGACCGGGATCTAGTTCCTTTCGAGCAAGTGAACGACTTTGTGATGCGGCGCGCGGGGCACTTTTCCATGGTGTGCGTCTACCTGAATGAGAACCACCCCTACGCTCCTGACTACGCCCTGGCGAAGGAGCGGCTGAGCTGTCCGCGAACCAGCAGCGAAACGGAGCACACGGACCCGGAGGTGAACGAAGCGGCTGCGGCGCGAGCGAGGAATGACAAGAGCACTGCAACATCGGCGCAATCTTCGCAAGAAGAACAAGTAAAAACCGGTAAGTCCTCCTTCGTGGTCTTTGGCAATTTCGCTTGGCAGTACTGTGTGCAGGAATTATTCGCAGTGCTCGCCATGACGGATCTAAACACGAAGCCGGGGCCGACGAAGCAGGAATTGAATTACCTGGAGCAGCTATTGACCATGAATAAATTGTTTCACAATCGGATCCTAGTGGATTACGAGATCCCACAGTTCGACCTCTGGTCCTTCAGCACGAGAGGGCTGGAGTATAGTGACGATGATCATGATGCTGGCGAAAGAAGCACGACAGCACGCAAAAGGCCGGGGGCAGGTGAAGGAGGAGAACAAGAAAACCAAACCGCGCTGCAATCTGCGGTTCTTACCGGGCAGAAACACACGACCACAACGACTGCGTCAGACTCTGAGCTCGACGATTTGTACCGCGTGGACGAGTTTTCCGGCGGCAGAGAAAATCTCACGGTGTACGGTCCGCTCGCAGCGCACGTGCGCGAGAACCGAGCACCTTGGCTAGCGATGTTAAAGAGTAGTTCCGCTGCTACTGCAGAAGAAGATAAAAATCCGGACCTCGATCATGAACAAACGTCGCAAATTGAAATCGCCGACAGATCTTCCCTCTACTCCCTTCTCGATCACGAGATTTTTCTTCCACGGGAGTACCGCGCCGCGCACAACGAGGAAAAGAAGGGCGCGAGACTGCGAAAGAAACTGGATCTGGAAGCGCAGTACGCGGACCGGGAAGCGGCGATGGGATGGATAGGGTCAGGAATAGCGTTTTCGTTTGACGAGGAGAAAGCGAAAAAAAGGAAAAGCCGGCTGGAGCACCACGATTACTACGATGGCAGGGCGGTGGGTAGGGATTGGGGCAAGGTGCTGACAAGGAGGATGTTGAACAAGCTGTCTGCTAGTAGAACAGCAAAAAGTATTGTAGGAGCAGACCCAGACGCTTTTGAGCCGTATAACTCAATAACAGAGCCGCGTGGTCCGCCGGCCCCCGTATTCGATCCCGATCGTCCCGTTGCGCCTTCGGAGACCGATCTCTCTCCGGGAGAAGCCTCGACGATTTTTCCGACAGCAAGAGATGAGAATTCAGAGGAAGTAGTTGACAGCGTATCCTGTGCAAAAGTATCGTACTCGTACTAATTGCAGTCATGCATTACAAAAACAAATTTTCCTCCCAAGGTAAATCCGCATGTTGACAAATCTGATTTCACATGCTGAGGAAATTCAAATTTGTAATGCATTTATACGAGTGGGAGTGCGATACTTTTGCAAATGCAAAAATGTCTGGGTCTGGAAGTCGGGACTTGCCATGCACATTTTGCATGACCCGTGAGGTCTGTGATGCTGGTGCTAGCATCACAGATTTTTTCAGAGCTTCTTGATGCTAATTACGCATGACAAATGCCCTCTCCGCGTGCCAGGAACTGACTCCTCTTGCTGCTCATGCAACACAGATATTTTTAGAATCCGCAGACAGCAATACAAGTTGCATTTTTCCAGACCCAGACATTTTTACACTTGATACTCTGGGGCGCGTTGCGATCTGCGGAAGTTTTGCAAATAGTTGATTCTTATCCTGTGCGAAAGTATCGTACTCGTACTAATCGCAGTCATGCAAGACAAATTTCTTGCTCAAGCTAAATCAGCATGAGAAATTCCATTTGTCATGCTGAGCTAATTTGTATTGCAATACTACGAGTACGATACTTTTGCACTGCATAATTCTGTCGTCACGTGTGGCCGCGGGGGAAAAGTAGTTGCAAACGATACTACAAGGAATCGTCTCGGAGAAGCTACTGCCGGGGACCAGCAGCTGCACGACCTTTATCAAGACGTCGATCGTGGAAATAACCGAGATGTTGAGTTGCTGCAAAATCAAAATGTGGTTGCGCGCGACCATCACCAGAACCACTCAGAGCAGATTGCGGCAAAGTCGCTGAGTCTAGCAAGGGAGAGATGTATTAAGAAAAGTAGTAAGGTTTGTACTGCTGATCTAGCTTTGATTGTTGTGTTGCTACAGTAATGCAGAAACAAGACCGCTTATTACTTGTGCAAAACAAGTGCCAAAGGTCTGCTAGTAGTACTACATGCAAAATTTGTACAACAGTGAAGATGATGTCTGTCAAACCGAGATGGTCTTTGTCGTTTGATGTTTGATTTATATATTATTGAACCGGATGAAACACGCGGACGCGGGGCCGCAAAGGAGTCAAAAAAGCGTAGAGAGCAGATCCAAGAGGTTACGCACGTTTGTGTTCACAGTCAGGGCTACTTAGTATTTTCTAAACCCCCGAATTGTAAGCCAAGGCTAACAAGCCAGGGGGGTGCATAATTTCGGAACATACATCGTAATGATTAGATTTAGAATCAATCGTTTTGACCTTTTCGTGGAAGGGCTCCAGTACTCCACCCGCAGCACGGGGAGAAATCGTTGAATAGTCACCATCGTTTTTCATTCCTCGTCTTGAAAACACGAAAAGACAAGGAATTGGATCGCCTGAAAAGCAGGTCTCGGTGAGTGTTGCCCCATCAGGAACTACATGAGACTTACCCAAAAGAAATAACGCCCCGAGTTGTATATATGTTTCTGACACTGTAAAAGTAAATAAGATTTTGATGTGAATGAAAATAACTGTAAATGTGAGTTCTTAAAGTATGTGGTATGTGCTCATGCCCAACAATTGCTACGTCAAGTACCTTTAGTAGCCGCCGGAAGGATCAATCTCCAGAAATAAGAGGTTTTTCGCACCACGACAATTGACACACTAAAGAATCAATGTCCACAACTTTGCGACCTCGCGTAGTACAAGCAAAAAAAATAGAAAATCCAAAAATGGCGACAACTTCCGCGGAGAAGAGCAACACCTCCGAGATGGATTCCAAGGCCGCCGCCCCGGAAGAGCGAATCACGAAAATCCCACCCCCAGCGCCGAGCCCCCTCGTCGCCGTGCGGGATTTTGTTCTGCTCCTCGTCATGGGCTTCGCCTTTGGTTTTTTCTTCGAACGCTCGCACGTGTACGAGCCCCTGGTAATCCGCGAGCAGTTCATCTTCAAGACCATGATCATGCTGAAGATGTTCATGGGCGCGGTCGTGGGCGCCTGCATCTCGTTCTTCGTCTGGAACAAGATCGACAGAGAGAGGATGCAAGCGGTGCGCGAGTCGAAGTTGATCACCTCGAGCTCTGCGAAACGAGTGCTGCTTGGCGGCGGCATTCTGGGCGCCGGGATGGTCGTCGGCGGCGCCTGCCCGGGCATGGTGTTGCCGCAAGTAGGGACCGGGGTGGGGAACGCGTGGATCACGCTGCTCGGCGGGTTTTTCGGCGCCTTTCTCGCAAATGTGCTGAAAGCGGTGGAAGGTCGTGCTGGGAGAAATAATAGCAGCTGCGACAGTGGAGCTTGCGGTAGTGCTCTTGGCGGTAGTACAACGCAGTACAACTATGTTGACAATTCTGAAAGTAAAAGCCCCGCGACATCGAGCAATCTTGGTGCAGTTGCGCCGACAGCATCGGCGAAAGAAGAGGACTTGCAAGGAACTTCTAGTGATCCTCCATCTGCGGAGAGCAAATTACAAACCAAAAATTTCTCCGCAGGTACTACTTCTGCTTCTACCCCAACGATGCAGTCCCAGTACGCAGACCTCCGTTTCGGGATTCCCTTCAATACCGCCATGATCGCTTTCGGGTTATTTTCGGCGCTCTTCTGTCTCGCCTGCGAAATCCTGTTGCCGTTTAAGGAGGAGCTGCACAACCACGGAAAAAACCACGATTGGAAGGACCACGCGTGGCCGCCGTCGCTGTGCGGTTTGGGCATTGGGTTAGTCAATTTGGGTTCCGTCTTCATCGCCGCCCGGCCCATCGGCTCCTCCACCGCCTACGCCCAGCTGGCGCTCATGGACCAGTTGATTCCCGCCAAGTTTCCACAGAAGCTGAAACCGTTTGAAAAGTTTCAACTCCTCGGGTGGTACTGGCAAGTCCCGTATCTGATGATGGCCGTTTTCGGCGCCTACTGTTCGGCCAGGCTCGCGGACAACCTGCCCAGCGGCGCGCCGTACGTGCAGTCTGAAATAACCGCTTTTCTCGGTGGAACTCTGATGCTCTTCGGATCCAGGCTCGGTGGCGGGTGCACCAGCGGGCACGGGATTGCCGGCATGCCGCTGCTCAACTTGTGGGCGAGTATGGAAGAGAAATTGTATTATTGCGGATCTTTTACCGTTTTACACGGTAACGAATGCATTACCGTGCGGTATGCAGCACGAATTTCGACAATCTAGATGACGATAAGTACTTGATAGAAAGCAGGAAAGCCCTATGAGCGCACTTGTGCCATACTAAACTAGATTGATTACAAATTTGCAGAAAAGCAAAAGCCGGAATGCGCTTGTGCTTACCAACGTCATGTAGGGTCCTCGTCGTGTCCGTGTAGTAGGGTAAATTTTCCATGCATAGCGATCGGGGCGGTGTGTTCCATGTTCGGGGTTGGTATCCTGGTCGCAGTGAGTATGGAGCTGGCCGGCGAGTTGGCGTTGAGCGCCAGGTTGTGAAGCAAAATGTTGCTTTGCAAGCAAAATGTTGCTTGGGCGGAACACCTCCAGGAGGAGGAAATAGAAAGTGACAGAAACCTATACCTATTAAATTGCAAAAACTAGTACTGATCATCATGCTTATCCTTATCATAATCCACGTCATGAGACGTTGATTGGTGTAGTTGGTACTGACTACCATTATGTGTCGCGCAAGAGTTCTTGCGTGCGTCATTCAACAATGCAGCTTGTTGAGATGATACTAGTTCGAAAATTTGCTGTGTGTGTGTGTGTTAATTATCGCGTTTCAGAGATGAAAGTTTAAGTAGAGTGCAAGATGAGTAGGACCCACAAAACGCATCACGACAATGACCAACACCTGTGTACAAAAATCCCTTGCTTACTTAAGCTTCCGAAGGGAAAGATAGAATATTGTCGATGCAGCGCCACTGTTGCATGGGCAGCTCCGATTACTACTCAGTACTTACCAACCGCAAGTCTGGATCTTTCTTTCCACCTTGTTCGCGCTCTCGGAAATATGTCGAGACTTCGGCGCAAGGAGTTGTATTCTCTTTTTTATCAACATTCGTTTGCTCGTTACTTCGCGTCATGGGTAGGATTTGAACATTTGGGTTTCTGGGCATTTCTCGTTAGGTTGATGCTCCTGTTGCAAAGCACCCAGGTCGTTGTTTGGGGGGGGTGGCTTCTCGTGTCGCTAGCGCGGAGACAAGCCGACTATTGAGGAACACGGTTTCCTTACAGAGCTCGGAGAAGAGTGGAGAGAGCCGCAACTACTGAAAGAGCTGCTGTCACAGACCATCCTCGTATTTTCTCAAACTACTGAAGCCTCACTTCTTGTTGAAGAAACAGAAAATTTAAAGGTACAGAAAAGAAATTGCGAACGAAATGTACTAGCGGTCATCATCTTCCATAGTATCTCAGCTAGGCGAGAAGATGACGTTGAGAGCTGGGCCTGTATTTATCTACAAGTCGAAGCGTTATTGTACGAAAACGGGTCCTCCCGAAATATAGTAAAATTATGCTACAGAGAGAGACCACAGCGTGGGGAGACGTCGATAGTATCCTATTGCAAGGGCAACAAGCAGCCAGCACCAGCGCTATCAAGCAGAATGACGGATTTTTGAAGCTTCTCCCGCCCTTGTTCCTCTCCGTGCTGTTCACTTTGATCGGGCGTTTTATCCTCCGGAAAAAGCTAGCATGGCGGAACGCGATCGTGAAGAATGTGTTCTGGAAGTTCCAGTTCAACCTCCACCCCGTCATCGTCGGCCTCTGCGTCTATCTCGCCAGCTGTCCGAAAGACCTCTACTTTGCCGAATACGCCAGTTTCATGGTCGTCCCCTTCGCCTTCAACTTCGCCGTCGAGCCGTGGGACCTCCCGTTCCGGGATAAACTTTTCTCCCTGTTTTTCTACCTCCACCACTTCGGGCCGGTGGTGGGATGCATCGCCGCGGACTGGGCGAGCAACCACTTGGCGGCCGCGGGGAAAATTATACCGCTGTCCGCGACGGTGACCAGCAACAGTACCAGCTTACCCGCCACCGCGCTGCTGTTCGCGCACATCTGGCTGCTGCACCCGATCGGCACGCTGGACGCGAAAAAGCTCCTGAACAAGCAGAAGATCTTTTGGCCCTACGTGCTTCAGGGCTTCTTGCTCAAAATCGCCTTTTGGCGGGAGATGATCACGGCCGAAAAAGTGTACGTGTCGAATTACGGCCTCATCCAGATGCAGACCGACGCGATCGTGCTGGCGATCTTTCTGCAGTTCATAGGCCGGTGGGGGTCGTTTCTGCGATTGCGATTGAGGTTTAAAATCATGAAGGAAGACAAGTTTGAATGGCACAAGTGCTTCTGGGAGCCAACACTCTTTTTCGTGGCGTATGTGGTCGCAAATCACGTTTTTCTGGTGATATACTGACAATGATACACGTATTGCATTTTTTTAGCACCGCGGTGCTCGCTTCAGCAAGTCACGTATAGGAGCTGCTGCATATTGGCACTGTTTTTGAAAAGGACACGCACAACGTGGTGGCACGGTATTTTTATCACTGCCGGGCGCTATTCGACCCTCCCTCGTTCCCGTGCCACGTCTTGTTCAAGTGCGTGCTGCTCTCGAATAATGCCGTGTCATCGGTGTAAATCAAAATCGTATCCTTGTGTTGGTCGTGCGATGAAGAAGATCGTTTCCCGTGGTATTTTTTTGATCCCGAAGAGTAAAGGTCGCATTCATCAGGAATTTTCCCCACTGCTGTGTAAGTTTAAAGTATGGGTATGCTGCAGTTATCCGTAAAGTGAAGTCTATATCTATGCACCAGTTTCTATTAGTTTCGGTCTGTTAATAAACGGAAACTGAGTTGTCTCCACCGATTCCGTTGAGTCTTTATGTCGCAAAATTTTATGGTTCGCTAGCAGTGAGCTAAAGCTCTGTCCGTGCATTACCCAGCACCATGCCCCGTGTCGAGCAGACCCTGGTGGGTTCCTCCTCCCTTGCCGGGGACGGATTGACCATTTGGAGTAAGGATTTTTGCTACTACGGGCACGCGAACCAATTTGTGGAGTCACTGCAGATCCGGTTTTTCACCCGCGCATTGTTTTCGCTCATCTTCCTCAATTTCCACGACTCCTCATCCCTGATGGAGGAGAAGCAAGTCACGCCACCGCAGTATTCGTGGCCCGGCTGGATGTTTGTGAAGGTGATGAAGCCGATCAAGCCGGGGGACTGTATTGGCGTGAATTTTCTTTCCAGTACTACCGCGGAAAATCTGAGCGCCACAACGACACCAGGGACGACATCTTCGAGGAGCGAGGCGAGTCAGGCCGCGGGCGGTACTTCTACCAGTGATGTAGTATCAGCATCAGAGTCTACTTCTGCTCCAGTGGTCGTGAAGCAACCCGACAACTCGCACGTTCCGGGTAGGGAAATTTTGGAGCTGAAGCAAGCAACAGAAGGTGTAGGTGGACGGGCTGGAAGTTCGTCCGGTGGGCCGACAACTGCAAGTCCACCACCGGAAGCAGGACAAGAAGACGAAGCAGCGTCAGAGGTTGAAGACCCAGAAATCGAGTTCGCTCTTTCGCTGAACAGCACGCTAAACAAGATGCTGGCGACCATGGGACCTTGTCAAGACGTCAACGAGGCGACGCACCTGTTCATGACGGATGTGGAGAGGGACAGGAAGCTCCGCGCGGGCAGCTTCTACCCAAAAACGGAATGGTCGACGGAAACGACGCTACCCCCGACGAAGACCATCACAGACACCGTCGACGGACAGGTCGTCACGACGGTCGCGCAAAACGGCTTTCGCATCCGCCGCATGTTCGCGTTGGAGCACTGTCGCGGGCTGCTCGTGTCGCACTACCGGATCGCGCCGCAGCTCAAGTGGTGCGACATATCAAGAAGAAAAATCCCCCCTCCCCATATCAAAACGTAAATCTGTGATGCAGATTTGTGGTCACAAATCAGCTTTGTCATGCTAGAAGGAAAGACGTGCGGAGTGTAATGCTGGCTGGCGTGGGAAAGCCTTGCGCCTTCAGCATGACAGAGAGCAACTGGAAGGGGGAAACAGCATGACAAATTGCCTGCAAACGAGGCCACAGCTGCGGCTTTTGGCCTTCTGGCATTACAAGTCGACTTCGTGTACTCAAATACAGCATCAAAAATTTCGTTTTCGTTATGGGGAGGGGGGATTTTTCCTTTTGATACGACAGCGACGGGCGAGAAAAGTTCACGTCGAGCCAGAAGCGCGTCGCGAGTCAGGGATTTCAGGCACACCACCCGCATGCGAGCACCATGTGGTGGTTTTCGAAACCAAGGACACGGTGTATAATTTGCTTCTTGCGACGAGTTGTCCTTGTGTGTTAGCAGTGAAGTTGTGCATGAAAAATAAAAGATTGCTTCACATGCAGAACAAATAAATGAAAATGCACATCATCAACTGAAATAACCAATAAGTAGCGTCAGCAGCAGCACCATGCATACCGTTAAGAATCAATCGGATAACAAGTCAACATGAGAAATAAATTCTTCGAATGTTCAATAACTACACAGTCTCCAAGAGCTCGGCGTCAGTGACAATGTAGACGCGGAGGACCGGGATCTAGTTCCTTTCGAGCAAGTGAACGACTTTGTGATGCGGCGCGCGGGGCACTTTTCCATGGTGTGCGTCTACCTGAATGAGAACCACCCCTACGCTCCTGACTACGCCCTGGCGAAGGAGCGGCTGAGCTGTCCGCGAACCAGCAGCGAAACGGAGCACACGGACCCGGAGGTGAACGAAGCGGCTGCGGCGCGAGCGAGGAATGACAAGAGCACTGCAACATCGGCGCAATCTTCGCAAGAAGAACAAGTAAAAACCGGTAAGTCCTCCTTCGTGGTCTTTGGCAATTTCGCTTGGCAGTACTGTGTGCAGGAATTATTCGCAGTGCTCGCCATGACGGATCTAAACACGAAGCCGGGGCCGACGAAGCAGGAATTGAATTACCTGGAGCAGCTATTGACCATGAATAAATTGTTTCACAATCGGATCCTAGTGGATTACGAGATCCCACAGTTCGACCTCTGGTCCTTCAGCACGAGAGGGCTGGAGTATAGTGACGATGATCATGATGCTGGCGAAAGAAGCACGACAGCACGCAAAAGGCCGGGGGCAGGTGAAGGAGGAGAACAAGAAAACCAAACCGCGCTGCAATCTGCGGTTCTTACCGGGCAGAAACACACGACCACAACGACTGCGTCAGACTCTGAGCTCGACGATTTGTACCGCGTGGACGAGTTTTCCGGCGGCAGAGAAAATCTCACGGTGTACGGTCCGCTCGCAGCGCACGTGCGCGAGAACCGAGCACCTTGGCTAGCGATGTTAAAGAGTAGTTCCGCTGCTACTGCAGAAGAAGATAAAAATCCGGACCTCGATCATGAACAAACGTCGCAAATTGAAATCGCCGACAGATCTTCCCTCTACTCCCTTCTCGATCACGAGATTTTTCTTCCACGGGAGTACCGCGCCGCGCACAACGAGGAAAAGAAGGGCGCGAGACTGCGAAAGAAACTGGATCTGGAAGCGCAGTACGCGGACCGGGAAGCGGCGATGGGATGGATAGGGTCAGGAATAGCGTTTTCGTTTGACGAGGAGAAAGCGAAACAAAGGAAAAGCCGGCTAGAGCACCACGATTACTACGATGGCAGGGCGGTGGGTAGGGATTGGGGCAAGGTGCTGACAAGGAGGATGTTGAACAAGCTGTCTGCTAGAACAGCAAAAAGTACCGCAGGAGCAGACCCAGACGCTTTTGAGCCGTATAACTCAAGAACAGAGCCGCGTGGTCCGCCGGCCGCCGTATTCGACCCCGATCGTCCCGTTGCGCCTTCGGAGACCGATCTCTCTCCGGGAGAAGCCTCGACGATTTTTCCGACAGCAAGAGATGAGAATTCAGAGGGTGTTGACAGCGTATGCACTGCAAAACTATCGTACTAGTAGTATAAATTGCCCAAGAACAAAAATGCAACTTGCCATGCTATTTCAGGTAGACAGTTGGATTTGTCATGCATATCTGCATTTAGAACGAGTGCGATACTTTTGCACGGGATACAGCGTGAGCAACAACTATGACTGGACGACCACGTTTCTCCGTCTCGACCCGTGGTACACGATTCTGAACATCCCGCACACCATATGAGAGTGCACAACTCCCCCTCCCCCTCATTTGTATTGCATGAGCAGCAATACAAACACCCGCACGCGTGGGGCCGGTGCATGACAAATTTATGCGCCTAGATTAGAAGTACTGTTTGGGCTTGTTCCGGAATCTGTCATGCAGACAGTGCCACTACAGGGAAGCACTTGGATTGAGGCTTCTGCATGACAAACGAGGGGAAGGGGGAGTTGTGCGCTCTCATACCCCACCTTCTGGCGCCAGTTCTACCGAACGATGCACGTGGAAACGCACCGGGTGCTGGAGAGAAAAAGCTTTTTCCCGACACACGTCGTCTACCTGTGCCCTTTCACGGAGAAACTGTTGCCGTTCGTGCTGGACAGAAATAAACATCATCGTGATACTAGAGAACAAGCGGATGTCGAAGTTGTTCAGAGCAACACTGCAACTGTTGCAACACAAAAAGACCCGCGGCTTGAAAACTTCAGGGAAGCTGGGCTGATTCCGAAGTTTGTGCAGATGCCGTATCCGACGAAAAACGTGTTTGAAAAGAAGAATCACAAGCGGATGCGGGACAGGACGGAGATTGATTTCTTCTACGCGGGGAATTGCATGATGGAAAACCAGAGGACGATGTTCATGCCGAAAGCAACGACTTCCTCCTCTGCAGCGCTTTTGCATCTCCTGAAGAGAACAAGTAGTACAACAGCTATGATCCCGCAGCAAGAGAAGAAGAAGCTCGCCACAACCTCAGAAATCGAAGCCGACGACCAAGACCAGGACGTTCCTGAGTATGTTGAAAGTCCAAATACTGTGGTTGCGGAGGATCATACAGATACAACCTCTCAGACCACGGACGCAGCAGGTGCAGCAGCTAATCCAAAATACTCAAGAATCCCCGACGTCCGCATCAACTTCCAAATGTTTGGTGCGAGTCAGGAGAAGCTGGCCCCGATCTACCTGGGGTCGGAGTACAAGGAGGAGTACCTGTCACACAATGTGAACTTGACTTTTACGCCGAATTCCGACAAGATTAGCAACGACGAGAAGTACAGGCTGTACGAAGACGCGCGGGTTTGTTTGACCCACAACGTGCTGCAGATTCACTTCCGAAACGGTGCGAACAGCTTTGTGCCAAAATGGGTGCGGAGGCAGCTGTATGACTTGCAAAAGTATCGCACTCGTATAAATGCATTACAAATTTCCGCAGCAGTAGAAATAGAATTTGTAATCATGCTAATTTGCCTTAAGAAAGGACAGGATCTGTAATGCATAACTACAATACGAGTACGATACTTTTGCACAGGATAAGCTGGAACTGAAAAATCCGCAAGTCATGAACCCGCTGTTCCGGGACTTTTTCGTGAGAAGAAGAGCCGGGGATAAGGCACGAGCTGGGATAAACGCGGAAAACGTTCTCGAAAGCAGTGGATTTTTAGGCTCATCCTCTGACATTACGACTATGTCAGAGTCGTCCACTTCAGAGCAGCAGCAGCTCCGGTTTTCCCGCGCAAATAAAAAACAAAAACTCTCGTCCTTGGAAGCCTTTGCTGCTCAGCAGCTGGAGCATCATTCGGTGTACAACGTGAGTATCCGGAAAAGTATTGAAAAATACGAAAGGATACAAACGTTCGAGGAGTTCCACGAGAAATACAGGCTCCGCGACCTCCAACACGAGAAAATCCGGCCGCTGGGCTACCCGAGCGGCTTTCCGGTGGTAACGTTCCCGCAGCTGAAAGCCCGGGGCATCGAGGCGGCCTTTGGCAAGTGCTTAAATCTGGTGTTAGCGGATCACTGGGGGCTGTTGGAGGACTTCTTCGTCCCCGGGAAGCACTTTCTGTACGTCAAAGACATCGACGAAGCCCTGGAAATCGTGCGACGGGTAAAGGAGTTGTATAATGCGGATTCTGCAGATGAAGGAGCATATGCAGCAAGCACAGAGGAGGAACGAAGACGGGACGCAGCAGAGCGAAAATTTATCGAAGACATGACCGACGCTGCGTATGAGCATGCGAGGACCGCCTATACTTTTTCTGTCTTGAACAGGAAGATTGACGACATTATCTTGAACGAGTGAAAGCATTTAATATGAACATGCAGGTGGAGGACTTAGATAGAAGCTGGCGACATCATCGAGTCTTGTGATGTTTTTCTCTATTCTTAAGTAGAGTGGTGCGGGCTTCTTAGGGAGGAAAACCGGGCGCGACGACTAGGATCGGAAAATTTTTTTTGCGCGGGCACATAAGTGGTCGCTTTTGGTCGGTATCAACGCCGGGGGTGCTCAGCTCAACGCCTCGCATTCAGAAAGTACAGCGACTGTGCGAACTCCCGCCCCAAGGCGTACCCATTGCCCTGAATTGTTGCGATGGCCGGAGGCCCCTTCCGACAACATCGAAAGCATCAGTAACAACTGGGCGCCCACAAGTAGCATAAGCACTTGCGCCACCTGATTGAGCTGCCTCACAGTGTTGGCCGCCTCGGCCGCGGATCCCGTCCCGCCGTTTGCGCTACCGGCTGCCGGTCAAGCGCGCCGCCCCGCGCGCGCCCCGCCCCCGCAGGGCTTTTGCCGGCCCCGGGCGCCCGGGCCCAAGCTCCCGTCCGAACTTTTGGGGCCCGCCCGGGATTTTCCCGGATCCGGGACAAATCCGGGACATTTTTTGGGGCCAGATATTTTCCAGGAATTTTCGCCAGAAATCGGCCAGATTTGAAAGGGATTTTGTTGGAATACAGGTGGGGCACGACTAGAAAACTTGGCCCGGATTTGCCGGGGATTTCGCGCCGATTGGCCCCCCGGAAGGGGACAAATCCTTGGCCAAACCGGGGAAATTTCCGGGAATTTCCGGCCATCCCGGATTTGGGCCAGATTTGAACGGGATTGTGTTGGAATGTAGGCGGGGGACGACTAGAAAATTTGGGCCGGATCCGGCCCCGGCCCGGACCGGGCCGTCCCCCGCCCCAACGCAAGTCCCCCCAACTCTTGCGGCCGGGCCCGCTTCCGACCACCCGCTTCCTACGGATGGCAAGGGTCAGCCAGAGAAAGTTCCACACCTGCCAAGAGGGGCAAGACGTGATGGACATTGCTGGGCAGGAAGTGTCTGCGTGCACTTTCATAGAAGGGCCACCAACATCGCAGGACGACGATGGCGAAGATTGGATGTGGGGGTGATGAATGAAGGGGAAAAAAAGGAAAGAGCTATGACCGACCAAGAGCAACTATTTATGTGCTCGCGCAAAAAAAATTTTCCGATCCTAGTCGTCGCGCCCGGTTTTCCTCCCTAAGCTTCAGCGCTGTTCCAGAGGCAGGCCACGTGACTGTATGATCATAAATCTGTTTCTGTTTCTTTTTGGTCTCATGATGATCTTCTATGCCGTATTCGGCCTATTGCATTCCGCCGTTTTTGTCAGTCGAAAAGAAAACGTGGAAGATCCCGTCGCGTGCGCAGTCGTTGGAGTCTTAGATCGACTTCGAACGCATCATGTGTTTTTCGCAATGAAGAGAATTTTGGGCGAATAACGGTGGCGTTGCAAGAATATCTTCAGGACGAAGTCTTTTTTGGTGGCGTTTTCTCAGTAGAGTAGAAATCGGCCGTTTGTCAATAGTCTCTAGCATCACCCGCTTTTAACGAAAGTATGTACGTAGTTTCGAATGTATTTACATGTAGTTTCAGTGTTTGCAAGGAGCATATCAATGAATCCCCAGCATTATTTCTGTTTGCGAAAGACAAAGTTGCACTCACGACAAAGGTAACAATACACTACAACTAAAATGGCAGCTAGTCCTGCCCCACCTGTGCGATGGAGATCATCGTGGCGGCCGCTTGTTTCCTCGTTTTGGAAAGCAGTTTACCTACTTTTCGCGCTCGATCAGCGCCACATTTGCCTCGGTCTACTCCACCGCGCATCCGGTCCACCGAGCTCGTCGCTGCAGTTGCTCGCTTCGGCCCGGGCCCTAAACCGACATCAAGGACCACGTGACGCAGCACGAACTGATGCGCCTTTGTCGGACCTCACCGCACAGCATCTTCGCCAGACGGAGGAGGCCCAGCGGGAAGCCGAGCGCCTGCGCCGCATACGTCGGTATCCACCGGCCACCTCAGCTTTGCCGCGACACAGTTCGGATCCTGCGGTAACCAGCACGACAGAGTTTTTTGGCGACGAGGAGGATGAGTATCCGTATTCAGGACAAGTACTGCAGCAGCGAATTTCAATCGAGCCTCTCCTTGCACCTCCAAGACCGCGTCTAAATTATTTTCAGCCCTCCGATGATCATGATGGAACATCACTTCCGAATACGGAAACAGGGGCTGCTTCGTCCTCGGGTCCGCGACGCCCAGACCGAGACAGTGACGGCACTAGATTTTCGGAAAATTTTTGGCCAAGGACAGGAAATAAAAATCTTCACGGTCGACGTTCCAATTCGCCGCACGACCAGCAAAGAGGAATACTAGATCATAGTGCGAGCAGCGCCAGCGGCACTTTTGCTGAGGGAACACCAGCAAAGTTTTCTTCACTATGCTCCTGCAAGAATAAGAAATCTTCTACCCTGATGGGAAGTCAGCGTCCTGACCCGCTAGAATGCACCATCTGCTGCGAAGGCGCCGACGAGGGCCGCCCCTGCCACACCCCCTGGTACGCCGGCGACCCGGTGCCGCAGCAAAAGGAGGACTGCGTCCAAGATTTCCTAGAGCAGTTTCACCCGTTCTTCGCGGAAACGTACGCGCAGAGTCGGGAAGCTCGTGCCAGGCGTGTGACCGAGTCACAAGCAGCATCTCGTCGGACGGGGTCCTCGCGGTCAAGACGAACGAATTTACTGTCCAACTTTTTTGATCCTGAGGAAGTAGATACGCCCAGAGTTGTGGCTGCAGCCACCGTCGTTCCAAGGGCAGGTCGAAGACCGTTCTCCACTGCAGGAGCGGACTGGGAGGAGGACTTGCCTGCTCCTGTTTCCCCGACGAGCCGACCTCAGACCCTGGAGCGGTTTCTGGGAGTCACGCTGGCGCGGAGGCAGAGAACACGGAGATTATACGGGGACAGAAGTACAATTCCAGCTACAACCCTTCCTCTTCTTGCGCAGGAGCCTACTACAACTTCACGATACGCCAGTAGCACATACTTGCCCTCGTCCGTCAGCCGGGCGCAGAGGTGGCTGGGTGCAGCGACCAACTCGACCGGCGCTCCGAGTTATTCATTTGGAGGAAGCGTGGCCGCCTCGTCCGGTGTGGCTGCTATCGCGGCGTTGGGCGGCGCAAGTAGGAGCTCGAACCCTGCTGGTCGTCTGCGAAGGCAAGCTGGACGAAGTCAATCTGCATCTTCTGCTGGTGCGCAGCCGGACGAGCAAACCACCAGTGACGCGGCCACAGCGGTCGAGCTGGATGGAAGCGGTGCTCGAGTTGTTGCGGACCTAAACTACAGTAGACGAGAAAATAATGCTCAAGAACCACTGCCAGACGATGACGACCAGACCAGGACATTCACCGATGCGAGCGGAAACACGTGGACGGGGTCTAGAGGAAATTACCTCGGCCCCTGGGTCGGCTGGTCGATGTCGGAGCTGTGGAGTGGTACCGGAAGGAGCAGAGAAGGTCCGGCAGCACAACCACGAGCCGCCAATTTACAGCGACCCACCCAGCAATACGACGAAGATGAACGACCATCCCGTTTGGAGGAAATTGCGGACTCCTTCCGAACTGATTTCGACGTAATCCGAACCGGGATCCGCAGCGATCTGGCCACTGTGTCCGACGCTTTGCGCAACTTGCTCTGCGTCCCCTACTTCTCAGCAGAAGGTGGACTGCTGAATTCCTTGAGGCAGTCAACGGCTGGGAGGTCTTCGGAAGAACGTCGGGATAGTGCAGCAGGACGAACGGCGTCTGCTCCCCTGGGCCTAACCACCGCGGGCCTGATCGCCGGTGTGGCGACCGGTGGAGAATTGGGCTCCGTGTTCGCCATGGCGCTTGCCGAAGAGAATAATCAGGGGGAAAGGAACACTGGAGATAGGTCTGGTGCGACAACAACTGAAGGCACGCGGCCAGGAAACAGCCTTAATGCTGCGCAGGGAGGGACTGGAGGAGCTGCGACCACTTCATCAGCGTCGACGTCTGCAGCTTTTAGAAGTCGAACTACGCGTTCGCACCGCGTATTCGCTGAGGACCCGCTCTTGATGTCTCAGGCAGAAGTGGTGCGACAGCAAACAGACACGATCTTCAGCACAAACACCGGAATACAGGATGAAGCAAGCACACGACGTCGACACGCGGGACGAGCTACAAACGATGCAAGTGAACCACCGCCTACTGGTACTGCCACGTCAGACACTAGTAGTACACGGCGGGACGAGCAAGATCTCGCACTGGAGCAACAGACAGCCTCCTCATCGTCCAACGCTAGGCAGTACTACTCGGCTCCGGCGATCATGACAAAGCACGAGTCTACTTCGGTACTGCCTCAACGTCAACAAAGAGGTGTTGCGGATCAGGATCTTCATGGAAGTTACAATCGGGAAAATGATGCTGGGTCATTGGATCTGCACGGGCAGGAGCAGACAACGCTTCGTGAACAATTTCTCGCAGGCCCACAAAGTAGTCATGAGCGTCCACGCACGGAGAGTGGCGATTCTACCACGAGTAGCAGTAGTTGCCCCAGCTGGCAGTGGAAAGACCGAGTTCTACTTGGGTCCGACGCAGAACACGATTCTCCGCCGCGCCCCCAAGATCTCCTGGCCGCGGCTTCTGCATTTGGTCAACAAAGGCGAGGTCACGAGCAAGCGATTCTGCACTATTACTACCTGCTGTCTACGCGAGAAGAAGCGAGGCAGATGCACGGTGCGACGAACAGTGTTTGTAGTGCGGGAGCTGACCAAGACCACAGTAGTGCGAGTAGAGAGGCAGCAGGTGCAGGCCATCTCGACGTGTCTCAACATCAAAAGGGAATAAAGGCCGACGAGAGCAAAGATGGACGAACAAGAGACTGCCGTGCAGAAGTAGAGGATGAGCTGCGAGGTTTGGAAGAAGATCTTGAGGAGCTGGCCGAAATGTTCGAACAACTGAGCACCGATGCGTCGGAGCGGTTTTGCGCAGCCGATGCACAGCCGGCTCCAGTGAGACTGAAGAGCAGAGCTAACCAGGATCATAACCAATCGGAGCAGTCGGCGGATGCAGCTCGTCTTCGGTCTTCTACTCCTCCGGCTGGTGGTTCCTCCTGTGGTACTCTCGCCTGCGGTATCACCGCGAAAAGGCTAGGAGGGTGTGCTTGCGAGGTGGACTTCGAGGGTGCCCGGCAGGAGGACGATATGAAGATAGTACCTGACTCAGGAGAAACAAAATCGCAGAAAAATTGTCCGAAACGGGATGAAAGAAGGACGGACGAGGAAGATAAGGTTAAGGATGCCTTATTACGAGTTGACTGTGCAGCAGCCGGGGTCTTGCCTGCTACTGCTTCTATCATCGAGGACTTTGACCGACTATTCTCTGAGCGAGTAAACAATCTAAAGTCCGACCACCGGCTATTGGCCATCACTCTGAACATGGAGAAGCGATTCACGAAGTCGGGGTTGCTGAACCTCCTGAGTGGCGAGTCGGAAGTCCAGGCGTCTTTGCAAGGAAGATTGCACGAATCGTTCAGCCCGCCGTTTCCGAGCGACACTCGGGTGCATGCGACAGCAGAGATTGACGCCGTACTCAGTGCCATCCGTTCGTGCCCCTTTCCATCTGTAGGAGATAGTTGTAAGACCACCTCCTCCGCAGCGCCGGAGGAAAGGCGATTTGAAGCAAGAGGATCACAGCCTAAGAACGTCGCTGGTGCAACAAGCTTTGTTAGCACGAATCCGTTCGATACCGATGACGATGCTATGGCAGCTGCAGGTCGTAATCCAGTGACAGCAGCTGCAGCTAGCGGCACAACTAGCAGGAGCAGGAGGACAAATCCCTTCGCTAAATCTGATGATGAAGGGGAGGAACCCGTAGTTGTAACATCAGGCGGTCAACAATATCCGAAGAAGGATCTATTCTCCCAGGTCGTTTCTGCGTTAACCTGGGTGGTATCAAATGAAAATACGTCTGGGTCTAGAAGATTGCGAGATTTGTCATGCTGATCTGGCATGGCCCTTAAATCTGTATTGCATGGCCAAAAACAGCCTCTCTCGCCTGTCATGCAAAAACGCACTTTCTCATGCGGAATACGCAGCACAGAAGCACGAAGCAACTTGTCATGCTTGGCGGCGCATTGCAGTGCATTTGTTATTGATTGAATTGCATCACAAGTTTCCAGTCCCACACATTTTTGCATTTCATATTCGGTGGCGTTAAGTAACGTCATGTCGACGGTCACGGACGAAACGCTGCGGGCAATCGACATCGACGACTTGGTTTTGCTGGTGGATTCCTTGACCTTTTTACTCGAATACGGTGACTGCCTCGAGGAAATGCATGCGTATTTGCACCTAAGGAGGAACGGAGTGAAGCCTTCAAAAACTTCTACGGGTGAGGACAACCATCAAACGGAGAAAATTGAAGACCAGCGGGGCTTTTCTACCCGCTCTCTTGGCGCAGGCGCGTCTGACGAGTGCCCTGGTGTTGGAGAAGAAGAGAAGGAAGTTGTCGTTTGTTTGGAAGATGAGGAGCCTCCACATAATTCTACCGGGCGTGGTTCTGCTTCCGGTTCAACCCATGCGGAGGGGCCTCCTTGCAGCATCAAGCACAATATTCAAAACGCGGGCATTAGCGCCTCAAGCGGTTCATCCGAAGACCCACGACACAGTGCCACGATGAGCTGCCAAACGGGGCTTTTAGCTCGTGAAAAAGCGGAAGTTCTGCCGCTGTTTGCGCAGGACGGGGCCGCGCACGAGAACGAGTACGAGATGAAGAAGCCAACTACTAGCAGCAGCAGCTCTAGCAGTTTTTCGCACCAGCATCCTGCTCCTGCTGCTGCGCAAGTTCCATCATTTTCGCGGCGAGAAGCAGCTGGCGCACTACAGAGCGCCAACGAAGCAGTCGCTGAAGAGAATAAGGCGATGACACGGGACCTACATCTTCACAACCACCTGCATGCCGCCAATGAGATTTCAAAGGTGCAGATCAAACGGGTGCTGCTTTTCGCCAACGAGAGGCTGTCAAATTCCAGCCAAATGGTCAAGGCCGAGCTAGCGGCATTGGAGACAAAAGAACAGCCGTTAGATGCGAGCAGCGGGAGCGGCGGAACAGGTGGCTCTCTCTCCTCCAGTTCAGTGGAAGAAACCCGTTCTCGGGGTCGAAAAAGGCGGGAGAGAATGAGATCAAACCTCTTCTACCACGACACTGGCATCGCTATGGCGGCTTCCGAGGCGGACGCCAGAATCTTCACACGGGAAAGTAGACAAGAACTACAAGATCTCAACGAAGGTGTAGATGAAGAGGCTCCCTTTCGCTTGCCCCCAGCGGTCATCGACGTGACGCAGTTGGGCACGAGTAATTACACCGAATCCGAAACGAATTCGCATTTTTTCCCGTTGCGAGCAAACCGTAGTACAGCGCAGCCCGGGCGCCCGGAGCCGGAAGCGTGGGAATTGCCGCCAGCAAATGTGTGGCAGGAAGACGATGGTGTCATGAATGTCAGTTCCATGGATTGGCGACCGGCACGACAAGGCGTCGATTCCGGCTTTTCCACCCCGGGCTCGGGGACGTACCAACCGCAAAATACGCCGTCGTCGCCCTATTCTCCGGAAATACGACAATATCTGTGCTGGCGGGCAGAACGACCCTCGGATTTTGGCGAACCGTCTCCCGGCCTAGAAGTAGGCTCACCGTCTTCGCCGGTCTCGGAAGACGTTGGGGGCGCTAATATGTTGACGAGAGATCGACGTCTTCAGATGAATCTCCCGAGGACCAACAACAGTCCTGCCGCTCATGCATTTCCAACGAACGAGGGAGATGGCGACCGCGACAACTTTTCTCGCAGGATTTCGTGGGACCGCAATTCGGACTACGACTTTTTGGATGGAGAAAACGACGAAGCTGCGGTGAGAGAACAGCACGACCGGCGAGAAGTAGATCATGATATTAATGTGGTAGATAATGCACCACCAGCACCAGAGGTTCAGGTCTCCCCAGTCGTGGAGCCGGAAGAAGAGGACGATGACATTTGGTTCGAGGACCGACCGCTGCTCTCCCCCAGCAGGGGCTTGCGTACCTCCGCAGCTGCTCTAGCGCCGCGACAGGAAAGCACCAGGTCTTTCGCCTCAGTGTCGACCCGGGCGAGCACAGAAAACATCCTAGACGACACGTTTCGCGAACAGCCGAGAGTGGGACGAACAACTGCTCCACAAACTTCTACAGGTCGTGGGTCCTCAAGAGGTTCAACAGCAGGTGGGCCAGCAGAAGATTTGTTTCGTCGCAACAGCAACACTAGGGGGGGAACAGTGGCGTCGACAACAACAACCTGCACCTGCATAGCTGCGTACCGGCACATCCTGAGAAGCTTGTTCCAGGCAATCGGCCTTCTTGGTAGGAGAGGCTCTTCTGCAACTTCCGGAGGAAGTAGGAATGCACGCTTTGCAGAGCAAAGCAGGGACGGGGACGATTCTGAAAGCGATGTTGAACAATCGCCGGGAGGATCAGGATCAGGACCTACAGCAGCAGGAGGACCGCCAACGCCCTTGAAACAGCAACGGAAGAGCAGCTTCTTCAGTTTATTACGCGGAGGCGGCGACCACGCGGGAGATCACGAGGAGGATCTGTTCTTGCAAACCTCGAAGAGGACTACGATCACCAAGCCTCTCCACCCAGCGTTTTGCGTTGCGCGCAACCCGAAATGCAAGTTGCTGCTGCACAAGGAGTGTTTTGACAAGTACGTACAGACAACGAACCGCAGACGCTATGTTTCCATCCACAAGAATGTCCCACCGTGCTTCTGCGCGATCTTGCTTCTAGAGTGCATGATACCACCGCCGGCGATCAACCAAGTGCAGTGCCCCGGCTGCTACCAGTGGGGCCCGTATGAGCCGAGGCAGGGGGCGAAGTTTCCACGTAGTGACGAAAGTGCTGCTGGGGATGCACAGCGAAGACCTACGAAGGGGCAAAGAAGTCGACCAGCACCGCTGCCTGATTCGACCGGGAGTGGCTTGAGCAGCTGGCAAGAGTCTTTGCGACTGTAAGAAGGCTTAATTTCACGGGTTTGCCGATGGAATAAACCCAGTACATTAATATATTTTGATGTGGTTTTTGTTTCCAGACATTCAACAGATCATTGTATACTTGCATCCGCTCCACAGAACATCAGAACAGATCACTGCTTCATGTTTCTATGTCACTCTAGAATACCGTAGAAAATACATGCGTTCGCACTGTCATAGTAATTCACCTCATTTGCACTGAATTTTGACGCGTTTCGAAGACCAGCGCAGTATTCGATTGTGCGTTCTGGTATTCATCGTACAAACAGAATTCCGAAATGAGTCATTACCTTTGAGAATACAAGCTTAAGCTAGCCTGCATTTTGACGGATTTCCGGTGGTGATATTCTACTTCACCGCCAGATATAAAAGTAAAACGGCCCGCGAAAAGGAAGAAAAACAGGCCCTTTAATCTTTTGATGTGAAACGATGCCGATGAGTTGTATTGCCTCGGCTCTTGTTTTTGGTTCTTCAAGTTTGCAAAGCACTTTTGTGAGTGGAGATCTGGAAGATCTGTTGATTTTTCTAAACGATGACGAGCAGGTGGTGCATCAGGATTTTCATTCAGAAGTTTGTGTTCAGGTTTTGGAAGCGTACCGGTGCTTGTTTAATTTCTCTCGTCGGTTCTTTCTGCGAAGGCCGTCTTTTGTTGTGAACAAGCACAGAGCGGCTCACCACGGTTGCTATTCCGGTGCGAAGCAAATTTATGCTTGTAGATAGATTTTGTCACGGAATCGAAATCCCAGTCCCACCCGGTGCCTCGCGAGTCCGAACATTAAATTAGTAACCACGTTGTCCATTATGGCTAAGCGCATGAGGTCTTCCACAAGTTCATCTTGTTGCCTTTTCCACTTCCGGAGCATTTGGTTTTGGACGTCAACACACTTAGCTTCGTTCGTCGTGCTCGCTTTACGACCCTCCCCTCCAGAGGCGCCAAACACTACAACTTCTGCTTTGGACGATTCTTCACATGCTAGACTGTCAGTTTTACCGTCGTCCACTTCATATAGTACCAGCACTTCTCCGCAGGAGCGCGAAAATCTTCGTCCTCAACCTCTCCAAGACCAGTCGTCTACTAGAACCGGGCGACGGAATAATCCCCGCCGTCGTTCGACGATTGCGTTGCCAAGGCCCCACAGTCGTGACCCAGCTGTACTGACGTCGTCTGTTAGTGACAATGGTGGGGCAATAAGCGAAGACGAAGCTGCGTTGCGACACCACGGAGTAGAACCACACCTACAACCGTCTACTAGCACCACGGAGACGATCCGTATCTCTCCCCCGTCTGTTTCGAATCTACCTTTGGCTTTTTTCCCACCAAGAGACGACGCTGCAACCGGGCGAGAAGTTGTTGTGCCACCTCTGGAAGAGAGTACGGTTTCAGTTTTTTCGTCATCTTCACAAAGAACGAGGGAACCCCCTAAGAACAGCCGCACTGCGGACTCGGGTCCCTTATCATCGCAGTCGGGTCCCTTATCACCGACATGCAGCAAAACACAATCACAGAAGTACGCACGCCCACGCAACACAACTCCGCATCATGACCCCCGCGAATGCACGATTTGCCTGCAGGCCGCCGAGCCCGGGAACCCTTTGCATCCGCCGCGGTACGCCGGCCACCCGATTCCACAAGGCAAAGAGGAGACGGTGGAGGATTTCCTCGAGCATTTTCACCCGCTGTTTGTCGCTACCCGGGTGGGTTGGGGCATATCGTCTCGGCTTCGCCGGGTGGCTGGGAGATTGGGGATTCGAGTTGGCAGTGATGCTTCTCGTCGTCCTACCGGAGCTTCATCGGCGACAAGTAGAGCTTTCATACGTGATTCAAGAAGTTCGAGTTCAATGGAGCAACAGGAACAGCGCTCGGTCTCGACAACCAGTACTGCGTTATCTCCCAGCAGTCCTCGCACAAGGACCTTATCCTCGTTCTTTTCTTCGTACCTGAGGGCGGTTCGGGGACGTCGAGGCCGAACGACCACCGGGCTGCTAGCGCCGGACTACGCCAGCGATGTTGAATCGCCGCCCTCTCCGGGGGAGCGCCTGTATTTAGCGAGAACAGCGGCGTCTTTTTTCCCCACGGACAACCCCATCCGGTTCGGTGCCAGTGCTAGTGGGCGGAGCTGGTTCTTCGGCGGAGGTGATCGTGGCACCATCGGTTCTTCTCCTGAAGATGCTGCGCCGACGAGTGCAGCGAGAGGCGGAATGAGTGGCAGCGGCCTTGCGAGGAGAGAGACTGAAGACGCGGCCTTCACTGCAGCTGCTCCTGCTGGAACCACAACGGCTCCCGACAGCAGGGGTCCTTTCGCCAGCAGCACATCTTACAGCGGCAGCGCACCTGGAATCTTGGGCGGCCCATGGGTGGGGTCTTCCTTCGTTGCAGAAACGACTTGGGGCTCACAAGGTCAAGGCAGCGCGCAAGAGGGCCTGAGCAACTTTTTTGACGATTTCCCATGGCGCGGACGGCCGATGTTCGATCAGGCACACGGTCGGCCAGGAGCCCGGGAAAGGACCCAGAGGACTCCTCTGCAGCAAACTGCTACGAGAAGTGGAAGTGCGGCGCAGGAGCAGTTGCAGCAAGAGCAGCAGGAACAAGAAGCTGTACGACCACCAGCGCAAGACACGACGACCTCGCAGGAAGTAGACGGCCGCGAACAACAAGTTTTCTCCAGAGGGGGGCGACAGGATAATCCTAATCAATCTGAAACTCTGGAAGATCCTGACTTGGAACTGCAAGGTGCGGCGTATTTTTCCCTGTTGGAAATAGCTGAGCGTTTTCGCAACGATTTCCAAATCGTGCGCGAGACGATTCGCCAGGACTTCCGGTGCGTGCGAAACCTCTTTGGCCACGTACTATCCCTTCCACTCACGCATGCAGTGGAGTTCGTCGCGGACGATTCGGCTAATTTCAGTGTCGGAGAGCAAGGGGCTGAAGACGGAGGTCCGGGAGAATCTGAATCAACCGCGATATCACGGGGGCCAGCAGCCGAGCCTCAGTCGCAATCTTATTCCGTTGCAGAACTCAGATCCCCGTACGTTGCGCTGGGTTTGACTGCTGGCGTGCTGACATCTAGCGGGGGACACGTTCACGATTCGCAGGAGCGACATGATGGTGGTAGATTTGGATTGGGCATAGAGGTTGCTGGTGGCTTTCACGAAGAGGAGGAATTGTCTTCTTCGACAGGAGCGTGTGCTGCCTGCGATCCTCACTTCGGTCTTGGTTTAAGTGCAGACACGACAACTACAATTGAGGATCGTGATCAGGGAATTCAGAACAGTTCAGCTGGGACCTCTTTCCAGCCAGACAAAACGACGCGAACACGAGCAGCAGAAGTTTTCCAACGGAAGCATCAAGTGACTCATCAATTTGAGAATCAAAACAAGGCAGAGCGTACCGAGAAGCAAGTTCTGCCAGCTGCGCCCTCGGACCCAGCTGCGTCCACGATCGTCGCTGTGCAACACCAGGAAGATTTCGCGCGCGTGTTCAGCGAGCGCCTGAGAACCCTCGAGAGCGACTGTCGGCTGCTGGCCATTCACCAGGAGATTCACAAGCGTTGGCTTGACCAGGCCTGGGTGCAGCGCGAAGCCGAGGCGTATCAGCGAGGTGCATCTCGGTTCAGGTCGGAAACCCAGATGCGGGCCACGGCATTGGTTGACGCAGTGCTGGTGACGATCCGGGAGTGCCCATTTCCGAAAGTTTGTCATGTTGCGGGAGCGCCGCGCAACAAAAACAAGGGAAACAAGAGCGGCTGTGAAGATGCTGACGAATCTTCTGATCCGTTGAAACAAGTCACCTCGGCGTTGAAGTACGTTCTTGTGCTGAGCGACGCGATGAAGGCTATTACCGATGAGATGTTGACAACGATCGCGATAGAAGACCTGATGCTCTTAGTCGATGCGCTTTCGTTCCTGCTGGAGTACGGCACCGGCTTGGAGGAGATGCACGCGTATCTGCAACTGAAAAAAACCTGTGATCGACTGACCTTGCTGGAGGAAGGGGAAGATGTGTTACGTACCCAAGATCAAGATGATGAGCAGATGAAGAACTACTACACTTCTTCGTCTTCCTCGGGTTCTGCGAAACGTAACGGGACTAGCACACAGCTTTCTGCTGTTAACCGCACGTCCAACGTAAGCGACATGGCTTCAGCACGACAACAACGAGATGTCGTTTGCGAAGACATAGACGTGGGGGCTGCTATCTTAGCGGAAAAGGAGGATGACGATGACAATAGTAGCACGATGGGCGCTGCCTCGATAATGCCACCCAATCAAAAATACGCCGGGAGTGCGTCATCTCATTCGGTGCCGGCTGCCGAAGCTGTTATCCCTTTCCTAGACCAGGAAGCTGCGATCCGGCAGATGGCGCTGCCTCGCAACAAATCAGTGGCGATTGGTTCTTCGCAACAAGCCAGTATACTACGAGCGGAGCAGTCAGATCCAGAGGGGTCGCAAAAAGTAGATCAGAATTATGCTGACGCAGCTGCAGGGAGCTCCAGTGCTCCAAATAATCCGCATAGGAGCAAGCGGATTGAAGGTCGAAGGCAACGAGATCAGGCGAGAAAAGACATGGAGCTGCAAATTGACCTGCGTGACGCCAATAAAGCCTCGAGAAGGCAGATCGAGCGTCTGCTTAGTTTTGCGAACGCACGTTTGTGGGGATCTATTTCATCTGGGCAGCATGTATCGACTCCTGCAGATTTTGAGTCTTCGAGGAAGAAGATGTTGCCCACGGCATTAGATGAAAGGACAGGAATTTTTCCGGTTCAATCACTATCGCGGCGCAACGCAGGAACCGAGGCAGCGTCTTCGGTTGCGTCTATCCCTGCTGCTCCCAGCACCTTCGAAGCTGGTCATTTGGACGCACAAGGTTCGGCGGCTGACATGTCATCGAACAGCCGACCTCTCGGAGAAGACTCGGAAACAGGAGGAAGAGCGCCAGAAGAAAGCTCAGAGATGCAGTCGCGAGCACCGCGCGAAGAGAAAAAAGAAAAAGCTTCGCTCCTGCGCCGCCAACGCTATGACGCATTCACCGGCACTTCGTTTCCAGGCGCTCGCAAGATGTTGGTGCTCGACGCGAGAAACTACCAGGAAAGCGAAAAATTAAAATTGCATCTTTCAACCGGAGGTAGTTGCGGTAGCGCAGATGGGCAGCAGGTAAGGAGCTCCTCTCTATTTAATCACGAGTTTCCAGTAGTGGAAATTGACGAACCCGTACCCGTCGACGAGCACTCCTCACTGTTCTTTCCGTCACTTTCCTCTCAGGACCAATGTCGAGAAGGCCCTGAAGCCGTTAATGAGCAACGACCGCTGCAGGATCAAGATTTGCGACGGCCAGAGGTGGGCCATCGTGTGATCAATTTGGACGCAGAGAAAACGTGGCGGCATCTTCCCGGCGCGCAGGAGGGCAATAGTGCTTTCCTAGCGCGTTCGCGTCCTCCTGCCGCAGCGCCTGCGCCCTTGGACAGTAGGCATGGGGTCTTCCCAGATGCTGACATGCGCGACGTCTCCTCTCCTGCAGCCCCGCTGCGTCCTGCAAGCCCCTCGAGCAGCCTTTTCGCAAATGCCGCCTCTTGCTCCTTTTCATCATCGCATCTTCGGCTTTCCTCGCTGGAACGAGGTGCTGGCTCTAGGTCTGAAACAAGTGAAGTTTCATGTACAAGCGAAGTTGACGGAGCACCGCGACACGAACGGCAGTCGTCGCTCGAAAGAAGGGAGCTGCAGCAGCGCGGGGGAGGTCGCATGAATTCTACTAGCACCGCAGGTGAGAACGAAGAATACCGCGGGGAGCTTGCCGGTGCTTCCACCTACTTTGCCGATCGACGTCCTCCAACATCGGGCGAACGGTTGGAGGCAGCCGCTTCCATGACCTCCTACACAGGGACAATATCGACAGGTGCTAGTAGTCGGAACCGACAAGAAGGAAATCGCAACCGTTTAAACGCGGAGTTTGTGGATGGTGGCACTGAACAAGATCACACGGTCCTTCATGAAAGTGAGGAACTTCGCCGGCGCTTATTCAACGACATTTTTGCCTCTGCTTTCGTACTGGACGCAGCGTCCCGGGCCCAGATGCTGCGAGGAAGCAGCAGAACGGATGTTGACCAAGGCGGTAGGTCTGTTACTGCTGCGGACGAGGCCCCTCAGGGTCGGCGACAATTATACGCCGGCGAGGAACTACGACCTGCGTCTGGGACAAGAAATAATGACTCGGAGGACGCACCTGACGCTCGTCTTCTTGCTAGCGACGAGCCCCTGCTTCGCGGCCAGCCATCAGGACCACGAACACAGCTACGGCCACGGGTTAGAACCGGAAGAAGCTGCACGTGCATGAACGCGTATCGGCACATGCTGAGGGCGCTGCTTTCCAGATTGGTCAGCTGCACGGGGAGCAATGCTTCATCTGCAACGGATAATACGAGAACTCGTGGAAACACGGCAGCACCTCCGGCTTCTTCTCACGTAGTTCGAGGTAGACACCTGAGGAGGCTCTCTACCTCTAGCTCAAGAACTTCTACCTGGGCTGTCTTAGACATGGAGCAGCTTTCACCGTCGGACGAAGATAACGATGAGCTCAGCGACGCCGATAATTTTGCTGCTGAGAGTCGAGCACACGATCACGAAGAACAAGAAGAATCTCCTGTAGTGCAGTCCACTGGCGAAAATATTATGGCGCCGCCTCCTGTACCAACCGTTGTCCCCACGGATGATGATCTGGCCCCGGACCGACCGCCGCATCCAGCGTATTGCGTTGCCCGCAATCCAAAATGCAATCTCCTGCTGCACACCGAGTGTTTCGAGCAGTACATTCGAACGACAAACCGAAAGCGCTACGTCTCCGTGCCCCCCTACGTGCCGACCTGTTTCTGCGCGATTCTCTTTCTCGAGTGCATGCCGCTACCGCCGACGCTCGTGCAGGTGCAGTGCCCGGGGTGCTGCCAATGGGGCCCATACGATGCGCGAATGGGGGCGAGGTTTCCACCAGCCGAGAAAAAGACGAACGTTAGAAGTAGGTGGGATCAGGAGGCACGCGAACAGCTGCAAGGTAGAATTAGCTCGGCAAGGAGAATGCCGAGAGAAGGCCTGAGGTACTTTAACTTACTAGGCGGAGACAACAGCTAAGTTTCTTTTTTGTCGACAGACGTCTGATTTTGGCAGCTGTTTGTCTTTGGTCGTGTGCGCAAGTAGCTTCTGGTCGTACGCTTGCAGCTGCAGCCACCTCATCGACACAAAGCTGGTCTAGCCCCGGATTCTGCAAAAGTGAAAAGTCAATACAAGAGTTTTCAGCATTACTTGAAAGAATATGAACGATGAAGTTTCTCACCGCAGGTTCAAGCTTTTTGATAGACCCAATAGCATCAGTTTTTGTTTTTGAGAATACAGGACAAGGAAGGTCGATCTGTAGCTGTACACTAGCATATTAGCGTAAACTACTATGACTTGCTGATCTTGGATTTTTGTTTTTCTTCGATTGTGTCGCATGGACAAGGCTTCTGGTTCTGGTGTTGCATTCTTTACGTACTTTTTTGTCAAGAATGAACAACGGACAGTCACGATTGGCCAGGATAACACGAGAAAATATCCATGTCATGATTCGTTATTGGCGGAGCAGTACATGTAGATGTACGCCGTGTGTGGCGACAGTGACACTGACAGACAGGCTCGCGACAAGTCATGTACCGTTTTTTTATGGGAAGCCACGCATACACGATTTGAGTTTCTCATCGGTATCTGCTTTGACATGATCTTGGGCAGTAAAGCTGCGTTCCCCATCACGACAACGGTATCAATTTAAGTAGTGTATTTGTTTATTTCCCTCTACTCAAGATGCGCAGCTACGGCTAGATGCAGTGTTTCACTACCTAATTAGGTACGAAAAATGAATCCTCCGCTATGGACACACTCGTTGTCGTACACGCGACACCGACGTTGCTCTATGTTTTCTCTACTCTTGTTGCTCTTGGTTCACCAAGATATCGTTGCGCCGCCATTGGTTTGTTCTGGTCAGCAGCAACTAGAACAGCTACCGCCTCGACGAGATGTTGAAGATGAGGCTGAAGGAGCTGCTGCCACCCGCAGTGCCTCGTCCAGCGATATCCTACATTCGGCGAGCCATGGAGTTGCTAGCGAAGTCCATGACCCCCGCCCCTTCGCACCCCACAAGTTCGAGGCGACGCACTTGAAGCCGGCGATACGGTGTGATGCGGAGCTGAGGAAGAAGTTGTACGATAGACACATGATTTCTTTTTCCCTGCTCTCCGCCGCCGATATGCCGGACGGGTCTTTCTACTGGATGCGCTCGGCTTGCGTCAGTGGGGGCGGAGACGAACCAGACCCAGAACCTCGTCCACAACTCGACGCACAAGAACTACACGAGCAACAACTGCACGGGGCGGAGACCACCACCGTCCTGCCGAGTAGAGAACAAGCTGGGGGTCGTCGGGACAAATCCGAAGAGCTTGACGTAGAAATCCAGAGGAGTAACTACTACTGGGTGGAGTTGCTTTTCTATCCGCACGAGTATATCCACACCTACGGAACGACCATGAACAACTTTCCCAAGAAATATTCCGTCGACGACCGCGATGGGCACTACTCGCGGCCCACGAGGCCGGCAAAACTCCACGACACCATCAAACAGCGGATGCAGCACGCCTACCGGCGGTCGCCCCATCCGCAGTTCGCGCACGTCACCCGCGAGGACATCACCATGGCGCTGTGCGTCCCCCGCGTGTGCGCGGAGCCGGTGGCGGCCACGGCCGCGGCGAGGGCAGAGTTCGACGCCAATGCGCTGATCGTGGAACTGGTTCTGCCCAGGTTCTTGCAGCTCATGTTTGGGGGCATCGGGGCGCTCCCCTGGGACTTGCACCACCCGGAACGGCGCACCATGAATTTCGACGTGGTTTTGCAATCGTATCCGCAGTTCGACTCGGACCTGGTGCGCGACTACCAGAAGTTCCGGAGGTGGGAATTGGCGGCGGGCCTCGGGGCGACGAAAGGCGAAAATGTAGTAGCCGCAATAAAGGAACAATCCACAACAACAACCACTGCCATGCTGCCCGAGGCCGACGGCGACGTCCCCGCCACAGTCGACTCTCTCTTCCCGACGGAGTCTTCTTTTTGGAACATCACCGAGGTGCAGCGACTTCCTGACGAAAACCAGCATTTCAGTATCGCATTCAGCCGCAGAAAAGCGAGGAAACAGAGCCGGTTTCTCACGCCCGAGCAGTGGAAGCAGCACTTCTCCAAGGACATCGTTTTGGAGGACATTTCCCGCTCCACACCGTCCGCTGCGTGTTGCGCGGAAGTAATGCAACTGCAGTGGTTTGAGACATCCCGCTCGGGCACGGTGGAGAAGGGCTGGAAGCAGCGCGTGTTGCCGCCGAAAGTGCGGACCTTCACGCCGTCTTTGGCGTACAAAAAGGTGAGAGCGGAGTACTTGAAGGCTAAGGCGGAGCTGCTCCTGCAGCAGCAAGAAGGTCGTTCTGTAGCTGAAGGGCCGCAAAGTAGTCGTGCTAGTGCAGCGGCTTCCCAAGAATCACGACGGAGCGCGCAAATTACAAGCAATTCTGAGCCCGAGCCGCACAAGAACTCCGCCAAGAAGTGGAATACCTACAGAGAGAAATTTTCTCCCGACATGCAGCGCTGCGTCGCTGATTTCCTGGAGAAATGGGAGGGACCAGAGCGAATTCCGGACGTGCTTAGTGGCACTAACGACTTACCCACAACTTCCGCTGCTGGAACTACGACCGCCACAGCAAAATCCTCTGGTGCACATAAGCAGGAAACCGGGACGACATCAGCCGTTGCCGCAGGCGCGCCTGTGGATGACGATGACCCGAATAGAAACCAAGCAGAAATAACTACAACCCACCCGGACGAGTCAGAGTCTCATCAATCGCAGCCGCAAACCGACGGGCTGAAGTATTTCCTCGGCTACCCTGTGACCACCCAGTACATTCGCGAGCGCGGCTCCGCGGCGATCTGGCAGGCCATAGCGTCGCCCACCGAGCGGTACAAAAAGCGGTTTTTCACGGAGACCTTCCAGAGCTGCAAGGACGCACAGGGGAAAAACTTCCTGGTGCGACTCGTCAACATGTTCACCGACCAAAACACCGGGGAGCAGTGGGGTTGGGTGGAGTCCTCCTTCGGCATTTGCCTCCCGCTCGAGACCTGCGGAAAGCCGGGCTTGATCTCCTCGATCCATGACTTGGACGAGGTGAAAAATAGGAAAAACATCTTCCCCAAGGAACTCCTCCTGCCGCATTTCATCGCGAGACGCTTCACGGTTCGCATCGAGCCGCTGCTGAACTGGAACGATGTGGAGATTGACTTTGTCATCGTCGGCTTCGCGAAGTCGGGAACCACGTCTCTGGCGTACAGTCTGCACCACTACGTTCCGGGCGTGGAGATGGCCAATTGCGGGGGAGATGTCAGTATGAACTGCAAAAGTATCGTACTCGTATAAATGCATTGCAAATTTTAGCAAGAAGGAAAGTGGAATGTGTAATGCTGTTTTGCCTTAGGAAAGAAATTTGTCATGCATATTTGCAATTAGTACGAGTGCGATACTTTTGCACAGGATAGTCAGGGAGGAGTTCTGCGAATCCACGTTCTGGGGCTACGAATTGTCGAACAACTACGCAGTGCCTGAAACCGCCTACATGCAGCTCCTGACCTCTTTTCCCCCGCGACAATCAGGAAAAACAGATGTGGACGAGAGGACAGAAGGAAAAGAGAAGATGAACGAGGACGACGTCCTCGAGCAGGGTGATCTTTTGTCATCTTCGAGCAGAACGACCATAACCGCAAAGAGCCGGCGGCTCGTGGCGGGGAACCTTGACAAGATATCGAGACCCCTCCGCGGCGTGAAGGACCCCCGGGTGATTGAGTCGACCGACACTCTGCACCGCCTGCCGAGCAAAGCCAAGGCCATCGTGCTGATCTCCGACCCCCTCGACGCGTTGCTTTCTCACTACAATCACATATGCATTCTGCAAAAGTATAATTGTATTAGTGGATGGAAATTACTTTCAAATTGAACTTGGAATGCTCATTTCGCATAGGCTCACGTAGGTATACGTTACAGCGAGGTCGCATTTGTCATGCATGGCTACAATTAGATGGTAGTCAGATTGTGTCTGTGTACGAGTGCGATACTTTTGCTCATGATAACGCATGCGGTGCAGCGAAATGGTGGACACAGACTTCGTATCAAAAGTAAAAATGTCCTCTGGGTCTGGGAACTTGTGATGCTGGGTAGCGTCTCATGATGAGGCTACAAATGCTGGCTCAGCATGACAAGTTTCTGAGCTCCTAGGTGTTGCCTATTCTGCATGACAAACTGCGACTCTGCATCACAGAAAAGCGGAGCTCTTGGGTAACGTGCATGACAGATTTAAGAGTCATGCCAGACAAGCATGACAAACATGAATTCTTCCAGAGGACCCAGACATTTTTACAGTTGATACTTCGAGAAAATGATTCGGTACAACCTGACGGACTGCGTGCCGGGACGGGGCTGGGGCAACTGGGAGGAAAGGATTGAAATGACGAAGTTGATTCTCGGCAAGGACAACGTGTTGGTAATTCACATGCAAGAAGCCTTGACCGTCAGCGGCTTGGTGCGGGTCAGGGAGTTTCTGACGAGCACTTCTACGCGGAAAGAAGAAGGACGAGACCAAGAGTCCGGTGCAGGCGAAAACTCTGGAGCCGGAATGACGACACAAGTTGATAGACGCGATGGCACGCCAGACAACAATGAATCTTCTGAAGCAGCAATCGACGTGCTTCGTAGTCATCTGAAGAAAGAGATCAACCAGAACATTTTGGATTCCCTCAAGCTCGAAACAGATGGGACTTCAAAACCCGCACTCGACAGCGACCAGAATTTCAAGATTCCGAAGCAGAACGTGCTCGGGGGCGGGAAAATGTTCCTCAAGTTTGAGGACATTTCGGCGGAAGTTGTGGACCTCGCGAATTCTTACTACGCGGGTCAGCGAGATTATTTGGAACAGGAACTGGCAAAACACGGAAGCAAAAACGGATTTGCGTATCGGTTTGGATGGAGCAAAAATGAAAGCGGAAAGAAATCTCATCTAAGTTCTACCTAACCTGCGGTATTGCAGGAAGAGGATCGCGATCAGCTGGCACAAGCTCGGTTTGTCTGAAGATGTTCTCGTTGTTGTTCTGGCGTATTGTCGTCTTCGTAGCTTGTTGTGTATAGTATTTTTGCGTAAAATATATAAATGCAAGAATCGTCATCGTGGTATCCCAACTCCAGCAGGTGGCGGACTGCCTAATGTTCGTAAAAATCGCGCAGGAATGGGTAAGTTTCCGCCCCACGGCGTCAGCGTTTGGTCCAAGGACCTGTGCTACCACGGTTTCGGGCAGCAGTTCGTCGAGGCAATCTCCGTGCGGTTTTTCGCCCGCGCGTTGGTCTCCTTCGTGTTTTTCAATTTGGAGGACAGCATCACGGAAATCACGGAGCAACTGGTAACAAACGTGCAATTTGTGGATCCGGAGACCAGTAGTGGTGATGGCACGGAGCTGGATGAAGACGAAGATGTTGGTCATCTTCTAGATAGTGCACGCTCTGCCTCTGCCGATGAGGGGATAACTTCTGGCAAGGAGGATCACGGTCGCATTCCAGAGTCTGGAGGAAGAACATCAAATAAATCCAAACCTTCCTTGGTCGCCTATGTCAAAGTTGACAAGGCACTGCAACCGGGGGACTGTATTGGGTGGCACTTCCATCCTCTTCCGGCGGGCCTGTTCGACGAGAAGAACAGAGATTCTGCTGGTGGCGGTGGTGCGGAGGTTATCGAACCAGCAGGGGACGAATCGGGACGGGTACAGGGTGACACAGCCTCGGCCGCTGCATGGAGCAGTTCGACTGCTCGAATGAAAAATGATACAATCCTCAGCACATCCATCCCGTCGCTCGTTGCGACCACAGGCAGCTGTGAGACTGTGAATGAAGTCACTCACTTCTACTACACAGACGCGGGCCTGAATAAGCGGAGAGCGTCGGAGTTGGCGCCGAAGCGGCTTTTCGTAGCGGAGAACTGCCTCGACGTCGCCGTGCGACATTACCGGATTGCGCCCCGGATGAAGTGGTGCGATGAGTCCGGAAAGGAACTTTTCACCAGCAGCCAAAAACGCATCTGGACGCGCGGGTTGGTATAGGATTTTTGATTCCACTTCTACTATTGATTGTCTAGTATTTGCAGTGCCCGCGATGCGTACTGTCGCAAAAGCGAGATATCTACTTCGGGCCCCTGCTCGATGCGAAGTCGACAAGCGTGCTCTCCATCAACACACCGTGATCATACATTCTTGTTTCGCGCAACGAAATAAGGCCAGATCATGTTATTTGCAGGTTTTCCCTCACCAGCCGGTTGAAAGACGCGGGGTCGGAGACAAAGTTCTGGTTCACCAGGCCGGCGACCCCACTTCCCGCAACGAAGCCCGGCGTCCCCGGTGGACTCGAAGAAGACAGCACCACTGACCGCGTTCCCGCGACGGAGACGGAGTTGCAGCAGTTGCTTCCCAAACTGCAGCACAAACAGCTCTCGCTCATCTGCGCCTACCTGCCCGATTCCGCGGAATACGCACCTGACTACCAGTTCGCGGTAAACGGGGTGCAGTGTCCGAAGATATCAGTATCAAAATCTCTCGGAGATGATGAAAACCAGCAGTACGAGAACCACTTTATCACGATCGGAAATTTCGCTTGGATGCAGTGCGTGCAGGAGCTGATGGTCTTCCTATCGGGAACCGACATCGTCGGACAGCCTCAGTTTTCAGCCCCGGATCTGGAATACTTGCAGCGCCTGTTTGCAACGTTTTCAACAAGAAGGGCTGGCGGATCTCTACATCTTCCAGGCCATATGTTCACCCATAGAGTAGTCTTGGACTACGAAATTCCGCAACCGGCGCTGTGGGCCTGGGAATGGGAGGACCACAGAGATGAAAATCAAAATACGACCGAAATGTTAAAAGCTGCAAAACCACCAAGTGCCGGTGGAAAAGTGGCGGACATCATCGACATGGCTATTTTGAAAGCCACAAGCGAAGATACGAGAAGCCAGGAGCTTGGTCGTGCGGAGGAACGTCACTTGAAATCACGGGCCTCGGAGCTGGAGGTCGTCGAGGTGGCAAGGACGGATGATCATAGCAGCGAGAACGCGGCCCCAACTAATCTGAACCTTGAACCTCTGACGGTCGTTGCTTCTCAACAAAACGGCCAGCGACATCACATTGGAAGTACTTCAAAGATTCGGCCGTTTCTGCCTGTCACCGATAAAAACCTTTTTGCCCTCACGACCCAAGACTTCCACAACAACGCGCTTTTGCTGGCCGCGCAGCGAAAACAGCTGGACCAGTTCCACCCGTTTGTCCATCGAGAGTCTGCTTTGGCGTTCGTGGGTGCCGGAGTGCCCGTCGGCAAGGATAACGCCGACAGAGTGGTCGTATTGAAGACGGCAGGTAGTAGAACTACAGACAGCCCCGCACAGCATATCGCGAGAGGCCGGCTGGAGCTGTTTGACTACTACGACGGCACCAGTAGTACCCTTTCCTCGGCAGTAGATAAAGGACAGCCGCGGAAGAGCATAGACCAAAAAGCAAACATCGTTGCACAAAATCCGGATCGGGTGCGACTGAACCCCTGGCTTGCGTACCTGAACACCATCCAGGGCACTCTCCGCCGGAACTTTTTGAAGCTGATGCAAAAACCGTTTCAGACGCTCCTGCATGAGATAAACTTCTATCCGACGGCCGTAGTCACCGTGTGCCCGTACTTTCATCGGTTTTTGACGGCGGGTGAAAACCAGGAAGGCCACGTAGCCGCCACAGATAGAACTACAGAGCTTCGCAGCAGCACCACGAGCCTAGCGAACAAGCCGAGATTTTTCCAGATGCCTCTGATGACCAAGAACGTGTTTCAACAACAAGGAAAAGAATCGCATTCGCATGAAGTTGAAGATCGAAAGAAGATGGTCTCCTTTCTCCGCGAAGACCGTCCGATAGACTTGCTGTATGTTGGAAACAGTATGGGGGAAATGCAGTCGGAGCTGTTTGTTCCCATGCCGCCGGTGACGACAAGCAGAAAAGGAGGTGAGCCTATAAAGGTAGTCAGCACCAAGAGTGACCGTCAGCGTCCTCAGCCGATCAGTTTCCTGCTCTTTGGGCACAATCAGGAGCTGCTGGCGGAGAAGTACATGCGAATGCCAGGTGTAGTTGGTCCCGCTACTGCACCTGGTTTCGGTTCTCGTCCGGAGACGGACCAAAATGAGGACAATCGAGATATGAACGACAACACTGAGTCTGAGGAAGCCACAGGCGTGGACGCTTTAAAGCGGAACTTTCGGGAACGCCTCAACATCGACTTACATTTCCATCCGAAGGCACTGCTGGATGAACATCAATCGGGAAGCGAGGAGGGTCGTGTTTCCAAGCAACAGTCGAGATCCAGTGCAGTTGCTGTAGATGACCACACGACGACAATTGCTGTAGATGGCGATCACGATCAAGCAGACTCTTCAGATAGACGAGGGCTACTGCTACATCAAGAGCAACCTGATGTTGATCGTGCTGAAGTGGAAGCTAAAAACGCGGAGCATTCCTACGAGAGCAAACTTCGTTTGTATGGCAAGGCGAAGACCTGTTTCACCCACAATCTGATCGCCGTCGAGCCGAGGGAGACACAGTTTCTGACGAAATGGGTCGGCTCGTTGCTGAGAAGAGCGCGACCACCACCTGCAGCTTCAGGTGGGCGGGACGGTGCTAGTGCAAAGCAAAGGCAGGAAGAGAACGACCGAGCTACAGCTACTCCGGGCACTTCTGCTGGCCGTGTATTGTCCAATCCACTGCTGGCAGATTTCGTGCGGCTAAGTGGTACTTCTGAGAAATCACAACCTGAAGAAGGTGGCGTGGCCGTTGTCGATGATGATGCTTCCGTCTCCAGCACTCAAGAATCGCAACAGCTCCCGAGCTTGGAGGACCATGACACCTTGCGCCATCATGATTTTACTTTCGCCAAACTGATAGAAAGGACGATACTCCTCAGCAAAAGGAGCCGCAGAAGCGCAAATACCGGCCCAAAAAAAGCCTCTTTCAAAGAAGAAAATTACGGGGGTACGCACAGTTCTAGTACTTTCGCAGTCAGAGAGGCTCCGAACGATGAGGAACAAATTCGCACGACATTCCAACTCCCCCTCCTCGGCTACCCCTCCGGCCTTCCCGTGGCCCGGCTGCCGCAGCTGAAGGCCCGGGGCTTTGAAGCTGCGATGGGAAGGTGTTTGAACTTGGTGTTGTTCGATCACTGGAACGTCTTCGAGCAGTTTTTCACCCCCGGGGAGGATTTTCTTTACGTCTTGAACATCAACGAGGCGGTCGCAATCGCGCGGTGGGTCAGTGAGAGTATCTTTGGTTCTAGTTCAGGAGAGAGGATAGAGCTACAGGCTGGTGGTGGTGGGGACGATTATCCAGATCGTCAAAACGAGGACATGCTTGTGCACCAGAAAAATCTTCTCAGCGACCGGCAAACAATGGAAGCAATGCTAGAGTCAGCCTACGCACGAGCAAGCACAAACTACACGTTTGACTGGTTCGGACGGGAGTTGCCTGGACTGCTTTCCAACACTGAAGCTTCAGTATGAAGATGATTGATGAAACAGCCACGCGTAAAAGCTGTTGTTGAAGTTGTCACATAAGTTATAAAGATGTTGCACTTTCAGTAGCTGTCAGGCATGAACACGACCACCGCTGAGGTTGCGCCTGCTAGTACCACTGGGCTCCTATTCCATGACGATATGAACCGTGCGTGGTCCTCGTAGTTCGTGTATGCTGTTGATGATATTCCGAGTTTGATATTCATCATCTGCGTTGAAAACCAGTATCGGTCAGCACAGCTGCACATTCGTATAAATATGCAGAAGACATCCTGATCATGCTCCTGATGATTCGGTCAGAAAGAACGTCGGAGACACTTTGATGAATCGACGCTCGGTGGTTGTTAGACGCGTATTAAACAAGAAGAAGAACAAGAAGCGATCGGCTTAATGCGCAAAAATGATGAAACTCTCGGTTTCGGTAGGTACGCACTTCTGCCCGCTTCGGTCCGATCAGCGAAGATGAAAAGTCGTGATGGCCGTGTTTTCTTTCTCGGTCATGGTGTCGTTGTGCAGTAGTATCGGTCGGCTACATCGTCGTTTCCGTTTCCGTGTAATAGCTTCAAATCCCGAACTCATTTATAAAGAGAGGTGAGTCGCGTTCTTGCATGAAGCTGTCAGGCTACAACTACATCGCGCTCCCTTGTGAATCATAATTCCTCTCACTACAATTTCTCCCCTCGTTTGTGTTGCCACAGACAATACTAGGTTGGTTTTCTCTTTTAAGGTTGCAGCACGTTCTATCTACAGTACTTGTAATTCGATTGAAATTTTCCCTTCCCCTGTTTGTTCCCCTGTTCTGGTCAACAACATCTGATTTCATTCATTGCCATTTAAGATTCATCTACAACTACATCTTCATTCACCTCGCATAAAAGTAAAATGCAGAGCACAAGTGTCCGGATCCTGAGCCCTGATGAGGAGGAAGATTACAACAGTCAAGAAAACCGGTTGCACAACAAGGGAAGTGGAGTCCCTCTTTTTGGCGCCCAACAGCAAGAGCGACGCGATGACACCGTCGGTGATGGTGCGCTTGCCATGGACCACAACACGCTCGCGGTTCTTCGGGACCGGGACGCGATCAAGCACAAGGCGCTCGTACGCAAAAAGCGGCAGAACGCGAACCCTTTCGGGACGGATCTGACGATTACAAATACTCCAGAGCAGGTTCAACCGGACAAGGAGAAGGACGGGCCTTTAAGCAAGGAAAACGCGGTCGTGGAGACAAATCCGAACTCTCCTCAACTTCAAGTTCATCAAAACGACATAAGCCACGTACCGGAATTCGCATCACTGTCCACGTCCGATGCTGCGAAAATGCTGAAGATGCAGAATGCGTCGCCGCAAGCCGCCTATTCCCAGCGGTCCGGCTTGCAAATCCTCCGGAAGGATATCGCGGATGCAAACCCCGCCAGCATTGGTTACGTGGACAACGACCGGGCATTTTTGGAGTACACCAAGACGAAGACGGTGCAGCGACACAAGTACCGCGACCAGCCGCTGGACGTGGTCTGCCCGAAGCTATCAAATGTAAAAATGTCTGGGTCTGGAAGATTGCCAAGTTTGTCATGCACATTTTGCATGACTCCTGATGTCTCTGATGCATGCCCTAGCATCACAGTTTTTGTGAGGGCTTCCTGATGCCTATACTGCATGACAAATGCTCTTTCCGTGTAGCAAAACTTGGACTCTCTTTGCTGCTCATGCAATACAGATTTTTTTAGAATCCAAAATCAGCATGACAAGTTGGATTCTTCCAGACCCAGACATTTTTACATTTGATAGAAGCTGGCGCAGCTCGATTCGCGCAGCTCCCACGACATGCTGTTGACGTTTCAGGACGAATTACGGGACATGAGTGTGGACGAATCCGTGTTCTCCCTGCAGAACGCGCTGCTGGCGCTGAAAGACATCGCCCTGCGGAAAGCGAGAAAAGCGGCGATGTTTCGGGCGCGCAAACGCATGCAGCAGGAAATCATTACGACGCCCGCCGCCGGAAACAATCAGCAAGGCATGACAGGAAGTCGAAGTGAAGATCAACCTGCTGACGGTGACGAACATCAAACCGCCGTTGTTGAAGCGGACAACGCCCGACTTTCGAATAAGTCCTTTTCCTCTCCGCAGAACAAGCTTGCGCCGGAGATTCTGCGTCTGATTGAGAACAGCGTGGCATTTGCGAAAACTGCTACAATTCTGTTATCCTGTGCAAAAGTAGCGTACTCGTACTAATTGCAACTATGCATGACAAATCTTGTCCTTAAGGTAAAACAGCATGACAAAGTCCAGTTCTCATGCTGGGGAAATTTGTAATGCATTTATAGAAATAGATTGATACGAGTGCGATACTTTTGCAATGCATATCTGTTCTCGGCAAACAATGCGACGACCGGAGAACTACAAACTGGAACCGCAGAAGAAGACGCGTCAACGTCGCCGGCAGATGAAAGAAACCAAAACTCGGCATCAAATACAAATGGAACAACGGAAAATAAAACCGCAACAACTTCGTCCAAGAGTACAACTAGCAAAAAGATCTCTTCCACAGAGGAACAGAAGATCGGCATCGACCTGAATTTCCTGGAATCCCTGATCGACTGTCTCGACCTCGTGTTGCTCGGCACCACCCTGCTGGCCAGCGTGCAGGATCTGGTGCAGCTGGAAGACTTCTTCATCAAGCTCCTGGGCGTGAACAACTACGAAAGTATCCAACCCGCGGAGGAGAGTGTGGTGCTCCCCTTCTTAAAATCCTCTTCGACCACTCGGGTGCTCAGCGATTTACAGACGGCCCTGGTGGAGTACCAAGTGACGAAAATTGAGCTTTCGGGGGGTGTCGCTGTAGAGGATCAGCCAGCAGATGATGGACGGGAAACCGTGGCTGTGGTTGAGGAGGCAAAGAAGTAAAACTCAAGATTTAGAAGTTGAGTCGCGATTTCGGTTTTTCCTTTTCCTAGTTCTAGTTTTTTTTTTTTCCGGGGGAACGAAAACGGAATAAACTTTCGAAAAATACAGTATCCACGGCCAACCACGCGCACGAAGTGGACTAGTCGATTTCTCATTGGACAGTACATGGAATGAATCACACAAAGCAAAATCGCGGGGAGGAAGCGACGTAAACGCTGGGTTAGATGAAGTGGTGCCGCTTGCTGCAAATGAAGTGGTGTTCATTGGTTTTTCGTTTTATGTCTGTACTACAGCCAACGGCAACGCGCACCACCCCAACATTTTCATTTTGTTCATTTTCTTCAACACTACACCGCGTCAGACAATTGTGTTTGCTGCATCCTCCTGGCTTTCCTTCCTTGGTGGAGTTACAAGCTGGGATGTAGATGATCTTCAAGTTGAGTAATAACGTTTTTTGTTCTATCTTTCGCAAGTTCCGCGATCATGAACGCTCCTTCCTCGTGCAGTTTCTATTAACATTTTGGAACTAGTACTTCTTCCACCCAATCATGCTCCACTCATCCCGTGTTCTTTTCATCCGCCCCGGGCACCGGGAAAATTGGTGCAAGCGGCTCCGGAAGTACAAAAAAAACACGTGGGACTGGGAGGACAAGTCTATCTCGGAGTGGCTGTGCAATCAGCCCTTCCAGGAAGCGAGCCGGTTTACGCACCCGGCGCATCTGGATCGGTACGGATTTCCGCGGTATCCGCAAACGCCCGGGAACCTGCGGCCGGACCGGGACCGGGTATGAATTGCAAAAATGTCTGGGTCTGGAAGGTTGGAACTTGTCATGCTAAATCTGAACCACGCAAAAATCTGTGTTGCGTGATTACCAAATGCTACCCACTTTTGATTAAGTTGAGAGGCAATTTCCAATGCAGGACAGGCATGACAGTGATCTCGCGAAATCTGTTATGCTAGGTTCTGCGTTACAGATCACATGGGTCATGGAAAACCTGGATGACAAGTCGAGCAAAGTTCCAGGCCCAGACATTTTTGCATTTGATACCGGGCAAAGTACTGCAACATGAGTTCCGTGCACAACCAGGACATGCGGAATCGCGGGCTTAGGAGACCCGAACACTTGATCCACAGTCTGGGCGGGGAACATGTAGAGTCCGGACATCACTTGTTGAAGGCGAAAGGAATCAAATACGTTCGCAGTTTTGTGTGAAGAGGACTTTTTTTGCGCAAAATCTTCATATTTCTAGAAATCTTACAGCGACAGGTGCAGAAATAAAAAGAAGCGAAAATATGTATCCAGCGGTGAGCTGAAATCGAAACAAAACCTGTGCTGTTTTTTCATGTGCCGAATCTGCAACAGCTATGCTCTCTCCACCACGTTCATCTTTCGGTTGCTCTGTCATTTTTGTCCTTTGGTCTGAGTCCTCTTGGAAGTGTTTGCGAACGAGCTGGGAAGCCGCTCCACTCATTTTTTCGGTTGTAAAAACAGTGGGTCGCACTGAGCACTACACAACTCGCTCCTCTTTTCGGTCGGCCGGTCAGCCTTAGATTGACATGTCGGTGCCGAAGTGGCCCTTGTCGGTGCCGAAGCGCGCAGGCTGTTGAAGTTTCTGTTTACCAAAATAACTTTTTTCATTGCAAACGGTAACGTACTACTAACTACAAAAGTTAAAAAGTGAACCCGAGCTCCATTTTTGCAAGTCTAAGTCTTTCAGATTGGTCTCACCGTGCTGGTCGTGCAAAGACAAATTCGGACATTTATCATGTCGTGCAAAAGATAGTTTCTGTTTCGTCCAATAAATAAATTCATCGTTCAAAAGCTAGTCGTGCCAAGCCGTTGCGTCGTTGTTTTTGATACACTGAACAAGCAGCCCAAATCTTCCTGGGCTCACTTCTAAATAAAAGTAAAGCCATTTTTGGGTAACTTTTTTCCCGGCACTCAGCTTCACTGAAATATACGAACATGATCCCCTTGTTGTTTCTCCAAAAAGGCGCACCTACCCTTTGACATTCAATCCAACCACTGCCACGTAGCGACCACTGCTTCTAGCATCTAAGTTGAGCTGCAAGAGCAGTGCTTATGACGCTCTCACAGAAGCAGGATCACGCTCATCTCGTCGTGTCCTGTCATGTACCCTGAAAATAAAGCACTGACGAATCATTGTCATAGACGAGTCAACTATGCACAGCGCTTCGAGTAGCCAGCCTTGGACGCGGTATACGCCGCGTCGCGGGCATGTGTACAACAACTCTGCCAGCAAAAACACGACGAGCTCTCGCTCTCCAGCGCCTCCCGGGGAGCATCAACACCACAGCAAAATGACCTTCATTGCGGGCTCCGAGCTAGACCAACAAAACCCAGATTCGCTCGACCGGTACAGATTAGAACTGGAGGACGACCTCCGGAAGCAGCAGTGGCAGGGTCGCGGCGGGATCATGGAGCTTGGAATCCACACGCAGTCGCCCAGGCCCCGGCCCAAGGGCGAAAACACGGATTTGGCGTTTAGCAACACGATGCGAAGGTACATAGATGAATGTGTTTCTCGACACTGTTTGTGTTTCAAACTTGTTGCAGAATTAGAATCATGAACGCAAAAATGAAAAATCAAAATGCAGCTCTAATATCTTGCGAGTAAAAAACGTAAATCAAAGGGCGAAAATGACCACCACACGCCGGCCACGGCAAAACATAGTAAGTAAAAAAAACGGTCATTTTACCAATATTTTACCATTACATACCTCACAGGTCTCAAATCGGCTCCACCTACGGCACCTCCTCCAACCGCCACGTGCCTGGCGCCCTGCCGGTGAACCCGGCCTCCCCTTCCATGTCCAACGTGCAAGCGGATCTGCTGGCGAAAAAGCAGCAGCTGTACCGGTTGGAGCTGGAGCGACAGATCGCGGAGAAAAAGAAGAAGGAGAAGGAGCAGCGAAGGAGGGAAATCGAGTTGGAAAAGCAACACCTACAAGCCTCGCCCGAAGACGGGTTCAAACACAACCGAGGCTGGAACAACCGGGACCGGGGGTACAAAATTTCCCCCCTGCTCACCGAGGGCGACATTCCGGCCGGGCGGCCCTACGATAGCAGCAAGGAGGCGGTATACAGCAACAGCGAATACGGGGGCGGTAGTCAGTATCACTCCCCTGCTCCCGGGCCGGCGTCCGCAAGACCTTTGTCGCCAGCCGGAGGTGGGGTAGAAGTAGACCAGCAAATGGTGCAAAATCTGTACACGTATGAAGAGCAGTATCAACAAGTCCAGAACGCCTCCCGACCGCAGTCCCCGCGGTCCCGGTCTCCCCGCAGTCACTCGCCGAAGACCTCCTTCGCGCACCAGAACCAGAACCGCAGGACGTTTGACCCGTTCGAGAATCGCAACACGCGGGACGACTTCCAGGTGCAGATGTTTGCCGGGCCGGGGAAGGAGTTCGGCCCGGGCTTGTTCGCCGGGTTGGGGGTGTACAGCAGCCCGAAACGGTCGCAGATCGTGCAGAAAGAGCTCCAGACGGAGCTGAGTCGGCAGATCCAGGAGAAGCGCCTGCGCAAGGAACTGGAAAAGCACCGGGAGAAGCAGGAGCAAGAGCAGCTGGACCGAAAAATCGTGCTCGAACGCGAGGAAATGGTCCGGAAGTACGAGATGGAGATGCGGAAAGGGAAAAACACGCAAACGTCCACAGGTGTTGAGCAAGGGAAGCCGGGAAATAATAACGCGTTTGCATCGTCTCTTTCTCCCATGGTAGCTACAGCGAGCGGAGGTCCTTCCGCGAGCAGAAAGAGCAAGACTAGTGCAACTACTACGCCAACAAAGGGGCCGGCGTCAAAAACCAGCAACACATCTACTTCATCACCAACGCAGCACCAGCACAAGACCGCCGCATCCAGCACAAAGAAGAAAAAGATCGACATTGACGCGGAGTGGGCAGCCTGGAAGAAGGCCAATAACGTACAGAAAACGCCGGACGGGACCCCGCCGCCCTCCCGGGGGAACACGAAGGTTCTGCACTCCCCGCCGTCGGAGGCAGATTTGTACCTGCGAAACGAGTTCAACGTCGTGACCGACAGCGACATGCGGTCGGAGTCCAAGCCGATGGGCCGGGACGTGAACGACCAGCGACCCTACGATGTGAGTACCGAGAAAAGGCAGTTGGAGTACGAGAAGTTGCGCGACGAGTGGGAGAACGACTACGTGAACCTGCGGCCCCCGTTTGTTGATACGACCGTCGGGCCGCCGAAGGTTTCGTTCTTTCACCACGAGCGGTTTCCGGACGCCTACCCAAAATTTGGCTCGGCGTTGGCTCGGGACGGCCAAATGCAGGAAGAGTACCACAGCATGCTGCAGGGTACGATCGCAAGTCTTCGCGAAGAGGAACAAGCAGGGGGAGACCGAATAATAAATAAAGGACAACTACCAACAGCACCTTCCTCTCCCTTCCCGGTCACAAACGCCCGGCACTACAGTCCCTTGCAGAGCCGAGCAGCAAACCAGAACAATGATCCCTACAGCCACTTGCGACTGAAGACGTCCGACCTCGTCGCGAGTCGGGAGTCGCAGATTCTCCGGCTGCACAAGGCGAACAACGAGTCCATGCAGCAGGAACTGGATGGCTTGAAGGAGCAGTCGAAACAGCAGCGGGTGGACATTCGCGTGCAGATGGACGGGTTAAAACGCGAAGCGCATAACGTGCAGCTCCAGCACCAAAGAGCATTGTACGAAGATTTCATGGGCATCAACACCGTCCTCAATTCACCGGTGAAAGAGGCGAGAGGTATCTATTTCAATTTCTGAGACTGTAAAAATCTTTTTGCGCCAATCTTCGTGAACTAGTTGCAAGCACCACGACCTAAATTAGCGAACATGCCTAGAAAGAAAAATGAAGGTGACGGCTCTAGTACTGCCACTGCTCCAAATCTAACAAAAAAATCATGAACACAATTATCACAGCCCTGACCACCTACGAGTTGGGCCTTTCGGGGTGGAACGGCCCCACGATGGGCGAGTCGCTGCGCAACGAGCTCGCCCGTCCGCTGGACGCGACGTCCGACTTCGTTCCTCCGAAGGCTTCGGTATTAGATGCGCTGTACGGCCCGGCGGAGCGGAAGAAATTACTGGACGACTTCTTGGCCGTGGAGCGGGAAAATCTGTACAAGAACGTCTTGTACGACCGGGAAGTGGGCGCCGGCCCAAGCGGTAGACGGAACTTCGCCAACGAGGAAGAGGCTTTGCTGCGGACAAGGGACAACTGGACGGCGCTGGTGGGAGAAGAGGAGGAAGATGAAGCCACTCGTGGTGCGACGAGCCAAGTGCCAGGACAAGCACAAGCGATATCAGCTTCCGCCCCGGCGGAAATTATAGCAGGGGCGGGCGAACCAGATATAATAACGGACCAGCAGCATGTATATGATGCACAACAGCAACAAGCTGTACACGACCAAGAGCAAGAACAGCCGCCCCTGTCACCAACTTTGAGTGTGAAATCCACTGTGAGCAAAAAGTCCGCTTACCCCCAGTACCCGGTTTCGAAAATCACCTTTTACCCCGGGGAAGTCGGCTACGTCCCGGAGAAGCCTGCAACGCCACCGGTCGAAGTAGATGAGAGCACTGCTTCTAAAATGCCGAACGAAGCCCCATCCGGCCCGAAGCTCCCGCGCGTCACGCTGTTGGAGGAGGAGGACGAAATCCTTCGGAAGGACGACTGGTATGAGAAAATGCCACGTCACGACTACCCGGTACCGCCAAAGTCCCCAGTGATGAAGATAACGCCCCCGATTTTTGTCACGGACCTGATGAACTCGCTGGACTTGGAGACTTCGCAAAAAGAGTCCTCGTCCAACCCCGCTGCGATAGACACAAACCGGAGCAACGCCAGCTCGGTCAACGCAGAAGTGTTGAAAGCGCACGCTACGAGCGTTCCCGGCTGGTTTTTTCAAAGAAAGTATCGCGAGATGGAAATCAGGACGTTAAACAACAATCAGGAAGATAAAGAAGCAGTCGAAATGAACGAGCCACAGGACGACCAGACGCCCGGCTGGTTTTTCCAGCGGAACTATCGCGAGGACGATAAGGAAGAGCAGAAACTCTCTCCTCTTCCATTAGGCGGAGCAGATGCCACGACGGCTAACGACCCAGAGCAACAGGAATTGGATCACGACCCGCAGAACCTCGACGCGTTGTCCCCGAAATCCCAGTTGTCCCAGGCGTCGCAGGCTAGTTCCCCCCTGGCAGTCGACACGGAAAAGTACGACTTTGTCTGCATTTTCGGCCGCGACCAGTCGGAGGCACAAACCGGGGGTCAAATGCTCGACCCGACCTGCCAAAACTGGACGCAGCTAAAAGACCTCGCCAAAACCGCGGACACCATTTTCATCAGCTCCGACGACACACACTACGTGCGCTTGCGGGAAAACGTGAAGTGGCCCTTGAACCGGTTGGCGGCGGGCTACCCTTTTTCGATCGGCCCCTTCAACATCCCCGCGAAGGAACAAGAGCAGTATGCGTTCAAGCTAACGGAGGAACAAAACTTGCTGCTAACCAAACCGGGGATCAACCTGGGTGGCATAGAGGACAAACCGAGAGAAGGCGAGTACATGGTCAGCGAGGCTTTGGCGAAAGCGACGTGGACCGGACCGTGCGTGGCGAACATGGCCTACCCCTTTGCGCAGCCACCAGAAGTGTACTCGAACGAAAGCGGGGACGACTCCATTAAGTACCTGTACCACGCCTGCTACAACGCGGAGGGGCTGCAATTAGTCGTCAACGCCGGGGACGGTAGCTGCGGCTGGCAGAAGGGAACGCCGGATGACATTTCAGTCTACTTGGGGTTCCTGAAAAAGGGATAAGTCTGAAATTGATATGGAGGGCAACTTCTGCTGGTGTCTGCAGCAGAAGACCACATAGTAGCTCTTTCTTGCAGATGAGTTCTTGTTGTGCGGTATGTCTCCGTCGTCCGACTTTACATCCGGATTTCTCACCACCTCAGAGCAAAGGAGGAGTAAAACTAGAACTCGACGAGCCAGCCGGTGTATCAGCATGCTCAGTCTTTTTAGTATACGGTGATTTACCGTCTTCAGAATAGCGGCAACACCAACACATGTAGAAGTTTGCGACTTTTGGTCACTTTGATCTTCACGCCAGAATCCGGCTGTTCTCCAAACAGAAAATTTTCGCTCTGTACGATATTTTTCGCTCTGAACGCACATATTGTGTTTGTAATCTCTCGTGCCGGAAAAACTAACGGGACAAGAAAATCAAGAAGAGCAAAATCAGAATTGTTCGCTCCTATTTGCGCTTTCTTTTTGAAACCAACAGGTCGTTCTGCACGACAAAATCTTTCTTAAGTAATCCACAAAAGACAGTTTGGCGTCATTCGTTGTCGTTCGTTCACAGCTCGTATAGAAAATTCGTTCATTCTTTTTCTTGCCTCCGCAATTCCAATCTCGTCGTGCTCGTTGTTGGTGTCATCGTTCTGGTGTGTCGTCCTGAAATTGGTTACTACTCTGCTTCACCTGTTCAATCTACTTCTCGCTGGCTTTTATTCTGTTGAACCTGTTAACTTTTTGAGCTTCAAAACACGAACTCCAGGTACAGCAGTTATTACTCAACATTGTTTGCATTTTTCTGCCGTCCTGCTCATTGCTTTTCATCAAACTATCGAGCTGTTGCATCGATACCCATCTTCTCCATCTTTCCAAAAAAACGGTACTAAGCGTAAGAATTGTATAGACGCCAAGTAGACTACATCATCCCTGTTACTACTTCGGAAAAACAAAACCAAATCGGACTCACTTCGCCATGGTTCGCACGGGTCACTTTTTCTCGGACTCTCTGTCCAAAGAGAAAGCTACGCGTGGGCCGTGCTTCAGCTACCGGCAGGTGTCCATGTGTCACCCCTTGAAAGCGTCGAAGGGCGAGACCGCCGGCTTCGGCAACTACGCGGGCGCGACGTTCCACGCCGTGGAGCTGCCGTCGCAGCTCGCCTTCGAGTACGCATTGCAAATATGTCTGGGTCTGCTGGAAGACTGCAACGAGAGCGAACTCGTCATGCTGTCTCTGGATTCTAAAAAAATCTGTATTGCATTACCAGCAGAAGGAGTCCAGTTCGTGCTACGCGGGGAGTGCATTTGCCATGCGGATTACGCATCAGAAAGCCCTCTCAAGATCTGTGATGCTAGGCGATGCATTACAGGCATCGTGGTTCATGCAAAATATGCATGACAAACCTAGCAATCTTCCAGACCCAGACATATTTGCATTTGATATCGAGATCCACCCGACGGAAAACGACACGTGGCTGCCCCAGGCCAATCTGCCCCCGAAGAAGACCCGCAAGCGCGTATCCCGTGGAAAAACATCCCCACCCCATAGTTGTCATGCAATTCTGCATGCCAAGAAAGTTTCTCATGCGGAGCTCTATGAGAAGCATTTTCTATTTCTTTTCGTGTTTTGGAATTTGTGATGCTAGGATAAGCATGCTATGCTAGTTCAGTGATGCTTCTGCACTAGCTAAACAGGATTACACTACGAGGACAAACTTGTCATGCCAAACAACGAAAGCTAGTTGATTTGTCTAGCAGATTTCCCAGCTTGACTCTGGTGTGGGGACGTTTTTAATCAGGATAGCGCGTGTCGCGCTACAGCACGAAGGCGGTTCCCACCAAGCTGGACCCCAGTTCTATCGCAAGAAAAAAGTGCTACAGTTACACATTGTGATGCAAGACCGGCAACAGAGACAACCTTTCTCATGCAGGAAATGCTCGGGAGCCTCGTTTCCTTCCTGTTTTCCCTAATGACCTTTGCATTACAAGTTTTGCCTGCCACACAGAGAAAATTTGTGATGCAGAAGCTCCAACGAATGTGTAACTGTAACACTTTTTTCTCGCGATAAGTTCGGTGGAACGCATGCTGGCGTTCTGCGCCGGGAAGGTCGCGCGGGGCGAGGACAAGGAGGAAGTGTACCACGTGCACATCACGAAGGAGAACGCGGTGGTGTGGGGCGCGGGCCCGACGCAGTCGCCGACGCTGGTGCAACTAATCACGGGGCTGGTCGGGAAGCAGAAGCAGAAATTGTTGAAGTTGCGCGACGTGATTTCGAATTCCAAGGTATCCAAAAAAAAAATGTTAACAGTAACACTTTCACTAGTTAAAATCTCAATGCATTTTTTGACGAAAAAAAATCACTTTTTGCATTCGAATTGTATTCAATAATTTTTGCTACTATGCATATCAACCCACGGACAACTAGCTAAATGATGTAGCTTATGTTTTGAGCTAGCTAGGCTAGGGTCTCGGAGTCCGTCCTGCTTCGGTCCGAAAAGTGGTATACTCGACCCGACCTTCACGAGACCAGAATGTCCTAGTCGCTCCCTCGGCCCCATCTGGGGCCGAGGGCACGCCCAGAGCCGGATGTTCGCGGAGCTGCTCCTCCACAGCCCGGATCTTCGCACCTTCACGTCCGCCGCGCCGGCAGACCTCAGCCTAGCTAGCTCTCAACAATAGCATATCAATCTAGCTAGTTGTCCGTGGGTTTTATTTCGAGTAGCTACATCAATAGTGTATTTTTTGGCATGTAAAATGAAAAAAAAGCAAACAAAATCATGACAAAAATTTGAATAGTGAAAATGTTAATGTTAACATTTTTTTTTGGATACAAGGCCCAGGACGAGGAACGGTCGCCGTTCTACACGCGGGACTCCAGTCTTTCGTTCAAATTTCTGTCCCGCACGCTGCAGTTCCTGCGCGCCATCCTGTTGAAGGACATGGAGGAGCTCGGGAAGATGCTGTCCAAGATATCGAAAGGAAAAAATCCCCCTCCCCATATCAAAACAGAAATCTGTGATGCAGATTTGTGGTCACAAATCAGGTCGTTTGTGATGCTAGAAGGCAAAAGATGCGGACTGTAGTGCCACCTAGCGTGGGAAAGTATTTTTGCATCTCCAGCATGACACGAGGCAACTGGAAGTGGGAAACAGCATGACAAATTGCCTGCAATTCAGATCACAGCCGCGTCTCTTAGCCTTCTAGCAATGCAAGTCGATTTGTGTACTCAAATACAGCATCACAAATTTCGTTCCCGATATGGGGAGGGGTGATTTTTCTTTTCGATACAAGAAGCAGCTCGAGATGGACCAGTGCGGCGAGTACTACGAGGGGTTCCAGAACTGCCTCGACTGGTTCAGAGCCCATTTGGTGCAGTCGACGAAGGTATCCTGTGCAAAAGTATCGTACTCGTATTGCAATCATGCATTACAAATTACCTTGTTAAGTCAAATCCGCATTACAAATTTTATTTCTCATGCTGATGAAATAGAAATTTGTCATGCATTTATACGAGTACGATACTTTTGCAATTCATAGAAGGGTCACTCCCTCTTCGACCTGCCGAACACCTACCGCTTCCCCGCCATCCACTGCATCGACGTGGCGCACCGCTGCGTCAACTACCGCTTTGAGTGCTTGATCCCGAATCAGGAGTGCGTCGGTGTCCAGGTCTTGCACTTCGACCGGAAACTGATGGTCAGCAAGATTTATCAAATGCAAAAATGATGTCTGGGTCTGGAAACTTGTGATGCATGTCAGTGAACAGAAAGCGCCTTGTAATGCACCGCCAAGCATGACAGATTTTGATTTTCTCGTGGCTCTCTGTTGCGTATTCCGCATGAGAAACATCGTTTTTGCATGACGGACAAGAGGAGGTCTTCGTGGCCACGCAATACAGAGTTCAGAGTCATGCCAAACTAGCATGAGAAGTCTCGAAATCTTCCAGACCCAGACATTTTTGCAATCCATAAGATTCAGACGATCTACCACAAGCTCCCCCAGCAGATCGTCCAGATGCCGCTCACGACGCACAGCTCCGAAGACGGATTCTACCCGCCTGGGGAACAAGATCACCAGCGCCGCGCGCGCCGGGTCAGCACGTCCGCGAAAGAAGAGGCTCCTTTACCTGGGGCCGTTGCAGAAAGCGAGGCGCAGCCTGCAGAAGAAGAGCAAGCCGATGAAATCGACGATGTGAACAAACTGGACGACACGGAGCGGCTATCCAGGAAAAAACACCCATCCAAATCCAATTTGTCATGCAAAATATACATAGAATCCTGGGCTTGTCATGCAAAAAATGGATGTGGATGGGTTTTTTTCTGTGGATAGCGGCCGATCCTTCTCTACTTCGAGGATGCCGACCTGCCTATGGCGAAGACCACCGAGACCTTTCTCCAACTCGCGGACGCCAAGCAGAAACTCGGGCAGCTCGACGTGTACAAAATGTCGGCGGGGACCAGACTCGAGCCGGAGGAGATCGTCGCGCTGAAGACGAGACTGGAAAACTTCAGCGCCAGCATCCTCTGCGTGATGAACACGAGCAACAAGCTACCAAATGCAAAAATGTCTGGGTCTGGAAGATTTTTAGATTTGTCATGCACGTTTTGCATGAGCCATGACGTCTGTGATGCATCCCGTAGCATCACAGACTTTTCGAGGGGTTCTTGATGCCGAATTCGCATGACAAATGCCCTATCCGCGTAGCAAAAATCGCATTCCCTTTGCTACTCATGCAATACAAATTTATTTTTTTGGCATCCAAATTCAGCATCACAAGGTGCATTCTTTCAGACCCAGACACTTTTGCATTTGATACAAGCCCCTCGTGAGCCATTTCGAGGAGGACATCGTCGCGAACTGCTTCCTATGAATTGCACAAGTATCGCATTCGTATAAATGCATTACAAATTTCCTCAGCAATAAAATTTGTAATGCAGATTTGCCTCAAGACAAGGATTTGCATTTGTAGTGCAAGACTTGCATTTATACGAACACGATACTTTTGCACAGGATACTTCCCGGAGTTTTTCCAACACTACTACAACTTTTGTAGTAAGAACCTGTTCCAGGACTACAATGACACAGGAGCCGACGCCAGCAGCTCGACCATGCTTCCGCTCGCGGATTCCATCTACCCGGGCTTGGTGGTCTGCAAGCTGAGCACGGAATTGGACCTGTATCCTGGGTAAAAACGTCCCCACCCCAGAGTTGTCATGCAAAAACGCATGCTCAAGCTCAGCATGTTTCTCATGCGGGGCCCCAAACATGACAGGTATTTTCTAGTCGCGTTTTGGAATTTGAAATGCTCCAATCAGCATGGTAGACTAGATTTGTGATGCTTCTGAACGAGGTAAACAGGATTACAGTACGAGGCTGAACTTGTCATGCGCAACGCCCTAAGCTTGTAGAGTTGTCTAGCAGATTTCCCATCTTGACTAGTATGGGGTGGGGACGTTTTTACCTAGGATAACTTGAACACGAAATTCATGGTGGATGTGGAAAGTGAGATGAAAACGCAAGTCCAGGACTTCTGGGACGCGAACGTCGAAACCTCGTGGACCGCTTTGCACTTGACTACAGCTGCAGAAGCTGCTGCCCCTGCTAGTACAACCGGAGAACAAGCGGAGGCTCTTGCCCCAGCAGAGCAAGAAGCTGCGGAAGCAAATGCAAATGGCAACGAGACCACAACTTCTCCACAAGTAGACGGAGAGGGTCTATTGTCAACAACCTCGCTCCTGGACAACATCCCCAAGCCACGCATGGTGCTTTCCGCGGTGAAGAGCCTCTCTCTGCCCGGAGAGTCCAAAATCTTCACCTCCGGTGAGGAGCTGGCCGCGTTCCTGTTCGCGCAACACAAGTCCGCGGCGAAAACGGGGGAGGATCTGGAAACCTTCATCCCCGCAGAGTACTGCCTTCAGCAGGAGATCACCGGCGGCAAGTATCTCTACGCGGACGTGATGTGCAAGAAGCAACAGGCGATGTTCGGGGTGAGCAAAGTTTTCGAGGTCGTGAACTTGTACGAGCGGATCGACATTCCGAACACGTCTGCCGCCGCCAGCGCGTGCCAACTGCTGAAATCCATCGACGGCAGTAGCTCCGATATCCTGTGCAAAAGTATCGCACTCGTATTAATCGCAATCACGCATGACAGATATTGTTTCTTAGCAAAATCTGCATTACAAATTCCATTTTTCCTCTTGGAAGAATTTGTATTGCGATTTATACTAGTGCGATACTTTTGCAATGCATATCCGAGTTCGAAAACTACAAAAAGGAGCTGCAGTTCTTCCTAGACCAAAACTCCATGTTTCTCTTCCCGCTGAAACTCCCGAACGACGGGCAGTGCTTCGCGCTGGTATCCAAGAAAATAACGCTGTTAGTGTAAATTTGTGATGCGCAACATGCAAAAAGATTGCGTCTGTCATGCTTGGCATGCATTGTAGGGCCCATTGCAGGGCTTTTTCGCATAATATCTGCGCATGACAGGTTTTTGCTGTCATGCCAGACAGATTTGTGATGCTGTTCCTCCAAAAGAGTTACACCTACACCGTTTTTTTCTTGGATAGCTGGAGTGCCGCGTTGACTACGACAGGCCGGCAGGAGGATCGGCGACGGAGTCGTGGCCAAATGTGTTTCTGGAACGACTGAAGCCGTTCTGCTTTCACTCCTTCTCCGATTTTTCCGGCATGCTGGGTGGAGCTAGCGCAGAAGCAGAGCCCACTTCTCCTGAGGATGCCGCGTCATCAAAAGCGAGTCAGCTGGTCGTGCTCGCGAGCGCCCCGACTGGGAACGAGGAGCAAGACACCAGCCTGACCACTTTGACCTGCCAACTGGTGTACGACCTGTGGCAGAAGCGGAACAACCAACAGGCTGAGGCTGGTGCGGAAGTAGCTGGAACAAATGGCGCTACTTCTGCGCAACAGGTGGACGAAGACGCCATGCTGGAGAACGAAATCACGTTCCAGTCGGGGGGAATGAACTTCGCGATGCAAACGGAGGAAGAAATCATGCGGGAGCTCGTTAGTATCCCGGGCAAAAGTATCGCACTCGTAGTAATTGCAGTTATGCGTCACAAATCTTTTTTTTTAAGGCAAGCCTGCAGTGCAAATTTAATTTGTAATGCTGAGCAAATTTGTATTGCAATTTATACTAGTGCGATACTTTTGCAGTTCATAGTTATGAAAATGAAGCAGAGCATCGACGAGTTCGATGTGGAGAAGGATACTGAGCCGATCCAATTCAACGCTACCACCGCGGTCCGGCTGCGCAGCATCGTGCCAAAAAGCGGCGGGAAGCGGGCGCTTGTGTGGGAAATGGCTGCGATGTGAGTGAGAGTTCCTGTCTGTGCCATGACCATGAACAAAAAGTGCTATATGTACACTACGAACAAAACAACTTTGCTTCAGTTGTCCAAACAAATCTTCAAGTGCATTTTGTGCGAGAACATGAGTATCTGATTTTTACTTTTCCAAACTTCATCCAAATTTTTCTCATTAGTTTTCTTTTTCAAATATATTACTTCCAAACACGAGAGTCTGTACATTTGTTCGACAGTAAGTGTAAGTACTTGTATTTTCAATCAGTTTCCATTTATCAAAGCCTCGCTTTCAAGCCAACATCAACATCAACATCAACATTTCAAAATTTTTCATTTCACCAAATCTTTCGTACACATTCAGTACGTACCCCGTAGCGAAAGTTTTCCTCGCGTTATGCGCGTAACCCGCCACGATGCCTTACATTAACATTATCTTCTATTCTAATCTTGTGTCTTTTTATCTTGCGGAGGATCCTGAATGGTACACGCGACGCTGTAGCAACGTGCCAATCAATAATTTCGCTCGACAAGAGGAAGCACATGGTTGGAGTCTACCCCAAGTTTTAACCCACGCAACCCAACTACGTACCCCGTAGCTCGGAAGAAATGCAAACCGTGCATGCCAACGAGTTGTATGATATTCCACACAATTCTTCTCGTCGTCTTTGGTATGACATCATAATCAAATGCCCCCGGCTGATATTGGTATTGCAGTGTTCAGCGGACGCAGACCTCATATATCATTTTGTAGATCTCGGTGTCATGATGCCGGTACAGGCGTCGTGGCTGGTTAGAGGCAGCCGTCGTGAGGATTGCTGCTCATGGATCAGGTTGGTGCAGTTATGATTGCCCGCCTGGCCCCGCTCTTGCTGGGTGTGAGGCTGCTTGCCGTATCGCTTCAAACTCGAATCGCGAAGCAATCTCGTCTCCCCGATCCCTTCAAAGAAGACATCCAAATTGAAATCCTGTTTTGCAAAAACAAAAATATCGGTGAAGTAGTAAACGAGGCAGCACCAAGGAAGACCCGACGCAGAAGCGTCAGAATCGGCTAAAATTTCTCATCGGTTGCATTCCAACTACAGGCTATGTCCTCCTTGACGAGGCTCTCACTATCATCGGTTCGCCGCTGTTTTCCCATGTGTCTGTGGTAGTGGTACTAATTTTCACGTAAATTGCGCTAGCAACTGGATCGGTCACGAAAGTAGCTTCCCTTATTCTTGTATCATTGAATGTCGGCTGAATTATTTTTGCGTAGTTGATATTGACCAAGAAGAAGAAGAAGATCTTCCTGTATTGCAGCAAGCTCACAACTTTCTCTGTACTCGGTAAGGTGTACCTCAAGGCCATGCATTTGCTGAATATGTCGCTGCACGACAAGGGAGGTACTCGGAAGATCCTGGCGATCCACCTTCATCCTTCGAAGGAACAACGGGCGTTAGGTTCTTTCTTAGTGAAGATCAAATAGCCCAAGCGAGGAGCATATAACAAGCGAAATTTAACTTTTAGAATTACAACAATGAACTTTAAGATCGACTTTCGGTATCTATCGAGTCCTTCCGTTTCGTTTTCCTGGATGAAGTGGAATCTGTCTTTGATATAAGGCTGAATAACTACCACAAGATCGTGAAAACTTCCTCCACCCTCCGGCTCCGGACCATGGTCCGTTCAGCCGCGACCTACTTGTTGGGACGTCAACTCGCTGCCGACGTCGTCGTGCCATTTCTCCTTCATCAGGGGGGTGATAGCAGTTGTCTAGCGACCGCGCTGGTGCTGGAGCAGCGGCCGAATCATGAAGAAGCGGCGCGCGATAAGTTGCAACTACACGAGACGGGCCCACACGAATTTAATGTAATCGAGGACTTTGACGATGACGATCAGGATCAGGTGGGCGTGGGCGACGACCAAGATCACTCTGACGCCGAACTACACTTCTCGTTCGCGCCCGATAATTCTTTCAGCCAGGGAAAATCTTCATACGAGGATGCTTCGACGTCCGTTCCCGTTCCCACCGAGCCGGCCGGGAGCAGCACAGAATTGGATATCAAATGCAATTGCAATTATGTCATCTGGCTCTGGCGGGTCTGGAAATTTGTGATGCTAAAATGAGCATGATGAAAGCACTTCCTTAATATGAAGGAAAGTGTGACAGGTTTGCAGAACGTTTTCTCGTACGCACTCCGCATGAGAAGCCGCGCGTGTGTGCCACAAGAGGGGCTGCCACTGCGACTTTTGTTGGCCATGCAATTGTACAGATTTCACATGAATAAATACGCAAGACCAGCTTTATTTCAAGTAGACCACCCAGACATATTTGCAATGCATATGATCGGGGCGCAAGAACCCGCAACAAAAAATCGATGGAAACTCTCCAGGGCCCCCGCGGGAAGAAGACCAGGCTCCTTCCAGTGCGCTGGAAGTACAGCAGAAAGCGGGGGTCGTCGGGAAGGTGGGGAAGTTATGGATGTGTCAGAGTTGAAATCGACAAAGTTGAAATAATTTGTCATGCATAAAATGGATGCCAGTTGGAACCCAGTTGCCAAGTGGCGCATGACAAATTTCGGTGGTCCCTAAATCCAGTTTGTCATGCTGTTTAGGCAAAGAAGAGTGATTTTCGCATGCTACTTTAGCAGCTCAAGCTGTAACCCCAAACAGGCTCACAATCGGCCTCACTTGCCTGCTCTGCAACGCACGTACCTCGGGTCATGCATTTTATGCATTACAGATTATTTCAACTTTGACGATTTCAAACCTGACGCTTCCATAGAAGTGGCTCGGTGCGTGTTGGGATCTGGTGCCCAATATCCTGTGCAAAAGTATCGTACTCGTATTGCAATCATGCATTACAAATCCTTTTGTTGAGGTAAATCCGCATTACAAATTTTATTTCTCATGTCGAGGAAATTTGTAATGCATTTATACGAGTACGGTACTTTTGCAGTTCATACCCAAGGATGCCATGGCGCCCCGCCTCGAGCGGCTGCAGAAGTTTGTGGACCACATGATGCACCTTCGCTACGAGTACTCGGATCCCGCACACAAGAAGAAAATGGGAAACCGCCGGCGCTTGCTGCATACGCACTTTTGCAAAAGCATGTTGATCCTACTTAGTACTTGTTCTAGCATAAATCGCATGATTTTTTCCAAGAAGATGAAAGTTCTTTGTCATTCAGTTTCAGATAATTCATTATCATTTTCACAGGAAGCAGGATATTAAGGAAGCCAGATTGAGCACCAGATACTGATACAGACTTTTCATGCATGATTATTTTCATCTAGTTCTAGTAGCAACTAGGATGATAGATTTTTGACTTTTGCTGTGGATGCCGCACCCGGACGAGAAGGTCTATTTCCTATTCGAAAACGAGGCCGACCAGAACTTGATGTTATGGACTTCGGAGCAGGTGCTGGAAGTGGAAATCAAGGAATCCTGGCTGTACTACATCGGCCAGATCGGGTTGAAAATGCTCGGTTCGGAGCAGCCCCAAATGGAATTCCGGGTGCTGCGTTGGGCGAACATGCTGGCCTGGGAGTTTCACCCGGTGGGCGGCGTTTCGATTACGTCCGTGACTAGCCACTACAGACTGCACACCGAGCGCGATGCCACCGACATTCATGTGACCAAGAACTCCGTCGAGGGAGAGCTCGCGTTATCAAATGTAAAAGTGTCTGGGTCTGGAAGGATCCAAACTTGTCATGCTATCTTTGGACTCTAAAAAAATCTGTATTGGATGACCAGGAAGAGGAACCCAGACTGTGCTACGTGGAGAGGGCATTTGTAATGCGGAATAGGCATCAGGAAGCCCTCTAAAAATCTGTGATGCTAGGTCGTGCATTACAGACATTCTGGGTCATACAAAACATGCATGACAAGTCTCAGAATCTCCCAGACCCAGACATTTTTACATTTGATACGCGTACGACCTTGCTTACTTCCTCTCCTGGCGGATCATCTCGATCAACTCGCTGAACCTCCTATCAAAAGTAAAAATGTCTGGGTCTGGAAACTTGTGATGCTGGGTGGCGTCTCATGATGAGGCTACAAATGCTGGCTCAGCATGACAAGTTTCTGAGCTCCTAGGTTTTGCCTATTCTGCATGACAAACTGCGCTTCTGCATCACAGAAAAACGGAGCTCTTGGGTAACGTGCGTGACAGATTTAAGAGTCATGCCAGACAAGCATGACAGACATGAATTCTTCCAGACCCAGACATTTTTACAGTTGATACCTCCGGAGCCCGCGCGGGTACGCGAGCATGCAGCACCGGATCGAAATGCGGCAGGGGGTCTGCGACGCAGCGCGGCTGCAGTGGTTCAAGAACGGGATGGAGAACAGCGATCTCCTGTCGGCGACGCAGTTGTTACGGTGGAAAGCAAATCGAGGCAACATTGATCCGGTCTGCACAGAGCACATCCTCCGGCAGCGAAAAGTTTTGCTCTCCGACGAAGTGGTCGACGTGGCCCTCGCTAGGGCCGGCGGCGCTTTCGACCCGGACGTGCACATGCGGGATGCCATCGTGTTCACGAATTACCGCATTCTCAGCATCGAGGTTCCGGACCTACTGCGGGCCCGCGGATTCGGGAACAAAGCCACTTATGAATCCTTCACCTACGACTCGGTGCGTTCGTGGACGCTGCATCTCCCGCACACTTTCCTGGACATGAGCGGTTCCGTCATCCTCATCTACACGAAGGCGCTCGAAAAGAAGAACGCAAAGAACGGAGGCGGCCAGGGGCAGGGCCCCCGGGCCATCAGCGTGAACATCAACGGGGATATTTCCTCCACGTTTGACCGGACGTTCATGTACAGCGAGATTTGGGGCGGCCTCCAATCCCAGACCGACCCGCTGATTGTGACCAACATCCTGGCGTACCGGGTGCTGGGCACCCAACAGCCCGTGCCCATGGGTGGGAACCTGGCGAGCTTGGTGGACTCGAGTAACCCGATGGACAACGAAGCTGGGCCTTCGTTTTTCGACTGGCTGGTGCAATCCAAGAACGGCATTCGCATGCGCGCAAGCGACTTTGACGTAAAAGAGATCATGAGCCACGTCATTCCAACGGAGGTCGACGCGGAGACGGGGCAGCCTTTCGAAGAGGTGGAGCTGGCCTACCAGTCCGCCGTCGGCATGTTTGTATTCACAAACCGGCGGGTGGTGGTGAAGCGCAACAACCTCTTCAACACGGTGGGCGGGGTTTTACTGGCCGGCCTCTGGGCCTTTTTAGGCCAGGGCGACTCCAACTTTCTGGGTGGAACGCGGTACATTTCTCTCACCTACGACGCCATTCAATCGTTCACGATCAAGGAGCAAACGACGGCGACACAGTTTCTGAACAAAGTCTTTAGCAACCCTTTTTCCAGCGGGTTGTTCGGGCATGGGGAACTCACACTGAACACCGACATTCCAATATCCTGAGTACTTAAAAAGTGTCCCCGCGACCCAATACATCAAGGTGGTAAAAAATCTGCACCAGAAGCCTTGCGAGTCACGCAGGACAAGAACTTCCTCGCTGCATCGTTATTGTAGTGCAGCTCAGCAAGGGAGACTGCGTAACAAAAAATCGATCTCCTTCTCCTGCTGATGTTTACAGCATTTTATAGATGCCGCCATACGAATATGAAGATTGATAAATGCATCTCATGGGGATTATGCGCGTCGACGCAAATGTTCCTGTCATTGCAAATGGAAACGTCAAGCAATCTGCGGCCTGCGGCAGAGGGGGGGGCAAAGTGTGCTGCAATTACTTTGGCATGTTGACAACTCTACTGGAGAAGTGGGGACGCTTTTACACAGGACGCTCCAGCGTCAACGTCCCTCCTCCCCCGCCTCCGGATGACATGGATCGGGACTTCGACAACGCGCAAGCGAGGAGACGTAACGACCCGCTCGACAATATGTCTGGTGTCGGAGGTAGCATGGGCATCGGTGCTGGCATGGGCATCGGTGCTGGCATGGGCATCGGTGCTGGCATGGGCATCGGTGCTGGCATGGACATCGGTGGTGGCATGGGCATGGGTGGTGGCATGGGCATCGGTGCTGGCAGGGACATCGGTGGTGGCATGGGCATGGGGATGGGTGGTGGCATGGGCATGGGTGGTGGAATGGGCATGGGTGGTGGCTTTGGTGGGAGTATCTTTTTGGAACATGAACACCAGCAACAGCACGAGGTCGAGGCCAATGAAAATGGTATGGCTCCTGCCGCTGCTGGGAGTTTCCTTGGCACAACGGCCGTGTCTGGTCGTGTGCAGTTTCCCGGTACGGCTCCTCCCGGGTCGGATTTCTTCGACCAAGCCGCATCTGGTTTGCTTCCCGGTATGGCTGCCGGTATGGCTGCTGCCGGCGCAATAGACAAACTGGCGGGGGGCGGACTGAACGATGAGACGCGTCGTCTTTTGGAGTGCGCAACCTTTGACGTCTGTGAGCACATTGAGCATTTATTCCCTGAAAATTAACCATCCCCATCCACTTTTTGTTTTTGCATGATAAACACAGACTTTGCTACATGTTTTGCATGACAAACTGGAAGATGGGGATGGTTAATTTTCAGGGGATAGCGTTTCGGCTGGACCGACGGCTTACACGACCTTCACCTGGACTTCTCTGGCGACCAGGCCTTGTTCATATCCACAGTAAATTTCCCGTACACGACGTACAAACGCAGTCTCTGCATGACAAAACTTGCCTTCAATCCTAGTCCAGCATGACAAGTTGGACTCTGCAAGGTAGCGAAATTTGTCACGCATTTTGTACATGTACAGGAAATTTACATTGCATAGTTCACCATCCACGCCTATTTGTCGTTCCGCCTCACCTATCCTGTGCAAAAATATCGTACTCGTACCAATTGCAGATATGCATGACAAATCCAACTTTCTACCTGAAATAGCATGACAAATTGCATTTTTGTTCTTGAGAAAATTTGTAATGCAATTTATACTAGTGCGATAGTTTTGCAATGCATATCACCAGAGTCGGGATCGCCGGCGGGAACGTGGCGCCGGCGCAGGAGGACCTGGAATCCTGGCAGCACCTGGTACACCGTATGCAATGCAAAAGCATCGTACTCGTATTGCAAACATGCATTACAAATCTTTTTCTCAAGGTAAATCAGCATTACAAATTTTCTTTCTCATGCTGAGGAAATTTGTAATGCATTAATACGAGTACGATACTTTTGCAATCCATACACCGCAACAGCTACCAATGCGAAGTCGGCACTATGTGGCAGAGTTTCATGAGCTGGGATCGCGACCAGTACTACCAGGCATATGCATTGCAAAAGAAAAAGTGTGGCACTTGTATAGTATAAATTGCAGTCATGATCATGCATGACCCCTGACAAGTCTCTGTCTAAACGTGAAACAGCATTGCAAATTTCACTTTTGATATTTTTCTTGCCGAAATTCATTGTGATGCTATTTGATGTACTAGTCTGCGATACCGATAGTACTTTTCCTTTTGCAATGCATAAAGCGGACCCCAAGTTGATCACCGAGAAAGTCGTGGCCGACACTCTGGCGACGATCAATAAGATGCGCTACAGCGGAGGCTCCTTCGCGCCGCCTGTCTACTCGGCGGGGGTTTACAGTGCCGCGAGCGTGTACAACAACAACAACTACAATACGAACAACTACCCGTCGGCAATGCAGCAAGCGTGGCAGCTGCCGGGAAAAACGGCACAAGTGGCTGATGACTACGACCCCCCTGCGGGCGTTCACGGGCGCCCGCACGCCATTGCAAGCGGGTCCTCGTATGGCATGTCGTTCTTTCTTCCCGGAGAAATTGTGTACTTCGCGTTCCATGCACGAAGTGCCATGAACATGATATGCATTGCAAAAGTATCGCAATCGTAAAACTTCTACATGAATGATGAAAACCATGCGTCACAAATGTAACCGTACAGCAAGACAATGAATTTGTTCTTGAAAAATTTCGTGACTTTGCAAAAATTCAATAATGAAATACCAAGGACGATTATAGCTGTGCTTTTGCAGAGCATGCATTATTCTTTTCACCAACTTCCGCATCCTGCACCGGGATTACACAAACGCACTGCAGCAATTCGTTCGGACTGACAAGATTGCCGAACAGGGCTCGTTCGCCTGGTGGGAGTCCATTCCCTACGAAGAGATCTTTTTCTGGAAGCTGCGGACGCCGGGGAGGATGGGCAACGTGTTCAAAACGGCCGAGGCCGTGCTCACCATCGCATGGGGCTTGCGCGAGGAATCCTTCCGCTTCAAAGACATTTGCGCGGACACCGCCGCGCTGTACCGTTTTCTCTCGGCCACGGTGACGGGCTACGCGGAGCAGAGGGACACGAAAACCGCGCACCTAGCCCAGAAACCCGCGCACCCCTGGCAGGGGAACTGGGGCATGTTCGACAAGAGCGACCAATTCTCCAAAGTCCCGAACTTCGAAGCCATCGAAGCTCTCCACAACCAGCAGCCCCGCTGCATGCTCGACTACGAAGCAGCGCACATGTCGCGAAACGACGAGGGTGTGTCGGGTGATTCGGCTGGTCATGGTCTCGCCTACCGGAAGCCGCGCGACTTTCTGGTTTTCCCCCCGCCCCCCAAGGCTGCCTCGAAGCACACGCACGGACGCTTTTTCTTCTACGACGTGATCGGACCGTATGGCCAGGCCTTTGAGCTCCACTCTTGGCGGTAAGTATAATCTCTTCAGAATTATTTTGGCTTCTATGTGGTGGTCGTTTTTAGAAGGTGAAGATACACGTAGCGTACAGCAGCTTCGGAAATGAAGATCTGCATCTCCTGTAACAGACCGCACGTCCTCGTCATCTTGCGTAGATACTTATTCGATCTGCATCAACATCGAGATATCGTGCAACTACATGGCTCGTGCGATGTGTCGTGTAATATTAATACCGCCGAATTTTTTTTTCACTTTGCGATTTATTGTGTAGCATGATTTGCGATCACAAATTACCAAGTTGTCATGTTGCAAGGGAAGATAATGTTGGCTGTAGGGCTGGCTGGCGTCGTAAGGCCCTGTGTCTTCAGTATGACAGGAAGCAACCTCGTCTGCACTGCCGGAAATAGCGCATGGCAAATTAATTGCCTGCAAACGAGGCGGTTGCATCATGTCTGTCTGTCTCTTGGCCTTCCAGCAATACAAGTCGGCAGCTTGTGTAGGAAATCGCGAATGATTCGCCGTTTATTTTCACCCCCAATGGGTTCTTGTAGACCTGGCAAAGCCGATGAGTTCTTCGGGCTGCTGGCTGTTCCGACCCCCCTAAGTGTGATCATTTCCGCCCACGCCCACGCATATCGCGCATCGAAAGTTTCCTTTTGGTTTTGAGTGTGGGAATTAGGGGGGATTATGATTTTTCCTCGCAATATTATTTTCGCAGGTACGACAAAGTAGTCGGCTGGGAGATGTGGACGCAGAGCCGGATTCGACGGAAAATATTCGGGCGTCCGGGCTCTTCCGGGGCGCGGGAGTACTTCCGGGTTCTGGGCACGCGGTTCGAGGCCCCGAAACCGTTTGAATCCTCGCAGAGCGGGATTCGTGACGCCTTTAGCACCCCCTATTTCTCGTTCCGGGCGCCGAAAAGCGCTGGGTACATTTTCACGCCGCTGTATGAAGAAGAGCACGGGGATGTTTTTGATGTTTTTAATTTCTTCGAGCACCACTTCGCTATCAACCCGATCGCGGAGGCGCAGCACATAATCACGGAAGCTGGGATCACCTATCTCATGCCTTCCCCGGCCCCGCCTGTTGACCGCTAGGACCAGATATTGTCTTTTGCGTTACATTTATCGAATGAGAAACGGTTTGTACGAAAGGCAAAGAAGATAAAAAGTGAGTAAGTTGTAAGTAGCATGCTGATGCTCAAGCGCAATAATTTGATGGGGACCAAGCACTCCATTACCATTTGCATTAATTCCTGGAAATTTCGCATATTATGCCTCCCCACGGAGCACCATTGGAGGTTGCAACAACCCTACTTAAGTTTACCATGTTGAGTAAGTAGTCAAAAACAACGAGAGAGGTTCAAGAGTGCAGTTGTACAGACGCTCGACGCAACATGACAGCCTGAACACTTATGCTCCTGATTTACTAGATTTACTTATTTGTAGCAAGAACCATACAAGAACAAGTACAACGCACAAGTATTCAATTTAAAAATATTCAGTTTCTAATTCTAGCTTGGCCCTCGTACTGCGATTTTTTCGCTAGTGTGCTGCACATTGCATAATTGATTTTTGTCCATTCGTTGGAGAACGATAGAGCTATGTCGACACATTTCTATTTCAAATCGGCACACTGCCAACATCAATCCAAGCTCACATCATATATTCGATAGATTTCATTCTTCATCTTCTCGTGATGTTTTTGCCCAATTGAGGTCCTTAACGCAGCTAAAGTAGATAGATATCCTGCGTTCGGCATTGATGATTGAGATGAAATTTGTCCTTTTTTGTATTATGGTGGGGGCGCGGAAAGGGTCGACCCGTTTAAGTGTGTAACCCTTGGCCCGTGCCACGCCGGCGGCGCGAAAATGTCCGAAAAAAAAAAAGAAAGGAACCGCCGATCTAGTACCCGTAACGAGGAAAAGGCTCTGCAGCGGAGAGGAAGACGTAACAGCAAGAGGACTTCCACTCGCGTGACGAATATTAGCGCTGCGATTTTGTACAACGAATACGCCGCAAGCAAAAAACCCGGGTTTGGAAGGTGGGCCACAGGAGCGAGATGAAAAAATTGAAAACGAATGGCCTGCCCTGAAAATTCCGGTCGTTTTTTGAAATTAAGTACTCCCTTGAGTAGTACTCAATGAGAGAGTACCGGCGTATTGTTTCCTTGCCCTAGCGCCGGGCACTAATATATTATATTAGTGCCCGGCGCTAGGGCACTAATTATATTATAATTAGCGCCTACACTAATTATATTATAATTAGCTCTGCAAGTCCGTGGCCCGTGCCACCAGAAACCTAGGAAAATAAAATCAGAATCACCATACCGTCCTAAGAGCATCATCACATCATCTACGAACTTTATCTGAGGAAAAACGTCAAACTAAGAAATCAACAGAGGAGATAACAGAAGGAAAAGAAAGTAAAAGTTTTCGAAGCTGGAGAGGTAGGCACTTCTAGTAGATCTTCAGTTCTATACCTTCTTTTTGTCTCGCAATCCAAGGAAAGAAGGACAAGAGTTTCGTCTGCAAAACATCAAACTTATAGCGGAACCCGTGCTGATGGCCGTCCTTTTGTTTGTATCCGTATTTGCTGTTCTCGTAGATGCTTTCTTTGCTGGTGCTATCCTATCTACCAGAGCGTCGGTTCGTACGTACGTTTGTGCCACTGGTCGTGTGATTTGCTTTCCAGGAGCCCGATCGCAAATTCGTACGCTCCTCTCATTCCGTTGCCGAAATCTGATCTTCCCTCTGCCCCCCCTTGCATACGCCCCTGTAGGATTGAGGCGCTACCCCTTTATCTTACTTTTTTCGTCTAAGTCTGATGTCTGCCTACTGCTCGCTCCTTTGCCCTCTTTTGCATGCTCCCCCGTAGGTTTAGGTCTCTACCCCTTTACTTTTCTTCTTTGGTCCTCTAAGCCTGTTCTGCTGCTGTGACCTTTGTAGCGCTAGTCTGCGGATCCCGCAAACTCGCAGGGGCCTTGTTTTTTCCGCCTAGCCAGCGGGTTTGTCAGGGTGGGGGGGGCGGACGCGACAGTGCCGTGGAGGTGTCGCACTTGTTCATCAGCACCACTGCGGAGTTTTTGGCGCGGCCGTGCGGTGGTTCCGGCGAAGTGATTGCTCTACCCGGAAGGAAGAAAAAAAAATAGTTCTAAAAATTTAGCTTATGCGATCAACAGGCTCGAGAACTTGTCTCCGGAAGTCAAATTCAGCACGCCTTCCATTAAGTCCCCTAAAGTCTGGTCTGCTAATCCAGGCGGTAGCATTCATCTCGTGCTTGGCTTCTAAACAGGTTTTCTTGCCTATCGACGGTAGTCCGTCTAATAGATAGTCCCCAGCTCTAGGAGGCGCCGCTTGTGGCTGTCACGAGGTGACTCGCACCTCCCCGGAGTGAGAGAAGGTTCGTTACCGGGTTTCAGTGCCTTTCGTCTGGCCTGGGCTCCTGGTGCTGCATTCACCGTTAGGAGTATAAGAATTAAGAACAGAAGCCTAGCTGCACTGGCAGCCGACCTTACGCGCACCATCAGAAGTGCGGAACTGGCCGGCCTTTGTGGTGTCTCACCATCAGAAGTGCGAACTACGAGGGCCGGGGCGTGCCGCCTAAAGTCCTAAAAGTCCATCCAGTGCGAACTACTCGCAGGGGCCTTGTTTTTTCCGCCTAAAGTCCTAGTGCGAACTACTCGCAGGGGCCTTGTTTTTTCCGCCTAGCCAGCGGGTTTGTCAGGGTGGGGGGGGCGGACGCGACATTGCCGTGGACGTGTCGCACTTGTTCATCAGCACCACTGCGGAGTTTTTGGCGCGGCCGTGCGGTGGTTTTCGCGAAGTGATTGCTCTACCCGGAAGGAAAAAAATTAGTTCTAGCAATTTAGCTTATGCGATCAACAGGCTCGAAGATTCGTCTCCGGAAGCCAAACGCAGCACGCCTTCCATTAAGTCCCCTAGGGTCTGGTCTGCTAATCCAGGCGGTAGCATTCATCTCGTGCTTGGCTTCCAAACGAGTTTTCTTGCCTCCTGGCGGTAGTCCGTCTAATAGATAGCCCCCATAACTAGGTGGCGCCGCTTGTGGTTGTCACGAGGTGATTCGCACCTCCCCGGAGTGAGAGAAGGTTCGTTACCGGGTTTCAGTACCTTTCGTCTGGCCTGGGCTCCTGGTGCTGCATTCACCGTTGGGAGTATAAGAATTAAGAACATAAGCCTAGCCGCACTGGCGGCAAGCCTCACGCGCACCATCAGAAGTGCAGTATTGGCCGTTCTTTGCGGTGTCTCACCATCAGAAGTGCGAGCTGCGAGGAGCGGGGCGCACCGCCTAAAGTTCTAAATCCCAGCTGCCCAATAGATAGATAGATAGATAGCTTTCCAATTATAATTTATATAAGTTTGAGTGCGTAGGTTTGGGTGCAGATAGCAGCGCTTCGCCCATCCATTTTTTGCGGGAGCAAGTATGTGTTCCTTCTTGCGTTTCTGGTATATTTCGTCAGCTTGCGCCACTCCTGATCGAGAGAGGCACACCTGGCGTATCTGTAGGCGAAGCCTTATTTTTGTATATATTCGTGTGATTGTTCTTGTTCTATCTTCCTCGCAATAGTGCTTGTCCATCTCGTTGTGGCTTCTTCTACTTCATTGCCATTGGTTCTTTGCGAAATAAACCCAGTCAAGTTGTAGTCAGGTTCTCGTCATGAAGATCTGTTTATAAATTAATTTCTCTTCGATCCTTGTCTTTCCCGCGACAGAAAATGATGAACATTCGGTCTATCGCAGCGGATCGCAGCTCCGGTCCAACGTCCAACCCAACTACTGCTGGAACAAGCAAGCACCACCCTACCGCACCAGGAACATCAAAGCGGCCGCCGCCATTACCGAGCAACCCAAGCGCGCCAGGGCAACAAGGCGGACCCGCTCCTGTGCGAGGAGGAGGTGCCAATTCATCTGGCACTACGCAGCAGCACAACATGATGGATGCAGAGCATCATAATGTCCTCGGACGAGGATCAGCAGACAAAGAAGCATCACAGCAACACCTGTCCTCCGGCCACAGCAAGAGCACCGCCCATAATAAATACGACAAACACCACTTCGAAGTAGATCCCTTTGCCGAACAGGACGCAGCGAGGCAGCAACTGTTGGATTCGTTGCTCGGCGGGGGTGGCAGTGGTGTGGAGCAGAATTTGATCTCGCCTTGGGCAACTACAACATCCGCAGCAGGATCTTCATCTTCTGCCGGCAATTCTACTTGTGCAGCAAACGCGACCCACTACTACGAGGACAGGGTCCGGCTGAACCAATTTCTCGAGTACCTGAACATGAACGCCAGCTGCGAGGAGGAAATGTTCCCACTCCACCCGGACTTCGTGCCGAACGGAAAGCTCCCCTTCCAGTACAACCAGTACCGGAAAGGGTACAGCAGCGTGGCGCAGTACATGAAAGAAAAAGCAGTGAAGGAACAGCAGCAGAGCGCAGCGAATTTTCAGCCGGGCGGAATCAGCGAGGGGGGGCGGAAGAAGTGAAGACAAAACTATATCAAAATTAGTATAATCTCAGGGGAGTTGGAAGTCTACTTGTTGTAGTGCAAATCGACATCAGTAAGGTAGAAAACACGACTTAGCGAATAAACGCACAACGAGGAGAAAGATCAACCATCAATATGTTGATCATAAGTACAGAAAGTAAGTGCACTAAGTTGTAGCTATGTATTGTTGTGCGCTTGTGGTAGAAGTAGAAAATTGAAATTCTGCGGAAAGCGGAAAGGTAACATCAAACAGATGAAATTGAAAAATGGAGGAGAGCATCGGGTTTAGCTAGCTGCTCATCCACGCAAGCGCAGCATCTCAGAGATACCAGTCGCTTTGCCACACGTCGAAGGTGTTCTTCTAGCGCCACACACTGTGCAACCACTCAAGCTTTTCTTCGTTTTCGCTTTTTTGCTATTGGTGGAAACTATCGCAAAGCGAAAGCCAATTACCAATCGTTTTGGTACAACACGGTTGCTACACTATACCCCAACCACAATTTGAATGGAAGAGAGCCACATTTCTGTTTTTTTGAATTATTCACTGCTCAAGACCGAAAGGTAGTCGAACGACGTATATCAAGAACTGTCTGTTTTATTCGATACGCCTTGACACTGACCGGAGCGAGTCAAGAAAAGATGTCAGGCAAGTTTCCGAAGAAGCTGTCTCTCGGTATACGATGTTTATTCAACAAATGTTGCTTATTTGTATTTTCCAGTTCTTCTGTGCACGACCAAGGGAGCACTTTCGGGCTTGCTTCCGACGTGTCATGCCTCATGGAGATTCATCTCAAACTCATTCTGACACAAGAAACACTAACATCGTAGGTCTTGCCATCATGATGACCGATGTGTACCAAACGCCAGTGATACTCGCCGAGGGCTTGTTCTCGGAAATCAAGGGATTCTTTTCCGAGGCGGTGCGCGGGAAAAACGAGCTGCCGTTTAATCACGTACTAACAAGTACCTACTTCTGCGCATTCGATTGTGCTTTTAGTGCAAGTAAGTAGTCATGCCTTGGCCTTGCTTTATTTTCAGCGACATTTTCCTGACATTACTTGTACTTTTGGTCCTCGTAAACGTAATGCTAATGACCCTTGTCTGTGTCCAAAAATAACAGGCAAATCCGCAGTCTCCGTCGCTCAACAAGCTCGGCAGACCGAGGAGATTCGTCCAAAGTGATTTTCGATTTTCGGGGCAACTCTGACCTGTTTGACGTCGAAGCTGATATAGTCTTGGCTCTGCACAACGTCAGCGAATTGTAACTCCGGAATAAGTTTTGTACGACTTTTCACTGCTCGGCGTGGCGTGTGATATGGTAGCAAGATTCTCCTAGGGATAATCTGTCTTGCGGCGGCGCTACGGATAAAAGGGCGCAGGGTCTGGGTCTGTTCGTCTTTGCAAAATCGTGACGTTCTGTGTGCCTAGTCGTGTAAAAATTTAGGACGACCACCTCGTGATCTGCATCTGACCAAGGTCAAAGTAAATGGAACACATACAAATTTCCGATCATGATCATGAAAGTCGAAGGTCATAAGAAAGTCTGTCCGTCTACGGACAAGATCTAAAGAATGAGATTTTCCAATCAGATCGAGTTCGTCTCTGAAAGACACGAGGAAACTCGTCAAATAAAGATCTCCCGGATCCTTTTGATGTGATCCGTATCTATGCGCAGGAGGATCTTTGGCATGTTGGTACCGCGATCCTCTTCCATTTTCCCGTTTGTAATTGTATGAAAAAATAGAATTAGAAATAGAATAAAGGATCTGATGTTGATCGGGTTCGGGGTTGTGGTTAGATCATGTTCATGTGGCTTTTAATTTACGATGTCTGTGCCAGTCGAGTCAGTTGTGTTGCCTGCTGTAGGTCAGTGCGACGCGGTACGATTCTCGTCGAAAGTGGATTTTTTAGAGATGTTGTTCGTTGATCAACATTTCCTTTATCTTCTGGTTCCAATTCAGCCACGTTGACAGAGTGACAAAGAGGAAGTATTTTTACGATTGCGATTAGGTTCAGCGCGTAGGCCCAGGCGTACATGTGCATTCCATCGATGGTCGCGAAACACAAGGTCATCGACGAGATTATTTCAATTTTTACAATCCAACTGTTGTCGTGAGTGTGACTTCTCAAGTTATTTGCTTAAGTTCGAACCACTTCCAACTTCAGAACTATGGCAAAGCTACCCGTTGGTGTAGCAGCAGCGGCACCTCCTCTGAAATTGCCTCCCCCGGCGAAAAATCAAATTGCGTCCGAGGTCGTGGTCCAACCGTGCCAAGAACCTCCGACCTCGACCACGACGCATTCCTCGGCGGATATCTACTTCAATGCCTGGAAGGGCACAAATGCTTTCGAGGCGATGCTGAAGGATGGCATCCTGTACCCGACGTACCTGAGAGCGATCACGAAAAACGCCGACCGCTACTTTAAGGACAAGCTCGTGCTCGACCTGGGGTGCGGGTTCGGGGTTTTGTCTCTCCTCGCCTTGAAAGCCGGGGCGCGGGCGGTGGTTGCGGTCGAAGGTTGCGACGAGGTCCTGTCCGTCGCGGAAAAATTGGCCGAGGAAAATTTTCCAAACGGAAGTTGGAGGAAAAAGCTGAAATTCGTCAAGGGCGGGCTTTTGAAGACGACAGAAGGGCTAAGCGGGAGTAGCTGCAGTTCTTCCTCAACATCTTCGCGATCCTCTTTCCAATTGACAGAAAACCTCGAGACGATTGATAAAGTCCAGGAAGCTTTGCGAGACCTGCTGCAGGTATCCGATGGTGCAGTAGTTCAACATGATCCACCGCAAGCAGCAACATCTTGTTCCATTGTCGTGGAAGATGCTCCTGCATCAGCTCAGCTACCACGCCCTGACAGCACGACCAAGAAAATAAACGACGACCACCGGAAAATGATGAAATTCGACACGATTCTCTCCGTCCCATTCGGCTCCTGTTTGTTTTTCGACAGCAGACTCGAGGAGGTGGTAATCGCGCGGGATTTTTTACTAAAACCGACCGAAACCTCCACACTCGTCCCTGACGCTTGCACCCTTTATGCGGAGCTCGGCGCCAGCGGGCAGCCGCACTTCAGCTCCTGGATTCGCGAGGGTTTAGTCGAAGACTGCAAGGGGGAGTACGCGGCGATCGACTTCTCGCCATTGGACAAAGCGGCCTATGAGGAGCCGACGCACACCACACTATTGGCCAACGCAAACGTGCACCTCAAGACGAGACCGGAGATGATGGAGGTATCAGGGGAGGAAGGAGGAGACGAAGATAAAGTGGGGAAAGAAACTCGGCACAGTAAGACGAGAAATAAAGGCGTAAGAGCACAGCAGGAGATGGGCTTTAATGCGGAGAGGGTGCTGAGATTGAATTTCTACACAATGACCAGGAGCCAGGCCCGAGGGAATTACACCGCGGAACTGTTCTTCAAGTCAAAGACGAGAAGGAGCGACAAGTTTGGAACGCACAGTTTCATGCGGGACAAGAGTTTGGTAACATCCCTCCGGAGCTTTTCATCTGGGTCGCACAGCGAGGCTGCGGAGCATCATGTTCATGCTTCTTGCGACCCAGGGGAAGTAGAAGACGTCGTCATGGGCGAAAATGACGATGAGGTGGCGAAGCAGGTGCAGGGCGATGTCGAGGCACAAGAAGTTGATGAAGACTACACGAAGAACTTCGATACGCTGGCGTTTTGGTTTGACGTGCACTTCTTTTCGAACACGACAAATTGTCCGGGAATGCACGGTCGCACGACACCAGGCAAAGAGAACTGCCTGGATGCAGCAAATGAAGAACATCACAGCGAAGATGACCTTTCCCCTTTGTCCCTGCTTTCCCAATCCCTTCTTTCCCCGACAAACAATCGCTCCATTACCTGCACCACGAACCACGTGAAGAGCTGTTTCAAGCAAACGCTGTGCTACTTGCGGCAGCCGATAAAAGTGACGATGGTGGACGAAGAAGTTGTTTCAGTACACAGAAATTCTAACAGACAACGAAAAGCGGCACAACCACCTGAGAAGATTCGTGTTTTGTTGCGGCAATTTAGGCCGTTTTTGGAACAAGCAGAGTGCGCGGCAACGGCGAGTCAGCAAAGGCATGACAGGTCGCCTGGTGCCGCTGGCGAAACGGCAAACGCTTCTACCTTGGAAAAAAAAGGCAAACAAATGGAAAACCTCCGAACCTTGTCTCTCACCGTCGGCATTATGGAGCGGATCGCTGTCGGGGAGGTGGCGGAGGAGGACGATAAAGTCTGTGAAGATGCTGGCGAAGTAGAACAACAGAAGGTCCGTCGTCGGGACCATTCGGGCAGAGATCCTGAGGATTGGGAGGAGCATGATGCGGAGGACTATTATGAAGAGGAAGACGAGCAGTATCCTTTTGTCCAGCGATACAGGATGATGGCGATGTGAAGATTCAACATCAGGTGCTGGACTTTCTTCAAGCCACAAGCACAGCTCCACAAGCAAAATAATTTTAATTGTACAGGAATTTTTTACAAATTCAATCATAAGCTTCGACGACGTCCACGCCTTTGATGTGACTCTTTGGCGAAGTAGGGCCACCGCTACAACTACCCCTGGTCTGTTGCTGTGACGTGTCATAGCGTTTGTGTTCTGTTGCAGATCCATCGCCTTCCTTTTTTGATACAACTGGTTCCGTTCTTGCAGGAGCTCCGACGTCTTCATAAAAGGCTAATATCTGATCTACTGTAAACAGAGTCACAGATGATCCAGGATGGTCAGCGTCAGGTGGATCGACTCTGAAGATGGTGGGATTTTGACTCCATTTCCGGACAAGTTTCTGACAATACTCCTCTACTGCTTCACACCAGCACGGTTTCCTCGTTTCCAATCTTTTTCGCAGCGGCACCCACCAGCAGTCAGAAAGAATTGTATGTTTTTTTCTCTTTATTTTCGTACTCGTTTAAGTTGTGATTTAGATTTCTTTGAATTTGACACATCTTTTTTAGAAATCTGTTTATTCGCCCCGCCATCCGTATTCTTCCTTTGGAATAGGTATCTAACTATAGGTTTAAAAAAAAAGAAACGCATGTCAGACCCGCCTAATGTCCTTCTACAGTTGGGGCGACGAAGAAGCGCCGGTGGACCAACCGGTTGCACCACCTCAGGCAGAACAGCGCCACGACTATGACGACCAAAATAACTGGAACGGTGAAAACGAGTGGGAAGAAGAACAAGCACGGTTGTATGATAAAGAACAAGAAGCCTCAACGGGTGGGCACGCTAGTAACGACCCCAAGAATCACGCCTCCTCCCTGATGAACCCACTTCCGCACCACGTGGGGGCTCCTCCTACTTCCAACTTTCGTGAAAGACAGCGCCAACTACTCACCGCACGAACCGCCAGGACGCGGACCACCACGGCGGTGCCAAGTAGCTCCTCGATGTTGTCTTCGCCCTATCCGTCATCCGCCGGGGCAGTCGGGCTGGACGAGCAGCAAGCTCCTGGGCGAGGAGGACAAGAACTAAGACAAGTACATCAAGGTCGTGTTCCTCCTGCGCCGGCCTACGTAGTTGCCTCCCGTCGCGACGAGCTGGACGTGACAGAAGGAAGCGGCAGTGCGAGGGGCTCGCGAGATGAGGGGAAGAGTGGAAAAGAGCAAGCGCAGTCCTCTCGTGCGGGTGGAAAACCGTCTAGCTCCTCGCGAACCCGAACGATGATGAACAAGGGCGGTGGGGGCACAAATTATCCGGCGTCGGCGGGAGCAGACAGTGTAGTCGTGTATCATGAGCATCGGAGCGGGCACGCCATGCCCATAGCACAGCACAGACATCAACGGAAGCCAAATGCCACCTCGAAAGGAACTCAGAAAGGGACGAAGGGACCGGTCGGTGCTGCTTTTATTCAAGGGAGTATTGCTGGAGGTGCGCGAACCGCTACAGCTTCGTCAATCCGACCGAATCCATATGGGAAGGCAGGCCACAAGCAGCAGGGGGCCTACTACGCATATCCAGATTCACATCACGCATACGATCAACGTGATCAGTACGTCGACTCCTACAACACACCGCCCTCGCGACAGAGCGGTGCCGGGGGCCACCAGGCACGCGCTTATCAACACGAACAAAATCATGACGAATACTACGAGGAGGAACAGCACGAAGTTCTTGAGGACGCAGAACTTGCACTAGCGGATGACGTTGAAGCGGACTACTGCAACAACTCTGAAGAAGCAGCCGAAGACAGTGCGGAACCAGGCGAGCAGAATGCCGAGGAAGTAGTACATAATGGTGAATACAACGAGAGTCTTCACGGGCAAGAAGAAGAAGAACAAGAAGAGCACCATGAACATTACGATCAAGAAGTAGAAGACACTGGTCATAATTATTCCCAGTATCACTATCCGTACCCTGCTCGTCCGGGGGCCTATGCGCGAAATCTTCAGCGAGGCAGCAGTACTCGCGGAGGGCCGGACCCTCGCGGCAAGGGGAAACAGGTCGCCAAGAACATTCAGTCCGTGGTCATGACCGCCGCAGGACCCATGGTGCCCCTGGCTGATGTTTGGTCGCATTGGGAAGATCCTGCTCAGTACAATTCCAACCACAACAAGCACAAGGGTGCTGGTGGTGCAAGCTCTAAGGGCCGCCGCGGCGGGACCAACTACGACTATCCTCCATTTCCTGGAGGTGGTGCTGGAAGTACAGGTTCAGGTCCTGCTCCCAAGGGAAAGGCTGGCAAGAAGCAGGCAGCAGGCGGGAAGGCAGCTGCTGGGGGGAAAGGAGCACTGCCTCGGGCCACGCCGAGAAGTGCCGGTAGAAGTATTCACGGCGCGGTTAGAGGACCGCCCTATGCTCACTATGATCAGGACACACAGCAGGGATATGGAGATTACTACCAAGAAGAGCAGGCCTATCAAAATCAGGACTTTGCCTATGAAGGTCAAGACTTTGTGCCACAGGCACACGATCATGCCGACGAAGAGGCGGGAGAGCAAGAAAACGATTGCAGCCCACCTGTTCTGGCTCTTGAAGACGTCAATCACAGACGGCAAAGCCAGAACAGTAGCAATCCACAACAACGCCGAAGCTCGCTCGGAAATCGCAGCACGATCACTTGCACCGGCGGAGGAAGAGATGGAGGGCAATTTCAAGTGGAACATCACCAGAGCCACAGTGATGGCAACAGTCAGCAGAGTGGTAAACAGCAAAGTGAGGAGAACAACAGTCACGTGCTGTCGGAAATGCAGGCGTTGTTGCAGCAGTTTAAGCAGCGAGACCTCGAGCGGGAGCAAAGGGAGAAGGAGCGGGAGGACGAGGTCAAGCGGTTGAGGGAGCAACTACAAGAAGCGGAACAGGAGAAGCAGGGGCGGGGAAGGTCGAAGTCTTCCTCTGGAGGGGCACATCGTCATCAGGCAGAAGAGGACGGAGAAGTCCATGCTGTGCAAGACAGTGGAATAAACCCGAGCGCGGCAGGCGCTGCTGCAATTGCGGTCAGTGATGAAGCTGTACATGATGCGTCCGGTGGTAGTCCTATGGCGGCGCAACGACCTCCGCCGGGCCCGGCCGCATCGAGACGCCCAGGTGACGATCCTCCGTCCGCATCATACAAGAAAAGGTCCGGACGTGCAGCTAACGAGTCGTCATCGTGGCATGACAATTACGAAGAGCAAAGCAAGCCAGCTGCACAAACCCAAACCGCCTCTTCCTCTGTTCGTGAGCAGGAGGTTGAAGATTTGCTGGCACAAATCAGTCCTACATCCAAAAATCAACGCGAGATATCAAATCGCGTTGCCACAATAAGAACGGCGTCACATGAAGAAGATGCGAACTACGAGCCATCTGCAAAGCGGCAGAAGTATGTTTTCGAAAGCGGTATGATCACGATGGAAAATAAAAACCCAGAAGGAAAGGGCAGCACAGCCGAAAAGAAACCGCCTGTTGCAAGGCTTACCGTGGAGGAGAGACGGAAGCTTCGTGCAGGCGGAAGTGCAGCAGGGACGGCGAGCGCGAATGCGCAGGAGCAGCAGCAGGCAACATCTTCGGGAATATCTCCGGCGCACCAATTTCAGCAAATAAATCACAAGCCTTTTGAAGCGGTCGAAATTGAGCAAATGTTGCAGAGCCATGCGATGGCGCGGCCGGACCAAGTGTCCGAGCAATTTCTGAAAAAATCGCTGATTAGCGAAGATCCGGATCCGCTGGTTGCCATCGGTTTGAACGAAGCAAATAACGACAATTTGGTGGAAGAAATTGCGAAGCGGAAAAAGGAAGCGGAGGCGTTGCGCCGACAGGAATGGCGAGAAAGAGAGGAGATGGCCATGGAAGATGAAGACGCGCTCGAAATGGAGGGGGTACTTAGTCAACTTAGTAGTTCTGAAATGCTTTTTTCCACCATTGTTCGCATTCATGTCTAGATACTGATGCGCGCCGCGACAGGAAGAACGTTTTACATGTTCTTCACTCTAAATTTTCCTCTTCCTTCTTTGTTCGGAGCAACGCTACTAAAGTGCGCATCTGTTGTCTGTTTCATCAATGACGTTCGCAATTATCTCCGAATGAAACAGACCCGACCGCCCAAGGCCAAACAAGCATCGGAGACAAAGCGCCCACCTGCAGTGACGGAACCAATAAGGTCCGACGCTCCAATAGAAGATGCAGACCCCCCACCTCCTGCCATTGTGGACGACGAAATAAATAAAGACCCCACCCCTCCTCGCCTTTCTAAACCCCTTCCCTTGTGGCAGCGGCCCTTCAGCTGCGAACGGGAGCACGTAGAATGGTATGCGAAAAGGTTGACCACCGTGACGCCGAAGGAAGTCTTAGCTAAGTTTTACATGATGGACGTTTCCCATTTCCAGGACCACGACCCCGAATCGCCGCGGGATTCGCTTGTGGCGAAGCTGATGGGCGAGGATGAAGACGACTTCGCTGGTTTTCGCGAGGATACCGCACTGTATCATGATGTTGACACCGCTCTACATCCAGATATTGGAGGCAAAGACTCTTTGCAGGACGCGGCCATTGGTGAAGATGTTCTTTTTGAAGATGAAAAACCAGCTCGTGACGACGTCGAGATGGAAGAAGCGGCGGATGAGCTGCCCAATGAGAAGCAGCTCTCTACTACTCCGGCGCCCGCAGCGGAAGCAGTTCCCGCTGTTGCTGCTGTGCAACCACGAGCAGGAACTGAGAACGACCCAAAGATGAAACCAGCAGCACCTCCTGTATTAGGATCTGCACGACCAGCTGCGCCTTCTAGCAGTGACGAGCAGAACGAAGGGGTACGACTGCCAGCAGCTTCGTCTTCCAACCCCAAGCCAAAAAGTGCTCTTAGCGAAGCGGCAAAAGACAAGTACCGATTACTGTTGAAGAGGAAGAAGAAAGCCCTAGCGGAACAGACCGAGCAAAAGCGGCAGAGCTCGAAGGAACAGGACCAAGAGGAGGAGGTACAGAATGCTTCCGCGGTTCCGGTTCGGTCCGAATTGGAAGAGCAGCAGCTAGAACGCACGGCTGTACTACAGGAAGATAAACAGGTGGAACAAGAACCGAGCCTGAGCGCTCTTGCCGGGGCCGCACCTGCAAAGCCGGCCCCTCCTCTGTCCGAGGCGGAACTAATCCAGCACATGCTGGACCGGAAGAAAACTGAGTCGGACGCTGCACCAAATCAAGCGAACGAATCTTCTTCACCCGGAGCTCCTGCCAGAGCACGACCTCCGTGTGGTCACGAAGCAGTGCCCGTAGTTGATGTTCCGGCAATCGAAAAGGAGGACATGCAGGATATTCTCAGCAAGGCCGGCTTGAACGTGAGCGAAGCCGACAAAGGTAATAGCACGACGCAAGCCAACATCAAAGGTAAATCCAAAGAGCACACAGACACAGGAAAACAAGCAGCTCCAGGTGATAACACGAAACGGGAAAGCGCGAGCGCGTCAGCCTCTTCCTCGAACGAAATGGAGCTGGTGAGGCACCTGGACAAAAAGGAGCCACCGACCGATGTTGTTCTGGGGCAGAAAAATAGAAGCACCAGTAAAGCAGGTGGGCCAGCAGTGTGGTCAAAGAAGCCAAGTTCAGTTCTCGCACCGCCTAACCCTTTCGTGAACAGCAATCCAAACCCTTTTCTCCAAAAGCCTTTCGTCCCGCAACCAAATCCATTTGCCGCACCTCCTGTGCTGGAACCAACATCGTCGTCGCAAGTTCATCGCGGAGGCAAAATTCCTCCTCCGCAATTATCGGCGAAAAAAGTTACCATCGGTGGTCTGACGGAGCAGAACTTGAAGAATTTGTCAAGATCCAGCCGGAACGATGGGCTCTTCGCCGGTCAGCCGGATTTGGACGAGGAGGAGGAGGAGGAGGAGGAGGAAAATTTTTCCGAGAATAGCGATTTGGTGGTGCAAAAGTTGATGGGCGGAGGAATCGACAATGACAAAACCAAGAAGAACAAGCGAAAGGGGCATAAAGACGCAGAAAACAAGCAGCAGCCCCCGAAGGAGCCGGAAAAACCTTGGTGGGAGATGCAGAAGCAGAACCGGCTCGACCGCGCGGCCCCGTCGATTATGTTCACATCGAAGCCGGGAGAACAGGTGCCAAAGAGCGCCAATGCCAGTACCAACCACAAACCCGGGGCAGCGCCTGTAAGTCTAAGTGCTGGAAAGGGCAAAGGCAAAGGGGCGACTGCCGCCGGCTTTCCTCCTCCTGTCGTTGCCGCTGACCTGCACGCCGGGAATATGAACGCGAACTTCATGGCAGGGATACCACAGCACCCGGCCAGTTATCAGCCCGGGGGTGCGACTGCAGCAGCTCACGACCCAGGTGATTACAACGAGTACTACGAGGACGGGCACAATTACAAGGATGAATACGGAGACGACTATGAGGAGGAGGACGGCTACTATGACGAAGACGGGGCCTGGATCACTGTGCCAGCCGCGCCAAAAACTGAGCAAAACGCCGCCGCCAAGGACGGTGCTGGTACCAATGGTGCCGTTGGAGGAACCATGAATGATCCCACGACGGAGCAGACGTCGAGTAAGAAAGGGCGTGGTAAGAATAAAAAGGAAGACGAGCCGCATATCATTTATCGATGGAAGCCGCCGAAAAATCTCAAAGGAGCTGCAAATGAGTTCGATGAGGAAGAGGATCACCGCGTGAACCAAACGAGCGTGAAAGTGACGAAGCGCGGGCGGACCATCGTATGGCGTTCTCAAACGTTACACTCTCAACTGTTGCATGAATTTGTCATGCAAAAGTACCTTAAGCCGGCAGATGATCGAGCTGCTTCGCATGACAAATTTCGAAAGGGCTAAACAGCATCTAAATCTGCGCCAAACTTGTAATGCAAAAGGCGCAATCTTCCTCCACTCCTTTCACATTTGCCATTTTTGCATTACAGATTCATGTAACAGTTGAGAATGTAACATTTGAGAACTCCATACATCGTGACCGTCGGGTGGGACCCGAACAGCAACGACAAATCGGCGCAGTGGCATCGCTATGCAGTGCAAAAATGTCTGGGTCTGGAAGAGTGTAAACTTGTCATGCAGATTTTCCATGACCCATGAGGTCTGGAATGCGGGCCTTAGCATGACAGACTCTGCGAGGTCTCTGCCATGCCTGTCCTGCATGAGAAACTCCCTTCCATCTTGGTCAAAAGTGGCATCGGCAGAGGCTAAATCTGTTCTAACGCCCAGGTATTGGCAGAGGCTAAATCTGTTCTAACGCCCACCCGCCAGGAGTTAAATGGTACTACTACTACTATCTTGGTCAAAAGTGGACAGCTTTTGGCACTCATGCAACACATATTTTTGCATGATTCGGATTTAGTATGACAACTTTGCATTCTTCCAGACCCAGACATTTTTGCAATGCATAATCGCAAAATGGAGAAGTTTTGGTCGGAGAAGAACCCGGACTGCAACATCGTGAACAAGAAGCTCACGAAGGGCGAAAAGCGCCAGCAACGCGCGAAGCAGCAGCGACGCGAAGCGAGACGAGAGCAGGGGATCGTGCCGAGTGACAGCAGCGAGGATTACGACGAGAGGATCCGGGAAAAAAGGATGCTCAACAAGCCGCTGTTTGAACATTTCGGGGTGGTGAAGGGGCAGGAGCAGGATCAGGCGATGATCGGAAGAGCTTCCAGTTCTTACATGACTCCTTGCATCACCGAGGCAAATCAATTCGGGCCGATACTGCCGAAAAAACCGCCAATAAGTGCACAAGAAATTATGGACGAGGACCTGGAACAACATCCACAAATCGTTACTTCGAAGAAAGGGAAAAAAATCCCGCAAGCCCCGGCGGTCCCCATCATCATTGCGGGTGAGAAGTTCCCCGCGCCGCCCGGTTTACCGGTTTTCAGCGACATGGAAGGCGAACACACTGGAGGTGCAACGAACGTGGTGAACAACAAGGGAAGTAGAATTACAAGCGGAATAAACAAGGGTGGCGCTCTTGGTACAGCTGCTGTTCTTGGGGGTGGAGTTAATATTCCTCCTCCTGAGCTGCATCCCCCACACAAAGTTGTAAATCCGTCGGTTGGTTTAAACGCTGGAACTAGTTTTAGTACAAGTCGGAACAAGATCATGGAGGCGTTTGATCACGATCGGGACGAGTTTGACGAAGACGAACTGGAAATAAACATCAATCGGGACTCATCCAAAATGGACGTCGAAGAACATCACCAGCCAGAGTTCCTTTCCCCGCGGACCGCAGCCCGCAAACTGCAAGAGGAACAGGAGCGGCAACGAAAACGCGAGTTCATCACGACGCTGGGTGCGCCGGTTCTGCACCCGGTTGGGGCGAACAATCCTAGTACTTCGCAGTCCAGATTGCTAGATGTCAACGAATTCGACGTGGACAGCGACGATTCTATGGGAATTACAGCAGGCAGGAGGATGCTGAACAAGCAAAAACACACTGTAGTTCCCAGCGGCGCTTTCGGAGAAGTTGCAGCAGCTGCACAAGTTTTCCACCGCACAAACTCTGGTGCGGCAACTACAGCTGGTGCCAATGCTAGTATGCAAATGCCCGCAGCTTCGCCGAAGCCTTTTATCGACCCGAACATCAACACCAGCATGCTGCAGATTGTCGCCTTGACCGGCGAGAAGCCGCCGACGCAAGCGACGTTTGAGCAGCGGAAGCACCAGGCGCTGCAGAAATTCCGCATCTACGAGAATCTACCACCGCTGCTGATCCGCCCGCAGTTGGAGAAGATGGTTTTCCTTCTCCATTTGGTGAAATTGATCTTCTTCGATTGTCCGGGGTTGTTCCTGGATTTGCAAAACTTGGAAAACCAACTTTCCGAAGAGGACGCGTGGAACCTGAAGCAGATGAAAATGAAGATCAAGGGCTGGCGGAAGAAAACATTGAAGGTATCACAAGAAAAAAGTGTTACAGTTACACATTGTGTTGCAGGCCAAGCAAGACAGACAAGCTCTGTCATGCCGGATATTATGCATCGAAGCGTCCTTTCATAGGTATTTTCCCGTAGGATTTCTGCATTGCAAGTTTTCTCCCTCATGCAGAGAAATTTGTGTTGCTGAATTGACAACAAATGTGTAACTGTAAACACTTTTTTTGTTCGATAGAAGGACATCTGTCTCTACTACCCGGAGTTTTTCGTCGTGCTCAAGTACAGCTTTAAAAGCACAACTCCGGCGGACGAGAATAATAACAGCGAGATCGTCGAAGTGGACGTGATTGGTTTAGCGGAAAAGTGCAGGCGAAATCTTCTGAGAGCGAACCCCTGGATGCTGGACCAGGTGACGAAGGATTTCTCGTCATCTAGGGGAATATTAAACAGAAATAACTCATCGAACCGGAACTCCGGCACCAGCGCCGCAACAGGCAGTGGGGAAGAAGAAGAGGTGGACGACATCTACGCGGATTTGTTTCAAGAGGACGAGGACCACAAGCAAGCTGCTGTCCTCGGAGGAATTGCGTATGGCAGTTCGGAAAAGAACAAGAACCTCCCTGAGCAGAAGCGGTTTCTGATTCCCGGGTTGCGGGAAGAAGGTGGGAGCAAGGGCGGGAAGAAATCCTCATCACCTTTGTTGGCAGCTAGTACATCAAGTGGGGGAATTTTTCCGAGCTCGACGAACAATATTAACCTCCTCACTCGCCCGCACTCCAGCGATTCAGAAGACAACGACAACTTCCCGTTAGGGGCCGATGCGCTTACTCTGTCCACCTATGGCGGGGCGAGTAGGAACAAGATGGACGATTTGGCGCTCTTCTACCAGTACGAGGATGACGTGCGGAAATTACATTTGACCAACGAGGGGGTTTCGACCATCCCCTGTCTGGGCCACGCCTACCTCCATTCCGTAAAAGACGACCCGAAACTGCAGAAAATGTGCCCCTTTCTCTGTGCGGAGCTGCACAAGAAAATCCGAAGGATCGACTGGCTGGGCGAACTGGAGGGGAAGGCGAAAAATTACAACCTACCGGACAATCACGCAACGGTGGTGGAATTCAAAACCTTAGCGGACGAAGAGATTGCCCGGAAGAACCAAGATCGGGCAGCGGAGGTACTATAAGAAGATAAATTCTCATCTGGTGGTGGTGCAGAAGCAGAACACCGAGTGATCATCGGAAATGCAAATTCTACATCCTTGCAGTCTTATAGAAGTCTCGCATTCGATGTCCTCGTCGCGTCACCGTTGCATTTTTTCCCGCGCATGCAATTGCTGTCGTGTATACTAGCAGTGGCCGTTTGCGTTTCCGTTAGCATAGAATCAAAATGATCTTCATCGAAGAATCCAAATTTACATCATACAAACGAAAAACAGGTCTGTCCCCTGCCCCTGCTCCAGGCGATGCGCCAGGACATCCTGGACCGGTTCGGGAAAATACGACTGACCCTGCTGCAGAAGCTTGCCATGGTGATCGCGAAGAACCAAGCCTCGATGATAAACTCCACCACTCTGCTCTGCACACAGAACAATTTTTCATCTTTTCTTCACAACACGAACACTCACGTAAACCCCAACATTGCGCACTACAACGCATCTATCCGCGGCGCAAAAGATAAAAACTCAGCCGCTTCATCATGTGCGAATAAAATCCTTCACCAGGCGACCAATATCGACAAGCTGAAGCACTGCTTCGACGACTGGAAACGGTACTTCAAGGTGCCCGCCGAAACGACGCTATTATCGATTCTGAGAGAACACAACGCGTTTTTCTTTCACCGGAAGGAGACCGACTTCGTCGGCTTAACGCTGGCTGGCGTGCAACTGCTCTTTGTGAAATCGCCGGTGGCGGCTGCGAAGGTGTTCTACGCGAAGTTCGAAATCAACGGGCAAGACATCACGAAAACGAGTGGAGCTGCTGGTGGTACTAGCACGGCGGTACTTAGTGGTGCTGGTCGATGATGCTGGCTACCGTGCTTCTAAAAGATGAGCACGTTGTAAGTAGTACTACACTTCTACACAGGTCTCAGTTCATGACATTACCATATTCAAAGCGACACTTCTAAACGAACAACTTTTGAGGTGAAGGTTGATCTCTGGAACTCCTCAACTACGCTCTCCATTTCATCTAAACTCATCGTTATCCGTAGGAGAAATGAACTTGAGCTTATTTTTCTCAAACAAGCAGCCGATATTGGCTGCTGTGCGCCGGCTTGTACGGACGATAGAGCCTATCGTTAACGCTGCGCGCAGCGATTTTATCGTGTTCCAAAACTTACAACGCCAGTGACCACGCCGATAAGAGGATCTTGGACGGCTGCAATTGCCACGGTAGCACCGGGGAGCGCTGGTAACGATCATGAAACAAAGGGTCAGATGCAGCAGTACCAGTAGAAGGGCATCTTTAGGAAGAAGGTTTATCTTCATCCGCATTGATTTACAACTTCAACTTGCTTCGGGAAGAAGATCATGTCGAAGAAGATCAGATACCCTGTGTGTCGACCTGCTTTATTAGCAGCTGTAACTGTAAGATCTTCGCATTTGCAATGGACAACGTGGTCGCTTAAGGAGATCACCAGCGCCACTGCGCGACAGGATCCTTTCTTTGCGCTCCTGAAACGAGTTCCTGGAACATGAAACATGATCCGTGGTGGAGGCTGATCGACGATATCAAGAGGCTAGAGGATTCAGAATGAAAGTGTGACCACGAGACCGTGCTCCGCCTGGTTGATCTTTTAGAAGTAATACTTTACTCTTACCGCCAAGAAAGCGACTGAGGCTTGATGTAGCTCCAATAGAACTAGAAGTAGTAGTGGAGCCGAATACTCATAATTTTATCTAAAAAACAACATCAATCAGCTTCCCACGTCTATGAGGGAGGTGCTGCTATAGCATCACTCTCAATTCTGAAGATTTTTTCGTGTCGCCGACATCACTGTAGATATATATAAGCGTCATCTTGTAACAACTAAATTCTAATTGTACGTAACTACATGCCCAATGATCAACCAACTTACTACTGTAAAACGAAGTGTATGATTTTCAATATCGGAATTTTTTTTGGGCCACCACACGGCTTCAGCAAAGGCTGACATTTTTCTACCAGAGCTGCCAGCTGCTTTTCCTTACTTGCGACGAAAATGATGGCGCCTCAACTGAGAATGCTTTACGCCTTCGTTTCTACCGGTGGATTTTCCACTTTGAAATTTATTTCTATTTTATCCTTTGCTTACATTAACATTGCCGACGGTCTCGCGCTCCAGAAGAAAGCCGATGTTGGCGATGCGCGGGTCCTGGTCGATAACGCGGCCTACACGACTTCTGCGCACCACCACGACGACGTTGTGCCTCCATATGATTATAACCCAGGCGAGTTACTACAGCTCGAGGCTGCAGCCGAGCGCGTTTCTTCCGCGGTGTCGTCTGTACCAGGAGAGACGCACCACCTACGACAACCGACCGGACTTCTGTCTGCTGGTGCCAGCAGTGATCGTCCCAGCAATGATGCAGTTGCCGTGGAGGATGCAGCTCGGAACGGGCATCGTCAAGCTCTAGCCGGTGCTGACGGTCGTGGAGCTGCTCCGCGTGAAGATCTTCCTGGTACTAGTACAACCACACCTGTACTAATTCGTTCCCGACAGGGGCGACCGAGCGGAGGCGGACCCCTCGGTCCCGGAGAATCTTCCGCGCTGGCCGCGCGGCAAAGAGGATATTATTACAATGAAGAGTTCGACGGACGACCTTCTGTTGGAGAAAGCACTAGCAGGAGCGGGAGTGGGAGCAGGCCCAACAGCTACAACTCGTCATCCGCGGCCGCCACACGCGGTCGCCTTTTGCTGGAACGACCACATGATCAATATGGTCAAGACTGGCCGTTTGCTGGTCCGGCCTACCCAAGCTCGGGGGGGTCTTCGCACCCAAACACACCCATGTACCGAACAGGTAGCAGTAACAGCATGCTGTCCTCGTTGCAAGACAGTGCAGCTACACACACGCGAGACTCGCTGTCCAACCAGGGGCCGGATGAGCTGCTTGCAACAGGACTCACAACCAACACACCACCTCCGCTTCTCTACGCCATGGGGGGTCGCGGTCGTGGTGGTGGTGGGTCGTCGCAAGTTTTACAATTTGCCAGCCCCTCGACCTCCTCACGCGGAACAAGTGCAACCAGCAGTAGCAGCGACTTTCAAACCAGAGGGCGGCAGCCTTGGCCGGTCCGACCTCTAGCAGGAGCATATGGACGAGGAGGCCAACAGCAACATCCCGCGGGGGTAGATGCTGTGTTCCCGAACTCATTTCATAACGTCTTCGGCCGCCCTCTTCAACAATGGGGTCAACGTCCGCCTCCGCAGCCACAGCCTGAACCTGAGCCATCCTGGTGGGATGCGCGAAGGCTGGAGGCGGGGGGACCAGTACTGTCAGACGTAGCACATCACGCAAATGTGGTCCACCCCCGCATAGCAGCTGGGACCGCGGATGGTACGACGCCTCGAGCGCACCAGCAAAGCGATTCCACTCCGGGGTCTGGGTCTGCAGCAAGTAGAAGTGAAACGATAGTAGTAGACGACGCTGGTAGTTCATCGTCCGCCCAGCGCACGGGCACAGCGTCTCCTACTGCTGGAACGACAAATCCATTAATCGAGCCGACCGTAGCCAATACAGGAACGGGGCACTACGGTGCGGGAGCTGCAATCCCTGGACGACAGCAACAGCAGGAAGTGCGGCATGGAAAAATGAATGACCAACTGCCAGAGCTGTTTACGGTTGAAATTAAGGCAAAGCTCCTTGGGCAGGAAGAATTATTTCACAAGTCCTCGTCATCGGCTTGGCCTTCGGTCTCGTCTCGGGATGAAGATAGCGCGGACGATGATCTTGATGATCAATACTACGGACCCTGTGGAACTACGGCTCTAACCTTCGAAATAAATCTTCTGCCGGCTTTCACACCAATTTGGCAATTTATGCGGTTAGTGCAGCTGAAACTGGCTGAGGAGTGCGCAAGGCAAGAAAGCAGGCGACAGGAGATGGACTTTGGCTGGGATGTTACCCAGGCGGCGCCGCTTGAAGAGGATCAAGGCGACATCGAAGAAATCGACTACGCCACGACGCACGCGATCTTTACAAAAATGCGCATGAGCTGGCCCGAAACCGAGTTCTGGAAGGTTTTGGAAAAAGAGGCGTTCGTTTTGTCATCGTCGCCATCTGCTCCCGCCAACGCTCCCCGAAACGTCGGCCGCAGCACAGCGACTACGAAGGATCCTGCTTTTGTTCCTACTTCCTGGGAGAACGGAGTTCCCTATGTGTACGACCTTCCAATTTTGGCCCTTTTCGCTGCACCGGAGAGAAAAGGAACAGATACAGAGCCCAGTACAGAAAATCGTCCCGAAACAATCAGGCCGGAACCGCATCAGAAGCGCAGATTCTGTTTGTCTTTTGAAATTGTGGAAAAGATCATAGATGCCCAGCACGAACAGGAAAGAGCAGGGCTCATGTTAGATACGCGCTATCTCCTGGCAATGCCAGCATTGATAGCTGGCACTTCTAGTGAAGCGGAGCTGTCATCGTCCACAGAAGAACCACCGGCGACAGCAGATATTGTCGCACGCAGGGCGAGAACAGCTGCGGCCGCGGCGGCAGCTGCGAAGGCCGACATCTCGGACGAGAGTGATAGTGACAGTGAAGAAGATGCCGGTACCGACCTTGACGGTGTCGTTGGGACTCCCGGAGGACTCCGGCAGAGACACCAAACCCGTCCCGCAAAAATACCGACTGTCAGCTTCAGCAATTCCGTGGCCCTTCCGCACGTCAAGCAGGAAGTCTGGCTTCGGTCCGTCATCTATCACCTTCGTGAAAACAAGTTTCCACCCGACGCCACGGGCGCGCGCCAGCTTCCGCACGACGACATTCTGGGCATCTCCGTGAAATTCAGAAACAGGAGTGCCGTCAAGGCCTGTCTAGCGCACGGGGCGGACTTGTTTAACCCGAAGCGCGCGCCGATTGTGACCAGAAATAATGTTACAGGCGCCGACTTATCGGCCCTGCCAGACATTGTGGATGGACCACTGCATGCAGAGCACCAGAAGGAGGGAACTTCTACAAGAGAGAAATCGAAAGAGACACCAGCAGGTTCTCGAAAGCTACAAGGCCGATCGGTAAGAGCTGCTGCTGCAAATAGTACTAACGCCGAGCTTTTCATCCAGAACAACCTTCTCGAATACGCGATCTTGCAGAACGATAGTGAAATGGTGAGCATCCTTCTTTCCGCGGTGCCGACCGAGGACGACTGGCTCGCGCACTCCGAGCTGCAAGCGGTGTTGCGAAAGTCGCTGAAGCACATTGCGGATTTGCGAGCTCAGCAAGAACAGCAGATCCACCTCTCCAACGGCACCCTGACGTTTAAGACCGCACTGCTGACCAACATCATTGACGAGCATTTGCACTTGCTGAAGCACTGGATTTTGCCGAAACTGCACCTGCAGGACCTCCCGGAAAAATCCCTGCGAGTCTTCGAAATGGAGATGCTGGACTACGCGGGCATTCACCACGTTACGTTCGCAGATCTGCAGACGCCGAGCTTTCTGAAGCCGGAGCTGTTTTACCTCTTCGGCGCCTGGCACACCGAGAGCCACGCCGCGGCCGGACCGAGGTCCTCCCGGACTGTGTCATCTCCCGAAGTGGACGCGATATCAGAGAGAGGGAGCTTGCTTTGGGAAAAGCAAAAGACTCTGTCCGTATCACCGAGCGAATCGCCCGCAGACTCTAGACGGTCTTCTGTGGACAGCGGCACAGGAGCAGGAGCTGTTATAGTTCCTGCGACTCGTGAAGATGATTCCTTTTGGAAGCACCAGATCAAGGGAAATACAACCCTCCTGGAAAAACTGAAAACCGCCAATGCCACGGTGCAAGTCGGTAGTGGTCTTGCGCCTGCTGGTCACCAGTACGCGGCTACTAGAGCGGAACATCCCCTGATGCAGGAAGAGTATCATGTTCATGTCAGCGGCGATCCAGGTATTCCCGAAGATCCATTGGCGGGTGCACTACTCGATACGCTGTTTGATGACGATGAAGACGATTCCGGTCCAGCTCCAAGTGATGAAGAAGAGGAAGCTGACAGTGCTAATGCCCTGCCCTTCTCGGCGGGTGGATTGGCTTTCGGAACAACGACTTCTGTCGGCGAGCAGCAGGAGGAAAGAAGCGCTTCTCGTTTTCACCGTCGAAATGCAGCGACAGCGAGTGGTTTCCAGTACCACTACCAAGAAGAAACCTTTGAACCGATCGCAGGTCCCCCGCGGCCACAAGACGCGGCGCAGCGGCAAGATCTTCTGAGACGTGCTCATCTACTTGACAAGGCTCGTCTCCTTCACAAGCAGAATAAACAAGAAAGGGTCAACATTCACGACCTACATCCTGGCCTCATCGTGTCACGAAGCACTGCTAGCGCACCACAGCTTGTGGACGACAGAGGCGGCGGCGTTTACTCGTCCGAGAATGATGAAGAGAGCTGCGCCAGCTCTGAATATGGACACCGAGAGGGCGAAGCTGCAGAAGGGGCTTTGAGCAAGGCATTCGAGAGACTCGTTCTGAGCGGGGAGATTCACGGCACCGCGGCTGAGCGGCAGCAAGTTCTGCTAGCCCCTGCTCCAGCTCGCAGCGATACTGCAGCTTGTTTAGGCGGAGCGTCCGGCAGTCGTGCCGGACCTCACATTCTTGACGCCCTGGCACTGCCGATACCGTGTCATGAAAGTTTTACAAGTCCTCCGGTAGTACCTCCCTCGGCCGCGCGTCGTTCTCCTTCCTCATCGTCTTCCGGCGCCCACGATAGTACATATCTAAGCGTCCCTCACACCGGCAGGCCAATGATTCCGATGATCCCGACGAGTGCGACCTCCTCGTCCCCGCCACCCACGGACGGGCCAACGCTTTGCACACCTTTAGTACGGTTGGCAGCGGGGGCAGTAGTGCCACCCGCTTCAGATACAGATTCCGTTCCAGCAGGAGCTGTTCCCCAGCGTTGCCGTTGGTTGGACGCCTCCCTTCGAACCGGAATACTGGGACCGCCGCGCAGCGCGACGCCTGTCATAGGCGAAGATGAAGTTGTGATGGATGACCCTTTAGTGCAGCAGCCGTGTGTATTTTCTCCACCTCCAGGAGTGCCCGCGCCGGTGTTCCCAAGCAGGCAGATAGAACGACACCACGAGGAGGATCGAGATCTTCCGTGGGCAGTGTCTGCTCGTGTGCAGCTAGCGTCTGCTGCGGAGGAATATCATGAACAGCATGCCGTGCAAGTCGAGCAGTTTCATGCTGCGGAAGCGGCTCAGCCGTCTGAACCTGAAGCGGACCAGGAGTTGCACCAACATGATCCAAGTACTACACGCAGCGCGCTGGGCAGTTTTATTTCCATTTCGTCCGATTCTGCATCGGAAGGTTCTTTCTACGAGGGCGAGCAGCTTCTGCAAAACGGTCGTCCTTCCGGTAGCTACACGTGCGCAGAGTTAGATCCGGAGATGCTACGAATTCTGCTGCAACTCAAGCCGTCACTGATTCTGGATCCCTTTTTGGCGAATAATGAAGCGGAAGCACGAACAGCTTTACCTTTATTACCCCGGGACGAGGATAATTACCCTCAGAAGTCTGAAGAAGCTGAGTACCACGGTAACTTACTGCACATCATCTTTGGCAGTCAGCAGTATTTGCACTTTACGCTGGATGACGAATTTGAAGCGAGGACTAGAAATGCGAGCTCGGACGTTGATAACCAAGGTGGAACAGCGGAGGATATTCTGAATTTTACCGAGCAAGATGAAGAACAATACCAGCACTCACGCCTGGCTGAGGATAAGTACCCGTGGCTGATCTTTGACGAGGCCACCTGTGGCTTCGAGCACCGGGTTAAATTTGCGAAAGTTGTCCTGGAAGTGCTGCAGCAGCAGGGAAAAGCGACAAATCCTAGTGCCGATAATCAAAATTTCGAGCACACGTACTGGTCGGACCAAGAGGGGCCCCGCGGGAGGCCCGGTAGCGTCCCGAGCGCCGGGCGGAGGAGCAGCAGTAACTCAACTAGTTCTACCGCCGGACGGTATCAGCACACCAGCAGACCTCTCGTCAGTCTGGCGATTGGGGTGCAGCGTCACCAGCACCTGGGTCGTAGTCATTCCTTCGCCTCCGTCCTGTCATCTTCTTCTGGCACCAGCTACAGCGACCCGCCTCGACGTCTCCATGACGAGCAGCTCAAAAGTATTAATCCCAACATTTTGAAGCGTGCCGATCGGGATCGAGATGGGAGCACTCCCTTTGCGCTCATGATCCGAAGCTTCCGCATGGCTGTCCAGGAAGTCGGTTTTGTGACCGCGGCGCAACACACCGCTTGGAAAGAGGCTTTGGACATGTTCGACGGTGCGAGCATCCCAGAGGACGGTAGTTACTTCAAGGAGCTTCTCCTGATCGAAGACGCGTACGAGGACAAAGAGCACGCAAGCGTTGTCATCGCAGAGCTCGTGTTTGACTTGGCAAGAAACCGCCAGGGCGAGCTGGCCCGTATCATTCGTTTCTGGGACAACTACTCCAGCCAGAGTTCCCGCACGACCCGCACCCCAAACCAGGCTTCGCAGGCGTTATGCCTGGTTTACGGCCTCACGCAGTTATGGTCCGGGGCCTTCAACGATGTGTATCATCAGGCGTACGGTTCGCGGAATTCCAATTACCAACCCGGACACGCGAATGCCTTCGTGCAGGGTTTCCTGTCCTTCTTGACAACCACGACGGGCAACGAACAAAATTTCGTACCTAGAACAACGAGGACCCAGCAAGCGGCGACTGCTGCCCAGGCTGGAGATGAACAAGGTAGCTCGGTAGGAGGTGCCGGGCTCCGGGGCGGGCGGGCTCCTGTGGGAAGTTGTGCACCAGTAGAACAAGCTGCTTCTGGACTATCAGCTTCAGGAGGCCTACCAACCTCCGCCAGTCCAACTTCTAATGGCACGACTTCGAGGACCAGCGCAGCTGCTCCTGCTCCTGCTGACATTGTTTCTAACCAGGTGCAGGTCACTTCGGATCTGAACTTTTTTCTGGACCAACACCACTCCGTCCTTTCTGTCTTTCTGCACCTCCTGCTCGATTCATTCAACGCAATGGTCGTCACTTGCAGCGACACTACCGGCACTCCAGTTGTACCAACTTCACGAGCAGGTCGTGTGCATCAGCTGCTGTGGCCGGCGCACAACTACAAGCAGGGCCCATCCACTTCGTCGAGAATGGGGAGCAAAGATCTCGCTTCTGGTAGCGACGGTCCTGAAAAAAAAAAATCTGGGGCAGCTGCTGGTGGTGGTCAACGAGACCAGCAAGAAGCCGCTGATGTGCGGGACCGGGACAGCCAAGGAAGGCGCAGAGACGTGGCTCCAGAGTCCTCGTCCATGCTCCGATATTGTGAGGAAAAATCCCCGCCCCTGCCCCTCCCCAGATTCAAAAGGGAAATCTGGGATGCAGATTCCTGATCACACCCCGCTCTTACAAGAAGGCAAGGGCGGAGGTGTGCGCCACGTCATGGTCATGGAGGAGATTTTCTCATGCTGCTTGTCGGCAGGGCAGGCATTTGTCATGCTAAACACCTACACCGCCCTCAGGCCACGCTCCCGACTGGTTGGTATGTAGTGAGGTCACCGAACGGTTCTAATCAGGGAGTTTTTTTGCCAGCCAGACAGCAAAACGACCGGCAGTTTTCAAGCGGCCGGAAGTGTTTTTGAGCATAAAAAGTTTTCACTTATCAAGCGGCCGGGGCGTTTGCGGCAAACAAGCCCGGTCGAAAACTATCGATTCGCACTTGATAAAACGACGCAGGGGAGCCGGCAAAAGGGGCGCCCTTCTGAGGCGCCC